CTTGGGTCTAGGGCGCCATCGAACCTAAATCCACTACTGCTAGTATCTATCCATTACCATATTTACACCATTATACGCCCATACTTAACTTCAGATTTTTTGGAATATTTAGGCTAAAGCGTTGTGTTTAAATCGATTGAGTTTTAAAGTAGAATTATATTTCTAAGTACTCCATAATTCAGAATTTGTATTTTCTTTATAGTTTTTTAACCGTTTCTGATGATAGTTTAATAAATAAAAGTTCATGAATAAAGTAAAATCTTTGTTTTATATAATTTATATATAGGTATTAGGTACCCGCCCACAAGATAAATCAATTGTGCTGAAAAAGCAATATATTAAAGAAAACAGAGCAATTATTTTAATAAGGCTAACCCTGAGCCCGCCATTCATAAACATAAACATTTTCGGTGCGTAGTTGTAGAAATATTCACGGAATATTATGGCGTAATGTTGGCCCGAATCTTCTGATTTACAGCTCCCGCTAATTTAAGACAAGTGCTCGATTTTACGTTAGCAACTCTTGAACAGCCTATCGAGTCGGTTAAATATCATTTTTTTTTATTGAATTAATTAGAGACACTATTTAATTCATTACAAAAATAGACTTCAAAAATGTACCAAAGGGTTAGCATTAGATATGCTACTTAAAAACCAACATAATAAAAATATTCGTATCTTTTAAAAATGACTACATATTTAAACTTTTAAGTTAACCATGTATACAACCAAAATGCTTTCTTTATGTTTTAATCAGAACTACTTTGTATGGTGAAATTATGTTCAAATTAAAATTATATCTTACTTACAGCCTACAGGGAAACACATCTAATCCAACTGCTTATCAACAGCACGCAACAGCCTGTAAAAGAGAGCTGGAATTTCAACTGAAACCCAAAATTAGCTTCATATACCTCGATGGAATCCTACACCGGAATTTGGTATAGACCACATCTGGTACAGGTCACATAAAGCACCCTGGTGAGTAGTGGTGTACATAAGGAGATATGCAAAGCACTATCTCCATTCTCCTGTCTATTCGTTGTATTTATTTATTAGTCGATGTATTTATTCGTTTGTCCTTCTCTCGGCAGGTATCCACGTTATTATATGCGTAGAGATAGGTTGTCACTTTTTATCCTGTGGTATCCCGTGGAACTAATGTATGATACACATTAGTGTACACTAATGTGTATTAGTGAATCATTATTAATTATTATTTATCCTCTGTCCTCTTTGGACTTCACGGGCTCGAAGGGTAGGCTTATTAATATTATTATTGCATTAGCATACGAAGAACACGCAGTACATATGGAGTGCGATCTTGACTGAAGGTGATGATTGCTTAATACTTATACCTCGTTTCGCTCGGATGCCAAGATTCAGGACGCACAACGGACAAATTTAGAGATTAATTGCGAAAAATTGAGCCCACCATACATTTACTCAATACCTTACAACCTAAATATAATTTCAGATCATAGTCTTTAAGTTTACTAAACTTTATTAAAATCCGTTCAGCCGTTTTAGTGTGAAGAGATATACACTGGATGTGTACAATACGAACTTTCGCATTAATATTAGTATCCAGCATATTATCAAAATAATATTGGTTATTTGGTTAATAAATAATAGCAAATGCCGCTAGATACCTATTACCTACGAATATAATAACCATTTGTCCTGCCCATCTGTAGGCCCCGCCTCCTCATAGTTCATGTCATATATATGACGTCATACTGCATGTCGGACATAGATTTATTAGATTTAAATCTTTGCTTGTTTTATAAGCACTACTTCGAAGAAAATTACGATGTTTGCTTTCCACATAAAGTAGGTATTTCATTGATCCATATATTTTTCTTTATTTCGATCGCAGATCTTAGGTGTTGTAACTAACGGCCTTTATGGCGCTATAGCTTTTGCGCATGGACGTTGAAGAATAGTTGAGGAATACATTAATAATTCTAGCGATAAAAACTATTAGTTCTCATTATAAAGTGATGTTACAAGCACACTTGCTGTGTTAAGTTTTATTATAATTAAATTTGATGTCTAAAAAGTTATCGTAATCTATGTATAATAAAATTCTAACTGAGTCGAATCTGTACATTAAATATTTTTTCGAAAATCTTATTAAAATAGTCATTATTATCGACACAGAGGCCGAATCTATAGTTTTTAGAATTTTTGTCTGTCTGGCCGTCTGTTACCGCATCACGGAAAAACCATTGGAGGGATTTTGATGAAATTTGGTATTATGTTAGCTGGATAAGCAGCTCAAGATACTTTTTACTCCGAGGAAATATTTCATCTGTGAGAAATCTATACTAAACGTTAAAACGTAAAAAATAAATAAAATTTGCTGTAATTTGTATTACAGTATAGGCTCAGTGTATTATTATTTTGGCGTTATGGCCGAGAAAATCTTATGCAGGTACATATATCCTGCTTCTGCTAGGGAGGATCGAGAAATGATAAACGATTAGTAGTGTTATATACACATAATTAAAACCAATTTTTTAGAATTAGTTAAGTGTACTTTTATACCGTTAGTAAAATTAATAACAATTTCTGAATATGCATTTCTGAACAAATTGATTATAAGACTAGACTAGACTAGACTAGATAGACTAGAAAAGAGAATTGATCACAATTAGATTTTATCTATACTATAATAAAAGAGTAGAGGTCGAATGTCTGTACATAGCAAAAAAATGCTAAAAACCGAGTCAGGGGTATGTAAGAAGACAAATAGAACAAATCCAGATTTTTTTTCAATTTTTTTGTTTCTCTGTCTGTTTGTCTGTTTGTACGGGCTAATCTCCGAATCTATTGGACCGATTTAAATGAAATTTTGCATGGTGGTACCTTATATCTCGGGGCAAGGTCTTAGTTACTTTTTATCCCGGAAAATTAAATAGTTCCGTGGGATAGTAAAAAAACTATAATAACTTAAACAGCTTAGTACACATAAACTACTGATTGGATTTTAATAAAACTTTACAATCATGTAGTTCATACATGACAATAACAAATCGGCTACTTTTCATCCCGGAAAATTAAAGGGTTCCCGTGGGACAGTCAAAATACTATAGTAACTTATACAGCTTAGTACACAAAAAGTACTGATTGGATTTTGATGAAACTTTACAATAATATAGGTCATACATCAGAATAACTAATAGGTTACTTTTTATCCCGGAAAATGTACGGTTCCCGTGAAATAGATGTTTTCGTTTATTTACAACGTATTATGTACACAACATAGACCCCAAAACAATAGTTATTAAAAAATTGTCTGTTTGTCTGTTTGCCTGTATGTCTGTTTGTCTGTTTGCCTGTATGTCTGTTTGTCTGTTTTTGTATGCGCGTTTCAGGCGAAAAGTAATGAATCGATTTTAACGAAATTTGGTGAAGTGATAACTTATTACTCGATTCAACGTTTAGGATACCTTTTACTTCAAGAAAATCTTTCTTTCTCACGGGAAGATACAATAACTGGATTTATCGAGTCCTCCCTAGAAACCTTCCGCTGGCTAAACCTTAAGACATACATACATCAAAACAATATACTAAAAAATTTTAGGTCTTGAAAAGTCCTACAGGAAAGTTCTGAATAGTATATGTATATCTCCTAAACAATATCTATTCTTATCTATACCTATAATAAAACTAACTTAGTCAAATCGATGTACGCGTTTTACGCAAAAAGTACTGAACCGATTTTAAGTAAATTATGTATACTGATAACTTAGTACTCGGGTCAACATTTAGGATACCTTTTACGACAGGCAAATTATTCATTCCCACGGGAAAACACAATAACTGGTTCTATCGAATCGTCCTTAGTATATGGCTAACACTGGCTCAACCTTAAGAGATATATCAAAACATTGTACAAGAAAATTGTAAGTCTTAAAAAGGTCGATAGAAAAGTTCTCAGTAGTATTATTATGTCTATCTCCTAAGGTACACTCGCTATTACTATTTTCATTATTATATATTACTGTTTTATTATACGTTATGTATTCTATCTATAAATATAATAAAGCTGTAGAGGTCGAATGTCTGTACATAGAAAAAAATGCTAAAAACCGAGTCAGTTATCTTGTTACATCCGGTAAGAAGAAAAATAGAACAAATCCAGTTTTTTTTCAATTTATTTGTTTCTCTGTCTGTTTGTCTGTTTATACGGGCTAATCTCCTAAACTATTGGACCGATTTAAATGAAATTTGGCATGCTCGTACCTTATATCCCCGGTTAACATCTTAGATACTTTTCATCCCAGAAAATGAAAGAGTTCCCGTGGGATAGTTAAAAACTATAGTATCTTATACAGCTTAGTACACAACAACTTATGCACCTAATTTAGTAAAATTTAACATTCTGATACCTTATATTGCCAGTCAAATAACAGGTTACTTTTCATCCCGGAAAAATTAACGGTTCCCGTGGGAACTAATAGATCTCTTTTAGTATTTTTCTTCTCCTTTAGTATAATAAAACCGTAAATAGGTTTCATACATCTCATTCGTATTTATATTTCAACTACTAGTGATCAGCATTCGTGTCAGTCATGACTATATATTACGACGCCAAAAAGTTTACGAAACGTGTATTTTCCATTCCGCCGAAAATATTTCCACAGTCAGACAGAATCCTCTACCTGTCCATAAAAGTTTTGTTAAAATCGATCAAGCTTTTTGGGGCTTTGATAACCTCATATTATGCACATCAGTGCAAAGTTCCAGGATACAAAACTGTTGGGGAAGTAGATTTTTTTTTTATAAATTATAATCTCATTGTCAGTTTTATCAGACTGATTGAAATGGAATTATATTGGAAAATTAAAATCACAAGTGAAATAAAACAAGATGTGTAGATAAAAAGATTTAATACACTTTAGTTATTGTTTGGATCTTATAAAACCAATAAACTGGGTACACATAATAAATAAATGCTAATACGTATTTCTAAAAGCTATCTGCGGTTATTAATGTTCATCCAAATGGGCGTAGACTCTTCTTAACTTTTCCCTCTTGTTTTTATTTGCATGTTTCTTTTCATTTTTCCATGGCTTTCCAATAATTTGTTTGTCAACAGCTTGTGGTACTGAGATTCTGAAAATAATATTTATAAATTAGTATATGTTATTATTTATCAATACAGATAAATAAAATTGAAGTGTCAGTTTGTAATGTTAAAATAACAGCTTTAGACTAAATGCATATGAAATTATTTACGCTACTTATACGAAAAACAATAATTATTTTTTTGTCTGTCGTTTTGTTCCGGCTAATCTCCGAAACGACTAGAATGATCTTGACGAGACTTTCACCGGCAGATAGCTGATGTTATAAGGTATAATTTAGGCTACTTTAATTTTAGAATTTGACGACATGTTTGGCTCAGTTTGTAGTGACCCTACTTGCTGTGCCAGCGGTCGTGGGTTCGAGTCCCGCTGGGGGCATTTATTTGTGTGATGAGCACGAATGTTTGTACTCTAGTCATGGGTGTTTATATTTATAATACGTATGTATTTAAAGTTATATACATATGTGTAGAGTATCAACTATCTGGTATCCATAACACAAGCCTCGTAGCTTACCATGGAGCTGTATGTTACTGTCCCATCATATTAAGAAAAAGAATTAGGGTTCCCCTCAAAAAGATTTAAAACGTACCTAAGGACGCGAGGGTATGTTGCTAGTTGTTCATAAAACGCATCGTATTATACGAAGTGTAGACTATTTTATAATACATGTCTTATGTAATTTTCATATAATTTTATCTTTTATTTTACCATTACCTTATAATAATTGATAAACGAGGATAAAAATATTTAAACTCATTTTTTTATTATAATCACGATAAAATCATATCATTACATATTTAAAAATCTGGAATCCAGACATAAATTTAAAAAAAAGCCCACAACACCACACCCATTCAACGGAACTCAATATTACGACACGAAACTTCAAACATAGTAACAGTGTATTCAGAGCGTACAACATTTCGCGCTAACATGAAAGAGATACTAAATATTATCAATTATATTAAGGGAAACTTAAATAAACTACGGAATGGTCACCCTGGACGAGAGCCAAGTGTTAATTCATAAAATTTAACTACTTTACGATAGCAGTTAACGAGCGTGAAAATTGCTGTTAGTGTAAATACGGACGCAATAACACGACGGCTAAGGAATGCGTATACTGACTGGATACCTACGGTCTAAGCTCCACAGTATATATACCTAGGTTATTACTTGTGCTTTGTTATTTCATAAATAAGCCGTAACCACTTAAAATATTTTAAATTGGACGATAGTTTATTCGATACATGTATTATGTTCAGACTAAGGAATAATTGTAGACAATGTTTTAAAACTAAACATGAAGTCAAACAGTAATATTTTAAAATTGTATACAAATAACAATTTGTTTACTATATGATAGACCTAAATAAATGTTAAAAAAATTAAAATAGCTAACGTATTGCTATTGTATTGACAATGGGGTGATGACAATCTGATCGATTTCAACGCCGCCAAAACGCAAGCCTGTCTATTTTCCGCAAAAAGGAGTCCGTTCAGCCTGACTCCTACTTTTCGTGGTACACCTGTAGAGATTTTCGACAGTCTAGAGCTTCTCGGCATAAGGTTGAGTGCAAATCTTAACTTTGGCGACAACATCGAGTCGAAGGCACAGACTGCGGCCATGAAACTGGGCATCCTTAACAAGGTTAAGCGGTACTTCACGCCTGGACAGCTTCTCACATTATATAAAGCTCAAGTCCGATCATGCATGGAGTATTGCAGTCACCTTTGGGATGGCTCTGCAAAATACTTGCCGCTGTTGACTCGGTGGAACGCAGAGCTAAAAAGCTAATCGGCGACGAAAAGCTTGTCAAAACTAAGCTTCACAGCTTAGCACACCGTCGCCTAGTTGCTTGTCTGTCGGTTTTCTACAGACTGTACTTCGGGGAGTGTGCCCACGAGCTCCACAGTCTCATACCGCCATCGCCATTCTTCTATCGGAACACCAGACGTACTGCAGGATATCATCCTTTCTTGGTTGACATTCCGGCCACTCGCACTATGCGCTATTCATCATCTTTTATAATGCACACAGCCAAGAAGTGGAATGCCCTGCCTGCGTCTGTTTTTCCGAGTGCGTACAACCTGAATCTATTTAAGGTGCGTGTTAACAGGCTTCTCCTGGGCAAACTCGCTAGATCGTAGACCTTATCTCTGCCTTCGAGCTAAGATGAAGGTCAAGAGTGAGCCCATTTCTAATTAAAAAAGAAAGTTATTTATTTCAATGGGAATAGAACTAATGCTTAAAACTTCAAAAGAATATATAGTCTTATCTCTATTATTCATATTTTATTCCCAAAAATGGTATATTACCTTAACTAAAACATATATACACTATAATAACTTTATCACGTTTGGCTCAGTTTGTAGTGACCCTATTTGCTGTGCCAGCGGTCGTGGGTTCGAGTTCCGCTAGAGACATTCATTTGTGTGAAGAGCAAAAATGTATGTACTCCAGTCATGGGTGTTTATATTTACAATATGTATATATTTAAAGTTATATATGCGTAGTGTACCAACTATCTGGTATCCATAACACAAGCCTCGTAGCTTACCTTGGAACTAGATGGTGCTGTGTGTTAATGTACCAACATATTTATTTATTTTATATTTATATAAAAAACCCCTTATTCTTTAAAGAAAGTAAACGATCTGTATGGCCAAATAGAGAATAATAGCATAAACAAGTAAATCACGCTACTATTTTTGACTTTGACATTTATTTCGGCTGACTCCGTATGTATAATTATTTACTTCAAAGAATTATTCTACTCTTTGTCACTTGTAAGTATTGTTTAAGCAATATTATTCTTATAGAAATATTAGGAACTAATAAATAGCGTACAGCATACTCATCCGTAAAACGAGTGCCCATGGCGGGTCTTTGTACAATATCACCACCAATTTTTTTATTTTCATACTGCCTACACAGTATTTTATTTTGATATATCAGAAAGTACATTACACAAGTACTTTTGACCGGACTAGATAAGTTGCCTTCATATTACCCTATTACTTTAACAGTTTAAAACTGATCATAAAATGTAAACAGCGCCATCTGTAAGTACGCATTATAACGCAATACGCATTTTTCAATAATCAGTAAAATTGTGTTATAGTTTATTTATTATAAAGAAAAATGTATAAAAGCTGAAAAGTTAGTATTTCTGTTTGTTACACAGGCAGCAGTTTAGTATATGGGAGCCGGCTCCTGGAGGAGTGGGTGGTATAAAAATTTGAACTCCCCATCAGCTCCCCCATCCAAAAATACCACCCACTTCTCCAGGGGCTGCGTCCCATATACTAACTTGTGCCGTTACACATTAACTCGTGTTATTTCCAACAGGCTTACTTTGCGTTAACACATTTTGTAATGCTAACAAAATAAAGCAATTCTATTTATATTCCTGTTCCTTCATCTTTTATGATTAACTGGTGGGACTACCGGTTTAGAAACGTAAATACAGTCAGAACAAAACTGCGCTACTATATGCACCTTGTTTAAATAAACATATTGCACTCACCCCAGAATTGGTTTCCCTTTGACGTGAGCAGCTCCCTTTTGCATGGAGAAAAAGGAATTGTCGATTTCAGCGGACTTGTTCTGCCAACCCTGGGGAAATATACAAACATGTACTTATGTGTTGAATCACTTGAATGTGAAAATGTGTTTGTTTGTTTGTCTTTCTTTCACGTCGAAACAGAGTGACGGTGTAGCGTGATTTTTTGTGTGGAGATAGTTGGGGGGCCGGAGAGTGACATAGGCTACTTTTTACCGCGGGAGATTATCTCATTCCCACGGGAAAACACGTTACAATACATTCCAAAAAAATATTTATGATCACAATTATTTTAAACTTGGTATTCATGCTCTTCAATAAAATTAAATAAATAGGTGTTTTAGCATTTTTCGAAATTCATCCTATGAGGTATGAAAAATAGGGTATGAAAGTTTGTATGAAACTACCTTTTTAGAGATTTTTTTGTAGTTTTAGCGCGAGCGAAGCCGCGGGTTCTGCTAGTGTATATATAAAAGTATAGACGAGGGCGAGAAGACGTTTTATTTCATCTATAATAAAAAAATTAACCAAAACAGTTTTAATTGGAATTATTTTCAAACGTTTTGTGTAAATTGTGTGAACTCAATAAAATTTAATTTAGTGAATTAGGAGAATATTCCCTGAGGTCATTCTCCAGTGACGAATTAAATTATCAAAGATTCGATAAACTGTATTTTTAACTGTAATAAATGTAAAAATTAAATAAGAAAAGGGTCACCTAATGATATAATTTTGCCTCAGGCTAATCTGGCATTAACAATACGTATTAAGCGGGTTTTCCGTACTATTATTCTTTCTTATAAGAAGAAAGATAAGTTAATTCAAATATGCAATATAACAAAGATGTCTTAAAACACTATTTTTGATACAGACAGACATCAAAAATATTTTTATATGTAATTGAAATATGCTCAAACAAAAATAGTCGAACTTCAACATTTATTTCCCGTTTGAAGAATATATTAAAGCAGTGAACATATTTATATAACGTAGCATGACTCATGATTTAGATTTTTCATAAGATTGTATATCACTCCCACCGCCGCGGCGGCGGCAGCGGTCCCTCAAACACATTATCACGTAATAATTTTGTAAAATGTTATATTTATTGGTATTATTTTGGAGAATATGAGTAATTTCTTTTATGACGCTTTAACGCAGCGCTTATTGATTTTAGGGTTAGAGAGCATTTGTTATATTTCCTGAGGAAAATGTGTCACGTGTAAAATTTGAATATTGAGCGTCATCTTTTGTCAACTTTACGCTGTGTATATTTGGACTTATTTTGTCTTGTTTCGTGCAAAAATAAATATGTAAAAAATTAAACATAAATAATAAATAAAAATATCTGTTCGGATTTTTTGGTGGATTTATTTTGATTTCCCGACGTTTCGGATTTCGAGTGGAGATTACGTGGAAGAGACCAACCAAACCAAAATAAATCAGCAAAAAAAAATTCCGAAAAGGTCAGTTTTATTTAAAATCTTTACATTTAGTAAAAGTTAAAACAGTAACTTAGCGAAACCGATGTGCGCGTTTTACACAAAAGGTACTGCACCAATTTTAACTAAATTTTGTGTAGTGATAATAACTTATAACTCGGGTCAACATTTAGGATACCTTTTATACAGGAAAATCTTTCATTCCCACGGGAAAACACAAAAACTGGTTCTACCGAGTCGTTCTTAGTTTACATGTCTAACGTTCAGTAAACCTACAGGTCTACAGAAAAATTTGCAATATTATAATCTTTCTCCTCAGGTACACTCGCAATAATTATTCCTGTCTATTTAAAACGTACATATGGACGCACCCGAGCGAAGCTAGAGTAGGTAAGTCACTAGTCTATACTAATATTATAAAGAGGTAAAGTTTATTAGTTTGTGAGATTGTGAGTTTGTGACCCTGAGAAGGACATAGAATGCTTTTATCCCGGGAGTCATCCCTTAAGGAGGTGAAAATGGGGATGAAAGTTTGTATTGGGAAGCAAGCTAGGGACGAACCCGAGCGAAGCGAGGGTGAGTCGTTTGTTATTTATAAACGTCTTGTTGAATAACATTTCAAACTTTTTTATGAGAATAATTTAGACTGTACAATGTACATACACACGTCTTTGTATAACCGCTCAGACGCAGTAATACCTGGCGTCGTCGCGCGTATTAATTCAAACGCATTAATAGTGCGTTTTTATAACACATTCATTTCGCGTAGAACACACGTGGACTGTGCGTTTACAACTCATCGTGTGCATAGACCCTTAGGACTTATTTATCGCCATGAAGTCTCACAAAAAGATAAAAGATTTTTTGTTTGCGCCAGGAACTTTCGCAGATGTATATAGAACAACCACCAGTTTCATCATAATCGTATCAATGGTTTAAAAACGCGTATAGGACAAACGTACGATCATACACTTTTATTTATATAGAAGAAGCAGGTGCAGGTGTTACCTCAACAGCTCTAGTTTCCCGCGGCGTAGGTTTTCTGCTTTCATTCTTCCTGGTATCAATCAAGTGGTCGATAGGTGCGGGTTCGCAGCCCGGCGGCAGCTCCTCCCACTGCAGGCGGCCGCTGGCCGCGTCCTTGAGGAACAGCCGCGCCGACCGCGACCTGTCCGGCTGGCCGGACGCCGTCATAAACCCTCTGTTGACTGGAAAGTGAGATTAGTGATAATACTTACCTATACTAATATTATAAAGAGGTAAAGTTTGTGAGTTTGTGACGTTGTAGGGGGTAAGCACTGGATTTACTGAACCGATATAGATGAAATTTGGTGAGAAAATAGTTTGAGACCCTGGGAAGGACATAGGATACTTTTTATCCCGGAAATTATTCCTTAAGGGGGGGGGGGGGTGAAAATGGGAATGTTTGTATTGGGAAGCAAGCTAGAGACGAACCCAAGCGGAGCGAGAGTGAGTGGCTAGTATGTATGTATTAACTAATGACTCACTCTCGCTTCGCTAGGGTTCGTCCCTGGTACGTTTAAACAGTTAGTATGTAGTCGGGTAGACTATATATTATATGATATATAGCCTATAAGCCTTCCTCAATAAACGGGCTATTTAATGCAAAAAGAATTTTTCAAAGCGGATTAGTAGTTCCTGAGTATAGCGCGTTCGATCAATCAAACAAACAAATTTTAGGAAAATCTCCCCGTGTAAATGGCGCTTAAGAATGACAAAAAATGACACGCTTCCGTAAAAATATCGCTTTCATAATTATCACAAGTTTCCCTGATATTCCTAAATTCCACTTAGAATTTTCATTTAAAACTAGAGAAAAAGTTTTTCCACAAAGATATAAAAGCTCTGATCAAATTGATTTTTTGTAAGCTTCAGTTTATTGGCGGGAAATAATATAGGCTACTGTACTTTCATTCCAACTTAAAATCATAAACGATACAGGAATTCAAACCACAAACAAAAATCTAATAACAGCAAAACATAACAAATCTTTCATCCAATTTCAAAGTAAACAAAGGAAATGGCTAATTTTCTTACACGATTGACCCTAATACATAGAATAATAAATAACGAGAGACGAACGATTCATCTTATTTTAGAATTTATAATTTAGAGAACATTATAATTATGTAAGAGGTGTAATTGACATGTGTTAGGGCCACCGCATATCGCAGACTTTCTGTCGGCCGATTGTTTAATCGAATTCATAAACAGTGTAAATTGAGCATATTACGATTCAGTATCAATCGGTATTAATTAATGTCTATTTTAATATATTTTCCTACGAACTACGAGCCAAACTTACCTATCGGTATATAAAATTAATCGACACGTTTGGCTGTTTGTAGTGATCCCATTTGCTGTGCCAACGGTCGCGGGTTCGAATGGGGGCATTCATTTGTGTGATGAGCACGAATGTTTGTACTCCAGACATGGGTATTTATTTTTATAATATGTACTCGTATGTATTTAAAAGTTATATATGTATACTGTGTAGTGTATTAACTATCTGGTATCCATAACACAAGCCCCATAGCTTAATATGGAACCATATGGTGCTATGTGTTAATGACCCAACATATTTATTTAAAAAAAAACGAAAATCTGCCCGGCCCTTAGTAGTTTTATGGTAACCCAGATTTTAGAACCAAACACATATACAAGCTGCTATTACATCTTTCACTTGGCGAAACTATGACGCAGTTCTATGCTAGTGTGGCTGCATACTATCAAATCATAGTAAATCTTTGGACTGGGCGATATATTTGTTTAAGTAATATGCTTGATATAAAATATTTATCATCAATATCGATAAGTAGATGTGTGAAAAATTATATTACTGTGGATCTTCTAGTATACTTGTGTTTGGTAATGGCTTTGCACTCTTAGTTTATATGTTTTGACGAATCGTTTGGCTCAGTTTGTAGTGACTCTACTTGCTGTGCCAGTGATCGCTAGTTCGAGTCCCGCTGGGGGCATTCATTTGTGTGATGATCATGAATGTTTGTGATCCAGTCATAAGTGTTTATATTTATAATATGTAGGTATTTAAAGTTATATATGTGTAGTGTATCAACTATCTGGTATCCATAACACAAGAGTCGTAGCTGACCATATAAGTAGATGGTGCTATGTTAAAAAAAGTACGATATGTAAATGTAAATGTCATAGCATGATGGTCGGTAGATTTTTTATTGTATAGACAAAACCGATTTTAAATTAATGTTCACTGCAAATATGCGTTACACGCCAAAAAGTTAAAAATTTTATGCTGTGGACTAAATACCTATAGAGTATAATAGAAGTTTACCAGGTTCCCGCGGTCTATGTCATAAAAAATTCAGATTAAAACGAATAGGACTTTCTGGTCATAGAGCACAAAGCAAAGTGAAAGCAGATTACTACACACACCTATATATACTTAATCTTTATATAAAACACTCACACGCATGCGCAGTGAGTATCTTCTCATATTCCTTCCCATCTTCCTCATACTCCGGCAAGAGGAGGCCGTACTTGTGCGCAAACGTGTGTCTGCTGACCAGTTGGCAGAGGCGCTCCATCGCTGCGTCGTGAGAACGCATCTAGATGGGAATTACATTACATAATTAATACTTAAACATTGATATCTATAAGCCTATCTATAAGCCCGCTCAAATGTTCAAATGAGCGCTCATTCAGTGAGCACTTTTTTGTCGCTGATTGTGTATCTAGGATTTTTTGATCGATGTGGAAATAGCATCTATACTACCTGATCAATTGGCAACACTGCAGTCAACAAGAGATCTGGAGCGACTGCATATGCTGGCAACACTAGCCCGGGACAATCCAATAATTCTATGTCTTCATCTAGTACAAGTGATTGGACATGTCTTGTGTGACCTGGCATTGAGCTTACACTGACCTGAAATGAATAGATTCATGTAAAATCTATACAGATAAATAAATTTGAAGTGTCTGTTTTTAATATAAATATAACAGCTTTTTACTAAATTCGTATCAAATTATATACGAGTACCATCCGTCTTATAAAACACAACTTTTAAAATTTTTGTCTAACTGTTTGTTTCGACTAATCTCTGAAACGGCTATACCGATTTTAACTGAACTTTTACTAGCAGATATTATAAGGAGTAACTGGGGCTTCTTTTGTTTAGTAGCTATTGCTACCTTTAGTGTTATAAAAATAATAATTTTGAAATCAGTTTTTTTTTAAATTCTATTCATATAAGTTTTCCTCTATTCAATAATGACTATGATCGAACTTTAACCACTCGGTGAACTAAATACAAAAGTTTGCATAAGTATGTGTGTGTTATTCTTTCATAATGATACATCTGAACAGAAATGGACAAAATTTTAATGTACGTGTGTCTGCTGACCAGTTGGCAGAGGCGCTCCATCGCTGCGTCGTGAGAACGCATCTAGATGGGAATTACATTACATAATTAATACTTAAACATTGATATCTATAAGCCTATCTATAAGCCCGCTCAAATGTATGATATGCTATGGCTAGGAGTATCACATAGGCTGTTGTTAGGCACCTAGAGACCTACTTGAACGAAACAAGAGTATATTTATATATCAATGCAAAATACATTTAATACAGTATAAAAAATCTCACCTTTTTAATTTGCATTAAAACATTAACTGAACTTGACTTGCCCACGTTGGGATATCCAATCATACCAATTGTCACTCTAGGTGGATTCTTTAACTTACTTAAACCTAATTTTTGTTCTTTAAGCACTTGTAATAATCTTTCCCTGTCGAAAATTTCATGTGAATTTGTTACTACATCTGCTTTGTCATCTTTTTTATCTATAATTTCCTCACTGTTTATAACAATTTTACTTTGTTCTTCATTTATATAAGGCTCTATTGGCTTTCCAGCTTTGAGATTTTCTAGAACTTTATCCAGGGCTAATTGTATTGCATCTATCCTGTCGGCTGTGTTATTAACAGCATTATCAAGATCACCTAATTGTCTTTTAAATAATTCTATGTCATCTTGAGTTTCATTTAAGGCATTTGGATTATCCTCGTCATCAGAATCTATAGATTCAGTACCAGAATCATCATCGTCATTATGATTTTGTGTTTGATTTTCATTGCTTTCTTCAGATATCTTTCGTTCTTTTGTACATTTGGCGGCCGAAAAGAAGATTATGGATACATTCTAAAATTCATACAATCCATATTAATATTATAAATGTGAAAGTTTGTGAGTATGGATGTTTGTTACTCTTTCACGCCAGAGCGGCTGAACGGATCTGGATGAAATTTGGCATTGAGATAGTTTATAGTCTGGAATAAAACATACGCTAGTTTTTATCCCGGAAAAATGTACGGATCCCGTAGGATAGGTTTGTTATTGTTTTCCTGGAGACGAACCCAAGGGAAGCGAAGGCGAGCCTCTAGTATATTATATTGTAATGCAGGCAGACTGGGGTACAGAAGGGTTCCACGCCCCAAGAAAATCATTAAACTACATAAAAATAAACAATTACACCACCAGTCCATACAATAGGTTGCATAATCCTTTCAACATTTTTTCCAATAATATTAAAACACACACTTTTAAACTACCATATGTAAGGGATTTTAAACAAACTAAAGACACCAGACATGAAGGGTTTATAGAAGGGAAGTAGCCACTAAGTATTTTCACTATCCATCTCCTAATATAAGATACCAAATTATAGTATTGTCATCAGAACTGCATATACATACATTGTTAGCTACAAGTGAATTTAATAAAAGTATCTTAAAAAACCAGACTCAATCTCATTAGGATTCTGTTTTCACCATATACGGTACAGAACTGTAAAAATAACTATATTATCAGTACATAATAATATTTAGAAACCACTGAGATAAGATTATTCTGTTCTAAACTCTTTTCTTACCTCTTTATTAAAATATTCGGCCCAACACTTGCGTGCATACTCAGTTGTTAGATCTGCCTTGTTCAATAACAGTATACATTTACATTTTTGTTCTGCAGCATATTTTTCTAGGTCCTCACATCTGAAAAGGATTGTAAAATTAATTTGCAGTTTTATTTTGATTTTTGATTCATGACATTTCAAATGCTTTAAAAAACATGTCATGGGAGAGACTTAAGGATTTCGATGCTTCAAAATTTATTTATTATTATAAATGGTATCTAACCACAAAATTATACATTAATTTGGAAGAAAGGGAAATGGCACCAGAATACTGTATAATATTAAAAAGTTTAATATTCACTATGAATCTTTATCATAATCTTAACTTATCTGAAGGGCTGAATGTTGAGCAGCTTATCAAAAGAAAAAAGTAGTTTAAGAATACCGGTACATAACACTTAGAAACAGTAGTGTTTAGTTTTTGTTAAAAACCAAGGTTTTATGTATGATAAATAGATATTGTTTAGACAAGCAATTTTTTATCATGTCAGTCGATCACAACAATTTTACTTACTTTACTTGGTTTCATTTTAAAAATACAATAACTTTTACCTAAATAAAAGTGGATTTCTTGCATCTAATATGATCACAACTACATCTGATTTCTCCAATGTCCTCCACAACTGTTTCCATAATTCTAAATTTCTTTCATATGGTGTGACTGCTGCTTCAAATTTTGTTTGTAGCTCATTTAAATGTCTTCTCCAATCAAGGAATGCATCTCTCTCTCTAGTTATTTGTTCTTCAGGTGTTATACCTGGTTTCCACGGGGGTCTTGAAAATAAATATTAATACACATAAAACATTACATTCCTTTTTAAACAATTCCAAAAATTACTTATTAATCGTGAATTGTTGGAATTTAGATTTGCAATATATGTGTCAATATGTGTCATTATAAATTATTATAATCATTTAAACTACCCTCGCAAAAATAAAAATATAATTTGAAATTTACCTTCGTGGTACTGTAAGTGGTTCATCAAAATCTGGTTGTGATGTAGCTACTTCAACTACGGAAGGAGGTAATTTAGCAAAGCGTATATTCAATTTTTCAGCCACAAATTCTCTATTAGCTAACTCAGCTGTGGACAAAAACTCTTGAAGGGAAGATTCAGCTGTAACTGATTGCAGGTTAAGACGGCCCCAGTCATAGCCGTCGTTAACTTCAGTCGTGTGGAGCTATATGAATAAGAGGTGCTAAATTAAGCTGTATACTTATTTTGGAAAGTATTTACAAAGAAGTTATGATCATATTTTGTGTATATATCTTGTGTATTATTTTACAAATACGCACCATTGTATTGTTTTCGACATGTCGACGGTGTCTGTTTTTTGCAAATCTGTCTTTAATTAAGGCTCGGCCAAGTGATTCTTTATTTTTCTTTCCCATTATGATTTATAATTGAACGTATAATACGAATGATGTACTAATTATGTACTTTATGTATAAACGTGGTTTACAAAAACATTGAAGTCCGAAACGAAACGTGACGTAAATGTCAAAGATGAAATAAATATGAAAGAGTAAAGTAAATAAAAGTCACAGATTATTAAAAGTAGGGTTAAAAGTAATCATGGAAGAATACTAAAAAAGAAATAATTACATATTATACCAAAAGGAAATGTCTAGTTATCTGCCTGTATCTTGAGTCTCAAGCAAGAATTATATTATACTAGCAGAACCCGCGGCTTCGCTCGCGATAACTCTACAAAAAAAATTCAAAAAAGGTTGTTTCATACAAACTTACATCCTCTATTTTACCCTGTTATAGGGTGAATTTCGAAAAGTGCTAAAGCACGGATTTATTTAATTTAATTGAAGATCATTAATACCAAGTTTCAAGTAATTCTGATCAAAACATTTTTTTTTGGATTGTAAGTATTATAAAGTGTTTTCCTGTAGGTATTAGGTAAAATTTCGCGGTAAAAAGTAGTCTATGTCACTGTCCAGCCCTCCAACTAGCTCCACATAAAAAATCACACCAATCCGTCACTCCGTTTTAACGTGAAAGAAGGACAAACAAACAAACACACTTTCACATTTATAATATTAGTATGAATTTTATAAGCTTTCAAATAATCATATTAAGTGAAATAATTTTCAGTGCTTTAAGCTTTTATGCGTATTAAACACAATATATTTGTATGTAAAATAGAAACTATGAATTATAAAACGAATCTTCTTCTCCCTGCCCATTTCTCAATCAGTTGGGATCGGCGCAGTACACCTCTGTACTGCTGATAGGATTTGGCAAAAGTTGTACGACCAGCAGCTTGCCTGACGTCAACCCTCCTTGGGAATGCTAATATTGTTTGTTGTGTATGAAACGAATGATATCATCATTTTCACACATCACCATAGACTTTACATATTGTAAAGCCTTTATTTAATAAAGAATAAATAAATATATAAACTAATAAGCGACACATTACTAAAATAGTATCACGCTAAAATAGTGTAAAACCAACCATACAGAATAAAATATTCTTGTTTTATTATCTACATACCCACCCACCATAGACCAGCAACAACAAGATACCATTACCTAGGTAGGTACCTAACAAATCCTAAATGACATTAGTCAGTAATCTGTCAAAAACTTAAAATTTTGCGAGCGATTTGAGCAGACTCGATAAAATTAGGAAGGTTTGAGCAATTTTAATTTGATAATATGATATATTAAATGTAAAATATATCTTAAATATTATTAATGTTTGCTTTTTATGTGTCTTAGTTATGATGTCCGAGTATTATGATCATTATCATCGTTGGGAGCCTTTGGCTGAATTTCATTTTTTCATTGATGAAGACGAGGAATCTTACGACGAAAATTATGTTTACTGTTTATGTAGCAGAGCCTTTATAAGGTAAGTTCTATAAACTAGGTTAATATTGTATAGCTATATAATCAATAACGGCTAAATATCTTTCACAACAATTTTATATATAAAAAACTTATACGAAATAGAAGCATTCCTCATTCCTTCATTTTTTAAATATTACTGTTAAAAATACGACGTAAAAATAATTACTTTGTTATACTTCAGTCTTTAGCAATATAGACCACAAGATATGACCTAATTTTTTTGACAAACAAATTTGTGCTATCCTATAATACTTTTAGAATTTTCACTTCATGATTCAATTATGAGATTATTTTTTTATAATAAATAGTGCCTTGCTTATTTTTTAATATTTTAAATGAATGCTAATTAGGGATGGAGTTAGAACATACTATGCAGAAAAAGAATATTGTAGTGAGAGTGATGCTGAAGTAATAGCTGATACACACTCACAAGAAGTGGATGATCACTCACATGTGCATTTTTCTCTGGATACTTCATATAAAGTAAAATGTGATGTAAGTCTACAGTATAAGTAATGTATATTCAATATTACTAGTGACTTACCCTCACTTCGCTTGGTTCAGACTCTAGTATATATAAATTTTTCCGGAACCCTAATTCTTCTTATAAAATACAAGTAGCCTAAGTTACTCCTTATAACATCAGCTATCTGCCAGTGAAAGTCACATATAAATCTGTCCAGCAGTTTTGGAGGTTCGCTGCAACAAACAGACAGACAGACAATTTTGTTAAAAATTGTGTTTTTCTTATAAGTACTGTATATAATTTCATATGCATTTAGTAAAAAGCTGTTATTGTGGTATGACAAACAGACCCTTCAATTTTATATACCTGTATAAATAATTTTAAGAATATCTTAGATGTATAGGTTTCATATATTAATAAGTGACATTATATGCTAATTATAAATCAATAGATTTTTGTTTTTCTTATAAATATAATATATCAGTGTGTAAAATTGATAATAAATATTGCCCAGAATTATTTGATAAGTTTTTAATTACTATAAGTGTTAAATTCACAGAAAGATGAAGGTGCAAGTTGTTACTGTAGTGCATCCCATACAGATAACTATTGTTCAACTGATGAACTTGATCCCACCCAAATCCATGGTTTCCCCTCTCATGCTCTTCAACCCAGCGATAGTGGTGCTGATCTCACATATCAAGATTGTCATTCTGACTATACAACACTTGATAAAATAGAAAAAATGGAACAAGATTATTGTGGTGATATTGATACCAATGAGAATTACTTATCTGAAGACACATGGGAACAGTTTTGGGCTTTCAATGGCGAAAGAATTATTTGGGCATCCTGGATAAAGAAATATAGTGACTACATCAATCCAGCTTATTTAAATGAGAGCAATGATTTAGTTATGGATGACAATAGTATTCCAAAGCAACATTCTGCTGAACCAATATGTAATTTACTACCAACTGATTCCAAAGATGATGAAGAGAATATGAGGGAGAGGAAATTCTCCTATGATTCTAAAGTCAATCCTTATAAAAAAAGCAGAAAATATCATGTTTCAGAAAATAAATATGACAGAAATAATGATATAGGTAATGATAAAGATGATACATGGCTTCCAGTTCGTAGAAGGAGATCTTGTTCTGAGCACGATAGAATTGTTAGTCCTAGAACTATACCATGCACTGACTCAATGACAAATGTAACCAAATTAACGCATTCAAGTTTTAATGTAAACTCAAGTCATGTAACTTCTGACTCGACTCCCACAGACGATTATAGCGTAACATCTTCGTCATGTGACGATCAATTTAATGATCAAACGAGAATAATAAATATTGATGAAAATACAACACAATTGCCCCAAGAAGATTTAGATACTGAGCAGTACTGGCAATTTTTATGGAAGAAACACTTTGGTGAACAGTATGCTTTGCATTACGCTCATTATTTAGAGTGTCACGAAGCAAAAAATAAAGGAATATCGCCAATAAACATTAACATACCAGAAAGTAAAGTTAAAGTTGAAGAGTTGAAAGGTTTAGACATCGAATGTGAGAATAGTGAAGGTAATTCTCAAGAATTACCATCTGTGATCGAAGTTCAAACTAAAATCGATAAAATACAATTAGAAGAGAAAGTGAGTAAACCTAAAAGGAAAACTAAGAACGCAAATAATCGTATCATCAGTTCTGTGGGTGTTTTGTTGCAAAACTTGCTGAAGGAGCAAAAGGATAAGGAATTGGAAGAAGTTGTGGAAGGAGAAGACGGGAAGACAAATAATGAGAAAACTGAATCCATAACTATTGAAGACAAGAATAGAACAGTAGAATCAAATATACAAAATAATAGCAGTAGCGTATCTAAGTACGAGTACGATGAGGGAGATGATGAACCACCCGAAGAAAAGCCAGTTTCTTTAAAAAGAAGGTAATTATAAGTCATCAAAAGCTTACCAAATTTGTACGTTTGTTATAATCATGTTTATTTTGATTTCAGTCATGAAATAGACGAAGATGAAGTTGCTGCAGAAAAAATTAAATCAACGTTTCAGATAATGGGGTTCTCATTAAACTCCACTGAAATGCCGAAAGGGCAATTGATTTATAGAAAGCGATTGGGGAGATTGAGGCCTCCAAGATACAAGCGGCTGGTTGTTCCGAGTAAGACGTACTTCGACGATGCTGGAAATGCATACCAATTAGACCAGGTACATTATTTTTTAATTTTTTTTGGTATGATAACATTTTAAAGTCATAAAATTCATATTACACTGAATTTAAAAAATGAGCAGCATAATATTTTACTGTATACACTTACTTTAATGTTTATTTTTTATATTATTATTTATTAATACAATTATTTTATTTTTATTACATTATAGAGTCAAGAATCTCAAGACGATGATGAAATGTTAACAGACGACGATGGACCCGAAATACAATCAGATGTAGAAAAAAAAACAGAATGCAATTATGATGTGCCAGCAGTTGAAGAGAAAAAAGAATCTGAAAACAAAATCAAAGAAGATTTAGATGCCTCTTTAGTTGACTTACCTCCGGATGAAGATATAGTACCAAATGAAGTTGTAGACGAAAAAGTGGAAAATACAGTCGAAAATATAAGTAAGTCAGGATTTTACTAAACTCCAAAAAAAACATTTCATTGTTCACAGTGTGACTTCCGAATTAAGTGTAGTTGAAATTTGGCGACAGGGCTTTTGTATATCCGAGCATAAAGAGTATTTGGAATATTAATTGTTTTTATTTTTATTTGAAAAAAAAACCTGAAGACTTAAAGTTATGTCAGATATGTAACATTTTTAATAAAGAATAATGAACAATGGGATTATCTTATAATCTATACATATAATAAAATTGTAACTAAGCCGAATCTGTACATTAAATATTTTTTGGATAATCTTATTAAAATAAATATTATTATCGATACAGAGGCTGAATCTATAGTTTTTAGAATTTTTGTCTGTCTGTCTGTTACCGCATCACGGAAAAACCACTGGAGGGATTTTGATGAAATTTGGTATGGTGATAGCTGGCTGGATATACTTTTTACCGCGGGAAAATATCTCATTTCTGAGAAAAAATACGAAAACTGCTATGTAAGAGTATACTAATATGTAAAACCTAAGAATTTGGTTTTTGATCATCTGAACGCGGGCGGATGCAATGCTAGTATAAATATAATTTGAGTCACTATTAATTTTATTTATATTTTTTTTTAACATATTTTTTTTTAATAACAGCTCAAACAAAACGAAGACGCAGAACTAAAAGGCATTCTCGTATAGAAGCGTGTGATATGTCAGAAATGCCAGATGAACTGAAAGGAGATGCAAAAATGTATAAATATTGGAAAAAACGACATTCTCTATTCCACAGGTAGGACAATACCAATATTATAATGGCTGTGTGTAAATGGTAAAGATGTTTGTTGAAATAATATTGACAATTTTTGGCACAACGATAATTCTTGCATTTGAACCTATGATGCCAGTTGTTGAGTAGTGGAAGTTTTCAATGGCTACTAGTAAAACTAACGTGTTTCTGCTTATATAATTCCATTCATTCTACATTTGTTTTTTTTTTTAATTTATATTTACTATCTATATCAAATTAGCGAACCCGACAGACGTTGTCCTGCCCAAATATGGTGTTCACCATAGTATTTACATAAAATCCTAGAAAGTTGTGGGTCTAAGCCATTTAGGTACCCATTCCAACTTACACAAAAAAATTCATTGAAATCGGTCCAGCCATTTAGGGAAGTTCAGTGACATACACACATACAGAAGGATTATATATATAAAAATGTTTCCTGTAGGATATAATTTGTTCCACAAACATATATTAATAACTAGCGACTCACCCTCGCTTTCATTCCTATGTAAGTTTTAACAGTTAGTATGGAATAGACAGTTGATCCCTATATCTATTCCATAGGAATCATACATTTTTCCAGGATAAAAAGTAACCTATGTGCTATTTTAGACTATAATCAATCTCTGTGCCAAAATTTCATCCAGATCTGTTCAGCCGCTCTAGCGTGATGGAGTAACAAACATCTATCTATACAAACTTTCGTATTTATAATAGTGCTAGCAACTCAGCCTTGCTCCGCTCGGGTTCCTCTCTACTTACGTTTTAACGTTTAGTATAGATTTCTCAGAGATGAAATATTTTCGCGCAGTAAAAAGTATCCTATAACCAGCTATCATCATACTAAATTTCATCAAAATCTGTCCAGTGGTTCTCTCGTGATGTGGTCACAGACAGACAGACTACAGATTCGGCCTCTGTACTGATGATAATATTGACTATTTCAATAAGATTTTCCAAAAAATATTTAATGTACAGATTCGATTCTGAATTTTATTATATGTATAGATATGCATATATAGTAAGAAAAATATTTGCAGATTCGACGAAGGCATAAGGCTGGATCGAGAGAGCTGGTTCAGCGTGACACCCGAGAGCGTGGCGCGACACATCGCCGCCAAGTACGTGTACGACGTGGTCGTGGACGCCTTCTGCGGGGCCGGAGGGAACACTATACAGTTTGCTCACACATCGAAAAAAGGTACATTTTCTTTATTCGTCATCATCCATCCATTTAACACTATTTCCCATGTGCATGGGTTGACTGGAAGAGATCTCTTATAGAGATAAGTCCATCTTCACTTTCTATGTATTTTGTTTTTTTATAACTTATTTGTGCAATAAAGAATATTTATATCCTCCTCCTGTCCATTTCCTATATTACTACTGATGCTGATTGGTTTTGCCTAATTTAATTAATTTTAAGTGAGATTTCTTTATTGTCTACTTGTTGCCTATGGGTTGGTGTAAAATGTCTTGTACCAAGTTTTATCGAAACCTGTTCAATCATTATTCCTTTCTAGTGATGTACCCAAATTTTTCTTAATTAAAAGATAGTCAATTTAAAGAATCATGTAGGGATGAACCCGAGAGAAGCGAGAGTGAATCGCTAGTTGATACATAATTATCTATATATAAACATTTAAATAAAGTCCTAACACACATTTTTTTTACTATAAACTTATCTTTTTCCAGTAATCGCAATAGACATAGATCCAGATAAAATAGAAATGGCGAAGCACAACGCTACGGTGTATGGCGTCGCTGACAGAATAGAGTTCATTGTAGGGGACTTCTTCGAACTAGCGCCCTCATTGACTGCAGACATGGTGTTCTTGAGCCCTCCATGGGGAGGGCCCAAGTACTCTGAGGTAAGTTCAATTACAAAAAGTAGGTTTATTACTTAAATAGCAGAACCCGCGGCTTCGCTCGCGCTAAAACTACAAAAAAACTCTAAAAAGATAGGTTTCATACAAACTTATATGCCCTATTGTACCCCCTTATGGGATGAATTTCGAAAAATGCTAAAACACGTATTTATTTCATTGTATTGAAGAGCGTTAATACCAAGTTTCAAGTAATTCTCATCATAAATATTTTTTTGGTTTGTATTATAATGTGTTTTAACCATGGGAATGAACACAGGGTAATATGTATATAATACTATTTAATATATGTATGTTCTATATTTTCTTTTTTTCAGAATCATGAATATGACATAGAAACAATGTTAGAGCCGAAGCCCGCTTCGGAATTGATGAGGGTCGCTCGCGAAATCAACTCAAACATAGCTTTGTATTTACCGAGAAACACTCGGACAGATCAGGTAATAAATATGTATCCTATATGACACCAGGTCATATACATATATCTGTGTACCAAATTTCATCCCAATAAGGACAGCCGTTTCAGTGTGAAGGAGTACCAAACAAACACACACACACACACATATTTTTATATATATATATATATATATATATATTTTTTTTTTTTTTTTGAAAAAAAAATAGTTTTAGTATTTTATTTATTTTTGTAAGTGCCATTTATGACAGTTACTGAAAAAACGGTTTTTGTGGACTGGATCCATTTTGCATAACTAATTCCATTAAAGTAGGTAATATGTTAACTTTTGCCCATGACTAACTACATTTAATAATAATTAATTGTCTTGAATCTTGATAAATGATTGGATGGATTAAGATATCACAGAACATAAACATACAAACAAAAAAAGATAGAAATGTAAAGCATAAAGTTTTTCTTCTTTATTGTAGTCAGTTAAATGATTTTATTTATTCAGAAATAAGTAAGCATAAAATTTGGCTTTACATAAAAATGTTTTTTTTTTTTCAGATACTTGCCTTAGCACAAGAAGTAGGTGGTTCCGTGGAAGTGGAACAGAGTTATCTGGACAAGAGGTTCATAGCTATCACTGCCTATTTCTATTAATAATAAAAATGCATTATAAGAGAGCTGTCACCGTAGAAGTGGCCTGAATTTAAAAAAAACAAACAAAGATATATCAAGTTAAATACGATGTTTGTAATGCTATTTAAAGGCTATTTGAGCCCAGTGGTAACGCGCTCTCTTGGGAAACCTAATGAAGCGGGTTTAAATCTATGTTCTCACCTCTGATATTTTCATGTGCGAATCATTTCCAACTTGATTACCACTTGTCTTACGGTGAAAGAAAACATCGTGAGGAAACCTGCATGTCTGAGAGAACCTAGCAAGTTTTCGGAAGATATACTCAGTCCGCCCATACTTGGCCAGTATGGTGGATTGTAGCCTGATCCCCCTCGTATTGAAGGGAGGCCCGTGCCCAGCAGTGGGACGTTAAAAAACGGCTACCTACAATGCTATTTATAATCTCGTGGTGTTATTTTATAATAAATAGCACTTAGTAATATATCAAAAAATGTGAGTTTTGTAGGCTCTTTTGTGCTGACAGCCTCAATGATAATATACCCATTTGTCTGATAGGATATATATCCTATTATTCATTAAAAAAATATTATAATTTATTAACTCTGAGGAATGAATGAAAGTAATGACTTTTTATTTTTGATATATGTAGAATTGCTTTACATTTCGCTGATATTTTGACTTTTATTATATTTTCTACTTTTATAAGCAAATTTCATATATATTTTGAAATAATTTTGTAATACATATATGTATTACTTTATAAGTTTAAAATATATTATTTGAAAAGGACATTAAAATTTATGTCCATTAGGTTTTTTGTTTAAGTATTAGTTTCAATGTTAGTAATATTCTATAGAAAATAGCTCAAATCATATAATTAATATGGGAGAAACAGACAGAAGAGAATTATTAACGATTATGACAAAAAAAGTAAATTTATATGTTAATTTGAATAAATCCCCAACTAACATAGTCAGTACATATCTTGTACCTCATGGATTTATATTTCATTTTATAAATTTAGTATTAAGAAATGTTCATGGTTTGTATATGAATGTGTATTAATTATAGTAAAAAATATATATAAAATATAGAAAGCAATATAACAAATATCAAATGCCTTATAATAAACGAAAAGTGATTTTGAAACCGATCATAATAATTTTGAAACTAATACCATATTATAAAAGCTAAGATTGTATCTACTATTCAGTGAAAAAAGTACTTCTAGTTGTACTGCAATTCATATTTATTTGGTTTGTATTACTCGAATGATTATATATACATAAATTGTATGTACTTGATGGATGCTAATATGCTGTTTGAATATGCTGCTTGATGGATATTAATATGATATGACGTTTCTTTAGATTCGTCATAATAGACAAAATTAGTGGAAGGAAAAATGAAAATATTTTATTTTTGTAGCAGGTATTGTTTCATAGACTGGTGTCATGTTGTATCTATACAAAAAACTAGTGGATATCCAATTAAAATGCAAACATTTTCTAACAGCCATTATTTTATATTTTTTGTCAAAATGTTATTAGAAGGATTAGAACATCAGACCATTGTTCACAAAACCAATTAATCAATAGAAAAAATGTGTAGAAAAATATATTGAAAATTGCATGCATAAAAGTTTATGTGTATCCTTTTTATGTAACTATCATAATATTTTTATTGCAACTTAAAATATCCTAAGTTTAAGTAATTATTTACTTCAAAATATATTATAGCAATCTAAACCTAATCTCTTTTAAATAAGGTTCTTATTACACGTTATTTATTAAGTTCTGTTTTGCATTAATTTTTTCATTGCTATAAAGGCGTAGGATCAGCCATCTTTTACTCCATTTTAAGAACAACCCAATAAACACATTTTATATTTTTATAATATCAGTAAGGATTATAGAGTGCAAGCTGAATAAGTCACATTGATGTTTGGTTTACTCACTATGAGAGTAGATGTTGATCTAATTTTTGTTAGGTTAATACATATTAATGCTTTACAAGCTAGTTTACATAATGAAGAATCTAGTAGGAGTTTTCAAAAACTTTGTCACATTCAAAATAATTTTATTATTATCTACATTTTCTTCTTTCTCTACATACAGTAATCTTCTTTCTGACCTATGAATAGTTTATCGTGTGCATGATCAATGATTATAAAGGTGGACTCAGTCAGACTTAAGTATATTTTAGCAATGATGACTCCACTAGCACACATTAATATATAATATTGTTGGGAATAGCAATTTATGGTGTATAATTATATGTATAGTAATTGCTTAGTTTGAATCAACATGACAAAAATAATAAAAATTAATATTATCCATACATAACTGATTCATATTTTTTCTAGACATAGATTTTATGCTCAAAATAGTCAGTTTATAGTTATAAAAATTGCCTTCCTATAGCATTTATTAACTTTTAAATTATGTTTCTTAGATAACTGTTTCATGTGGCAAATTTTCTCATTGAATGCATTTATTGTTGAAATAAAAATATGTGTAGGCCTTGTATGTGTGACCATAAATGTTGTGATTTCTGTAAATACTTGTTGAATATAATATACAAACAAACACTATGTTTTATTTATAATTTGCTTCTTTTCACTAATAAATTAATATGCTAAATCAATACATATGAAAGTTGTGTTGTGTTAGTTACACCATTTATAACTCGGAAAACGGTTGGACCAACTTTTGATTTGTTTCCGTCCCAAATAGCAGAATAACTATTAAAACATTGGAAAAATTCAATGTTCTGTGGCTCATAGCCATGTCTAAGAAAAACACAAAAAAAATTTACATGGCTAATAATAATTTATATCTATTTAAAAAGTACATATGGACACACTCAAAGGAAGAGAGGGTAAGTACTAAGTCACTAGTATATACTATAAAAGATGCTTCATTAATCTAGTAGCATGTTTATGAACATCGTTTAAATTGATATTCTCAATCACTTTTTGAAAAGATGGATGTGGTAATAAAAGATAATATAAACTTTAAACCTTATATTTAAGTGAAAAATTACAATTATTCTTTATTACTATTATAATAGTACCAAACTTAAGTTTAATTAATGTAAGTTTTCATTACATTTGGAATTGAAACTCTTAATTCTTAAACACTTATTCTTCTATCAGAAGTTTTTGAGGTGACACAATTTTTTATATTTATTATTCGGCTGCAGTTTAGTATATGGGACGCGGCCCCTGGAGGAGTGGGTGGTATTTTTGGATAGGGGAGGTGATAGAGTCCAAATATATAAAAATTATTTTGAGGAAACAAAAGAGTCAAAAGTTATTAAGACTTAAAGTTACAACATTTCCATGCATTATTTAGACATTACTGCCATTTAGACACTTGGAAATATCAAAATGTCACTTTCAATTGTCAAAATGATCTCCAGATTATGTTTTGTCGTGTTTTTAATTATACTTTGCGTGAAATTTGAATTTCCTAGTTTTCTAGTCATATAATAATGGCACTTGCCGGCCGCTGCCGCGGCACGCTCGCTTCGCTCGCTCGGCTCGTGCGTTGTGGTAACTGTTCTAACATAACCTAACCAAGATATGAAGAATAATAAATAAATAACCTATGTCTTAAACTAACCACGATGTCACAAAATAAAAACCAAAAGTGAATAATACACTTAGATTTTAAAAATAGTCTACTCACGTTTATAAATTGTATTAATATAATCTGTTGTCATTCAGGTTGTTCGATACCTAATGTAAAACAGAAATTGACAGTTGTCAAAATGTACGATCATTTTGTTTACAATAGGTACTGTTGTGAAATTATTAAAAAATTAAATACCATAAAGCCTTAATTGTGGTGGAAATATGTGTAGTACATAAAAAAGGATGTTTACTATTCGTTAAAGGTATGTTGATCTTTTGTAATCACATAGTGAGGTAAAGAAATGTATGGAAATGTATTAGACATGTTATAACTTTAACTCTCAATAACTTTTTACTCTAACGTTTCCTAATAATACTTTTTATATATTTTAACTCTCTGTTGTCTCCCCTATCCAAAAATACCACCCACTCCGCTAGTTGGTAACAAAATGTATGGAAATGTTGTAACTTAAAGTCTCAATAACTTTTTACTTCTATGTTTCCTTAAAATAATTTTTATATATTTGGGCTCCCTACACCTACCCTATCCAAAAATACCACCCACTCCACCAGGGGCCGCGTCCCATAAACTAAACTTGTGCCTTATTCTCTCATACAAAATATCCACATTACTCCTTCATCTCCCCCTCTTCATCTTCTTCCTCTGCTCCTCTTACATATAAAACATTATTACACCTAATTAGGACTTCTCCAAGATTTCCTGTAACAAAAGATACAGAGGTAAAAAAATGATATCTAATAGGACGCGAAAATTACCCTCCTACCTAGCGGACTTTGTGGTTGATGGGAGTGAGAGTGAAAACTGAACCGGGGGAGAATGAGGTGATATGCGACCTCCGCGCCATGTACCTATACGATCTCCGTAGTGTTGTTAAAACCAAACGTGTCAACTGTCATACTTTGTTATTTATTAATATTAATTTAGTCATTAGATTTGTCTAGTGGAATTCTTTCAGTTAAATAAAACCAATATTCCTCTTGGTTTCTCGTTTATTATGCCACACTACACATCAATAGAATAAGTATAAAAGAATAGCAGCATACATAAATTATTAATATATTAACTAACCTGTACATGATCCATCAACAATTTCTTCAGTATTAGCTAATTGTAAGTTCATGTACCCATCCGCTGAAACTAGCAAACCTTTATATTCATGCCCCCACTTTAATTTAACAAGCACAGATTTCCCTGTGAGACTATTGAGGAAAGGTTTGGGGTTAATTGGCATTGCCGCCGCCATCTTCAATTTTATCTGTAAATATATACAAGTGAATGTTGATGCAACTTAATTATTGCTTTTATTACATTTTATAACTAACGTATCTATTATTCTTACATTTATTAAATATATTTAAAACACAAGCCGCCAACAGCTAACCGCGTCGTTTTAGGAAAATTGACAATGACATTTCAAATTTATCACAGACAGTATATCTATATTACAGACTATATAAAGTATGAAGAATCAAAAATGCGATAGAGCGGTTACATCTCATTTAGAGTATACATATTAACCACTTGAACCCCGCGCTTTTTGACATGCAACACCCCTTAAACACCGAGCCCGCGCGTCATTTTTCCCCGATACAACCATTACATAAAAAAACATTCATAATTCAAATTATATAGCACCAATTTAAAATGTTTTTGCAGTTTTGGGTTTTTAAATAATCTGAGCATTTATGACAATATGTAAAATACACTTTCAACTATTGATGAATTATAAATAAGCTAACAATATATGAGTGTTAGCTTAATATTTACTAGTTGTTGTATTATATTGATTATATATTATATTGATGATAATACCACGGTCTATATTTACACTAAATTTGAAACACTACTTTATAAATAAACATGTAATCGCACAAAACTATTCTTTGATTTATTTATATTAGTTGTTAGTTACAATCAAATTCAAAACTTTATAGCACTCGCGGCTCGTTCGTTGTATTTGCGCAGCTCATCGTGCAATTTTCAAAACTAACATCCGAGTTATAATGTGTGGATTCTTAATAAAAATAATACTAAAATACAGAATAGTCCTTACTTTAAAAATATGCACCAATAAATCTTCAAAATAAGTCACAGTAATTAAAATTAGAATGGATTTCTTATAAGAGAGAAAAATTGAGGTTATTTTTTACAGACGCTCGTGTTGCATTGTAATTAACGTTTCTGTATATAAATTTAGCTTTAATAGTGTTTGCCTTATTTAATACGTAAGTTATCTTGCTGAAATATATATAGTATCATCGTGGTTTTATTCTAACCAGTTTTTGTATTTTTTCTCAGAAATGAGATATTTTCCCGCTGTAAAAAGTATACTATATGTTGACCCGGATAACCAGCTATGACCATACTAAACATCAAATTCCGTCCAGTAGTTTTTCTGTGATACGGTAACAGACAGACAGACAGATAAAAAAACTAAAAACTATAGATTCGGCCTCTGCATCGATAATTCAATAAGATTTTCCAAAAAAATATTTAATGTACAGATTCGACTTAGTTAGAATTTTATAATACGTATAGATGTAGATACTTTCTAAATATATTTAAATATCACAAACACACTTGAAAAAACACTAAATAAGTAATTACTAAATATAGTAGCTAATCGCGTCGCGCGCTCTCCGTCGAATTGTGAAGTATCAAGTAAGCAGTATATATCTATACTCTTTGCAAGTAAGACTGTAAGAGGCCCGGGCGGTGGGCCGGCTACGTTCGTTCCGTCATAGTGACGTCACACGCACCCGCGTACATGGATTTTGCCGGCAGGAACGGCGTAATGTTTATTATTTAATATCTTCGTAAGTTATGGTCTGATTTTGAAAATTCAAAAAGATATATCATTTTTATGTCTTATTAAATAACGTGGATACTAGTTCTATGGAATTTGCTATAACTGTACTGATCCTCATTGTATTACGTTTGTAACTACGAGAAGTATTTAATATTGGAACTAGGATAGTAATATAATCAGTATTCTGTGATATTTGAAATAAATGTCTGTTAATATTAGTGTTGTACAGCTTGATACAACAAAATATGGGTAGTTTGGGTACGTAGGCATTGGAATTAAAAAAATACATTTTTTTTATGATTATAATTGAAATATCAGAGCAGTCAGATGATGGGTTTGTAATGTATATTCACAGATGGCGCTTTTATATTTTACAATGTTAAAAATTGTTAAAACCACAAATTTTTTATACAAATGCAGAATGACTTTTACAATATTTACACGGTTATGGCAGAGATGGCCTTTCTCTATATTTAAAAATGTCAAATATACAAGTACATTAAAAAAAAAACAATACGGAAATATGAAAATAATTTATTTGGTCTCAATCCTGTCCATTACAAATATTCATTCCACTATAGCCTCGACTTTATCACAGATGGAGGCTTACATAAATATCTAAACTAATACAAAAATATATTTATCATTATGATATTTACAATTAAATACAAATTACACACAAAGTTAAAATAAATCATAGAAAACTATGGATTCAATCACTTGAAATTTACAAAATCACTTACGTTATAGATAATACACACTGTTTGATATATTTTCAACTATTAGTTATGTTGGTTTCAGTTTTAAGCAATTCGGGGAATAATTCCATAACACACAGGTCCAGTAAACTGTACACCAACTGTGAACAATAGAAAAAATATAAAATTGGACATTATTATAAGTACAAGTCTTCTTCTCCCTGCCCATTTCCCAAATCACTTGGGGTCGGCGCAGTACATCTTCAGTGTACTGCTGATAGGATTTGGCAAAAGTTTTACGACCGGCCGCCTGCCTGACGTCAACCCTCCTTGGGAATGCTATTGTCTTTCTTTGTCTGAATGGTGTTAAATATTATGCACTTTCGATTTTGTTATGTTTTAAAACATTTTTTATACTATTAATTCAATTATTAATGTTATTTTTGGATATATTTTAAAATAAATTTCGATTACACAATAAATTTTGTATTGTATTATTATAAGTACAAGTATCTATGCTTATAGAGCTTCGGACATTAAATCAACTCGAAGGTTTCATCGTGTAGACAGGGCGTGAGACATACATTACTTACGGCTTACATTTAACTGCATTTTTTAACTTTCTTTTTTTTGAAGAAATACTTCTTTTGGGACGTTTGAAAAAATTATGAGTAAAATTTTTGTGATGAGCGCACACACCTGATAATTGTTTGTTGCCATGGTAACCGTTGTTGTGTGACATAATATTATATTCTATAAATATATGATTTTAATACGCCTTATTAATCTTATATATTTAAACGAGCTATTCTTGTATATATATATATATATATATATATATATATATATCTCAATATATAATCTGAATCTCGGAAACGGCTCCAACAATTTTCATGAAATTTAGTACACAAGGGGTTTCGGGGGAGATAAATCGATCTAGATTAGTCTTATATCTGGAAAAACGCGAGTTTTCGAATTTTCATGTGATTTTCTTTTGCATTTTCACAATTTTTGCATTGTCAGTTGTCACTTCTGGTGGGTGGGAGGCGCCACTGTGCAACTGTCTACACTACATCGTGTCCGGATTTATATCAAGTTTAAAAATATTATAGTGGAAATAATCTAAAGAAAAGTGTTAAAAATAAATTATAAAACCTATGGGCAATATGTAAACATCACCAAGTCTTGATGTGTTAAAGAACAAATGAGCTTTTAAAAATTCACCTACCAAACAAATACAAAAGTGACAAACATAACATATAGATACTATCAGTGCAAAACCATCTTTTCCGTGTGTGATGACAATAAAACAAAATAAATTTGTGAAGTGAAAGCGTAAAATATTAAAACATAAGTTTATAACCTCAAAAACTAATACTCGGTATAAAATTGCAATTCAACTAGGTATAGGTAATTGGTGCCCTTTTTCAATCAGCTTTTCTACTTCCGACTTCTCACTTAAGATGGAGGACAAAAAAATTGCTAATAAACATGCAACAAGAAATAAGACAGCAGAAAACAGAAATGTTAGAAATGAAAGAAGACATTAAAAATACAATCAACAATAATATACTTAAATGAGAGATTTAAACACTTAGAAATAAAAATTGAAGTTCTTGAGAAAAAAATCCAGGAACAAAGTACCTCAATAAATAATTTAGAAAGACATATTAGGCGCAAGAACTTGGTTATGTTCAGAGTAGAAGAAGGTGAAAAATCCTATCATGAACTAGAGGAAAAAATAGTCTTAAACTAAACGGAAATAAAAAAGAAGTCTGCCTGTATCTCCAGAAACGCCTTACCTCAATTATAAACAAAAACTAACAAACAAACAACATACAAAGAAAACCATACCTGGTAATATTAAAGACTTTATATTACAAAAACCAAAATTAACTTTTAACCACACAAATGATAACCAGGAATAACTAAAAATAACACAGGAAGATACAGTATATTAAACACCGTAGGAACCTCCTCATCTTTATCCACCAGTACGGCCGGTCACTGTGGGGGAGTTCGACAGTAACCCTCCAAAGAAAAACAGACATACAATGAACAAAGGTATACATATCTTCACCAGAAAAGCTTCTAGAATTAAAAGCAGCATTTCCTACAACAAATCAAAAGAACACAAAGATAAAATTATAAACTTTATAGGCATATCAGAAACAAATTATATATTGAAAACAAAATTTGAAAAGAAACCCTTTGCAATCATGCAAGCATAATCGCCAACGGAGAGCTCTATGCAGGACTACTTTGGAGTTAACCGAGAGGGGTCTATACATGAAAAAGATATTTACTAAATAAATACATTTAAATATGAAATTAAATACCTAAATTTATAACTATTGTCAGAATTAATGTATGGAAAGAAATTTTATTTATATTTATTATTGTGAAATGTTTTGTATTTACTCAATTGAATTATTTAATTTATTGTTATTGTTTATTTATTTGTTTGTTAATGATAATTTATATATATACAATATAATTTCAAATAATATTAAAGATTTTTAAAATAATTTAATTCCAGATTACAAAATTATTAGTTAAAAAATTATAAGTTAATAAATAGCCACTAAATTATATAATTTTATATTTCAGCAATGTGATATAGAATTTTTTTTTATTGTACAACTAAAATGGCTCCTTATATACTCGTAACCACATAAAATTTTAATGGAATACTTTTATAAAAAGCTGTGCATACTTTTAAATTAAATTTTGCAATTCAAATAGGTAAAATTATAATGTTAAATAAATGTTTTTATGTAAATTTCGTTAGTAAGCCTTTATAATAAATAAATGAATAAATAAATAGAGCTTTATTATTATTATGATTTCTTTTGCATTATTTCAATAAATTAATAATTAATAATTCCACGCAAAATATTATGTTCGATAATTTCGCATGCTCAGATATAAGCATCATGGTCAAGCGACCAATGCGCAAGTTTGACAACCACAGGTGTCTGAGTTCATATCCCGGTCAGGCACAAAGTTTTCAATTTTGTTTTTGTATTTATTCAAATTCTTAGTTTGTTTTTTTTAATGTTTTTTTTTTTGGCCAAAAACTCCGAGCAAGGCTCGGTCGCCCAGGTACTATTTTATTAATTTATAATTCCCTTTACAAACAGAGAGTTGTGACATACGGGACGAAATCTTTAGCTATTTTTGTTCTGGTATGCCAAATAAGTATAACTTCTTACGTGCGTATATAAGTACACACACACACACGTTTTTTTAGTATCATTTTTTTCATTTTTCATTTATGTAATCTGATATGGGTTTCTGTGGTCTTTATATGATATATGGCCGTTACAACCAGTACTGGTGGCTACCTGCTTGTTGAGCTGCGGACACTGCAGCAGCTCGAAGGCGACGTGCAAAGCGCGCGGCAGGCGGCGGCGCGCGCGCTCGCGCTGCGCCAGCGCCTCCGCGCGCCCGCTCGCCTTCTTGCCGAACAGTATACCTGTGCAGTGGAACATACATGACACGTCACATAATACTATAGGAACCGTACGTATAGACTTTTACGCCAACCAGTGGTAAACACCTGAATCCATTTGGATCATTTTTCAATAATGTCAAAGAAAAATATGTTGTTTTTTAATTTTATTACACCAACATAAGTTTTTTTTAAGTCAATTTTGTACACATACCATAATTTACATATCATAAACATTAGACACACTCGTTTGTAGTATAATTTTTACGGTTAAGACAGTTTCACTTTTTTCTACTATAGCATAAACATGATTGGACTTGAATAATTTTATACCTTCCTCATTTTTTTTTTTTTTTTTTTTTATTAAAAATAGGCTCACTCTTGACTTTCATCTTACTTTAAATGTATAGATAAGGTCTATGATGTACCGAGTTTGCCCAGGAGAAGCCTGTTGACACGCACCTTAAAAAGTTTCAAGTTGTACGCTCTCGGAAAAACAGACGCAGGCAGGGCATTGCATTTCTTGGCTGTGCGCAATATAAAAGATGATGAATAGCGCTTAGTGCGAGTGGTCGGAATGTCAACCAAGAAAGGATGGTATCCTGCAGTACGTCTGGTGTTCCGATATAAGAATGGCGATGGCGGTATGAGACTGTGGAGCTCGTGGGCACACTCCCCGAAGTACAGTCTGTAGAAAACCGACAGACAAGCAACTTGGCGACGGTGTACTAAGCTGTGAAGCTTAGTTTTCACAAGCTTTTCGTCGCCGATTAGCTTTTTAGCTCTGCGTTCCACCGAGTCAAGAGCGGCAAGTTGGTATTTTGCAGAGCCATCCCAAAGGTGACTGCAATACTCCATGCATGATCGGACTTGGGCTTTGTATAAATTGAGAAGCTGTCCAGGCGTGAAGTATCGCTTAACCTTGTTTAGGATACCCAGTTTTTTGGCCGCAGTCTGTGCCTTCGACTCGATGTCATCGCCAAAGTTAAGGTTTGCCTTCAACCTTATACCGAGAAGCTCTAGACCGTCGGATACTTCCACATGTGCACCACGGAAAGTAGGAGTCAGGCTGAATGGACTCCTTTTTGCAGAGAACAAACAGGCCTGCGTTTTGGCGGCGTTGAAGTCAACCAGATTGTCGTCACCCCATTGTGACACAAGACTTAAGGTTGCATTTGTATACGCTCCACCATGGCCTCTCTCAAAGTGCATATTGTTACCCCTCCGTCCCTTGCACCGGACACATAGCTCTCTATGACTGTGCTGTCATCTGCATACGCAACAATACCAGGTGAAAGCAGGTCATTGATGTGCAGCAGGAAGAGAGTCGCAGAGAGAACAGACCCCTGTGGAACTCCGGCTTCGATAGTCATTGAATCAGAAGAGCAACCGTCAACGACTACTCTGATCGACCGTTCGTTTAAGAAGTCGGATACCCAGTTACAGAAGTCGGAGGGGATGCCGTAAGCAGGAAGCTTGCTCAGTAGACTTGCGTGCCAAACCCTATCAAATGCCTTCGAAATATCGAGTGAGACTGCTAGAGCTTCACCACGGTTTTCGATGGCCTCGCCCAGCAGTGCGTGACATACACAAGAAGGTCCCCAGTAGACCGTCCCCGGCGGAAGCCATATTGACGGTCACTAAGGAGATCATTAGATTCGAGGTATGACAACAACTTACTGTTAAGTACTCTTTCCATAACTTTACAGAGTATGGAGGTAATGGCGATTGGTCGATAGTTGCATGGATCAGCACGACTACCCTTCTTAGGTACTGGTTGCACATTGGCAAGCTTCCAAGAATTGGGCACTGTACTAGTTTGGAGAGAGAGGCGATACAGGCGAGTCAGTATAGGAGACAACTCAGGCGCACAATTCCTTAGAACCCTTGAAGGTATACCGTCAGGTCCACTGGCCTTATTCACATCAAGATTTTGTAGTATTTTACGGACCTCTTTCGTGTGTATTGTGATCTTCGGCATCGAAGAATCACAATGAGGCAAAGTTGGCGGATGTTTAGAGCCAGCGTCTAGACGTGAATTGCTTGCGAACAGAGTTGCAAGTAAATTTGCTTTCTCTACCGCGGAGTGAGCCAGTGATCCATCTGGTTTTTGCAAGGGAGGCAAAGACGGACGGCAGAAATTGGACTCAACAGCCTTGGACAGGGACCAGAATTGCTTACTACCAGGAGGGTAGGAAGCAAGTCTGGCTCCTATACGACTGACATGATCAAATCGTGCCCTACGGAGAACCTTATTGCAAAACTTGGTAGCAGAATTAAAAGCTCTTTTCTTCGCGCGAACCCTCCGAGCTCTGACTTTGCGATCGCGAGCCAAAACCCATGACTGGTAGGCGGCCTCTTTTCGCGCCTCCGCACGAGCACAGTCCGCATTATACCAGGGTTTGGCTTTGTGGCCGAGCGGGATGTCGGAGAACGGAATGAAGTATTCCATTCCCTGCCGTATCACATCCGCAACCGCATCAGCACAGCATGAGGGGTCGATCGAAGAAAAGCAGACTTGCCGCCAAGGGTAAGATGCAAAAAAGTGTCGCATCTCATCCCAGTCCGCTGACTCGTATCGCCATACTCTCCTCGTACCCACTGGGCATTCAACCGGAGGAGAGAAGATCGATACGGACTTCACCAAATTGTGATCGGACGATCCCAACGGGGACGTTACCGATATCGAGTGCCTGTCCGGGTCTGTTGTCAGCAGAAGGTCTAAGCAATTGCGCGTATGTCCGTCCACATCTGGTTCCCGCGTCGCAACATGGACCAGCTGAGTGAGATCTAGGGATAACGCAAATTTGCGCGCTTCTCTCCCAGCATGGTCAGTGATTTTGTAGGGGAACAACCACTCTTTGTGGTGGGCATTAAAGTCCCCAAGGAAAACCAGCTGTGCCGTCGGGTACCGTTGTTGGGCTTTATCGGCCATCTCTGACAGATGTTCAAATAGCCTGGTCGTCTCCTGGTCTCCGCTATGCGATCGATAGACACAGGCATAGAGGGTAGACTCTACGCCGGTATCCAACAAAACCCACACAGTCGAGAATCTTGAAACCTCAAAGCAACGGAGACGCCGACAGCAGATATCGTCACGCACGTACACACAGGCCCCAGCATGCGGTTTAAAATTGTGTTCCAGCGTGTAGCCTGGGTAGTTGAGGTACGCCACGTCTGACGGTGTTGCTATCTGCGTCTCCGTTAAGAAGAAAAGGTGCGGCTTCTCGGTCTCGAGGTGGTGGTGGACCGGATCGAGATTGGAGTGCAATCCTCTGATGTTTATGAGGTGCACTTTCAGTGGGAGGAAGTGCAGCCGTTGATTTAACTTTTCTTCTTCGTAACTTTGGTCATTGTGGTTTGGGTGTTGGTGGGGAAACAGTAGGAAATCGAGGCGCCGCTCAATAAACCTACAGGACTTCAGAGCTTAGCCAACTGAAGGGAAACTCATTTGGAGACCGCGGGGACGCCCGAGCCCCCCCGAAAATGGCCACCGGGTCCTCCCATCCAGTCGCCAACTGGCACGGTGGAGCACTTCGGGATTTTTCGCGAGTTGGCGGGGCAGCCTTTCGCACGTGGCTGGCGCGCTACTTGGGCCCCCAACTACCTGCGGTCGGCCAACGGCAAGACCGTGCCTCGGATCCCGCTACCCTCCAAAATGAGTCTCCCGGTATAGCTTTACTTTGAAGCCCAGACTAGTAATAAGTAGCGCAACTGAAATCCATCTGTTCCCCAAAAAAGGCTCTGGTTCTCCCGCTCGCAGACGGAACGCAGTAAGCTGCTTGGCGTCTGATTCCGACAGGAGGGTGGTAGCTTCCAGGCGGCCCCTTGCGAGACCTACCACCGCATAAAAAGTGAGAGGGCACTGCTCACGACTCGCGAGCCAGTCGAGAGCAGTGCCCTCAACCACCATACTGGCATGGGTTACTCGCCTTTTACGAGACGCTTTCCCAGCGGCGGAGGAGAAATGTATTCTAAACCCGTCTCCTCACGGGAACAAATGATAACTGCGAGAAAACTCATTATTATGAACATATACAATATTACTGATAACTGGTTGAAATCCCTATTTTATTATTTTTTCCATTGTTATAAATATCCTGTGTTTACAAAAGAAAGCTTTGATTCCACTATTTTCGGGAATAAAACATTAGTGGAACAATAGTGCTGCCCGCTACATTTCACTCATCACCATACTACATAGTAGATATGTCTCATCCAATACAAAGAAATTCGACAGCACTAATTCGAGCTAATAAACAATAAATTAATAATAGATGTCGAACTTATTTTATTTATGTGTAAATTGTGTCTGTATGCGTGAAATAAAAATCCAACCAACCATGCCCCAGCCGGACGAGGTGCGCGAGGCGGCGCTGGCAGAGCGCGGCGCGCGCGGCGGCGGCGGCGGCGGCGGCCAGCGTGCGCCGCGCCGCCCGCAGCGCGCCGCCCGCCGCGCCGCGCACCGCTCGGTGCGCGCACACTATGTTCGTCACTGTACACACGAAACTAGTTTAATTACACTACGTGTAGGCATTTCAAATAAAACGATCTTTTCGAAGTTCTTCGCGGATTTATTTTGATTTTGAAGTAAAACTTCTTTAGGATCCTCGCAATTTGAAACTCGATTAAACGCAAATGCGACACGGGAAAGAAACAAACACAAATATATATATATAGAATTAAACCGGCCAGAGAATTGGTTAAAATACATTACACAGGAAGTGAAAAATAATAAAAATAATACTGAATAATATGTTAAGTCATATTATTAAACTTAAAATTTACTTTTAAACTTGGTAAAAAATGTTATTAAAAAAACCATAAACCTTACAACTATCCTACTCATGATAATCTTCATCAAATTACTCAAAGTAAAATAAAGCACAGCAACAAAATCAAATATACAATAAAACAAAAAAATATGAATATAACAAGAAAAAAAACTGGCCAAGTGCGAGTCGGACACGCGCACGAAGGGTTCCGTACCTTTATCTATAAAAACGGCAAAAAAAAACACATTTGTTGTATGGGAGCCCCCTGTAAATATATGTTTTATTTTAATTTAATAATTTATTTTTAAAGTGAATATATAACTAAATAAATATTTGTTGTTATAGCTGCAACAGAAATACATTATCTGTGAAAACTTCAACTGTCTATCACGGTTCATGAGATTCATCAGCCTGGTGACAGACGGACAGACAGATAGACGGATGTACAGCGTTCTTAGTAATAGGGTCTCGTTTTAACCTTTGGGTACGGAACCCTAAAAAAAGAGATATGATGACATTGATGATACATGTGTGCGCACGTGTGTATGTGTGTGCGTATGAGTGTGTGTGCATACGTATGTGTATGTGTGTGTTTTCAAACACTCAGTGTATGTGATAAAAAGATCGTATAACTTACATATATACATAATACATTGTTCAATTCCCACAACCGTCGCCTGATAGGTGAGGTCCGTTTCCATCACAACCGGCTCTGTGTCGAAGTTGTTCAGGAATATCGAATTGTGTATATTCCGCACGTTTCTTTGACGTTTTGGTATTTTCTGTTCGTTCTCTTCTTCGCTTACTTCGTGGGCTTCTTCCACGTCTCGGGGCGTCCCTTGCTTCCTAAAATATCAATTGTATTAATAATAATGTATTATAACATATGTGAGAAGCTAGAAATCTATGAATTTGTATAATATTAAATAGAGGCAATAATTTAAAAAAAATTTAAGAAAATTCTTTCTTCAATAACTAACCAACCTAAATATGGTATACCGCTGATCTTTTTCGAATCTCTTTGTCTAAGATGGACCAGACTTTAATAATTGTCTTGAATACCGTAACAACAAGACATCTCATTTTACAATTTAATCAAAATTTATTTATATAATTCTTTTTTTATTTTAGTAGCCTTAAAATGCCAAAATCTTCAAAAACAAATATGAATGATATACATAAGAAAAATGATCTGATTTCATTGATCAAATTTACATATTGACCAGTAGCTTACCAATCTTACTCCACTTAGAACTCGACTTTTTCCCATACAATCATCAATGACACATTCGGCTCAGTAGTAACCCTACTTGCTGTGCCAGCGGTCGCGGGTTCGAGTCCCGCTGGGGGTACATTTGTGTGATGAGCACGAATGTTTGTACTCCAGTCATGGATGTTTATAAACATAATATAAATATATTATATATGTATTTAAAGTTACATATGTGTAGTATATCAACTTTCTGGTATCCATACAGGCCTCGTAGCTTACCATGGAACTAGATGGTGCTGATAAATCTAGTCCTAGTCCTCATCGTCTAGTCATGTCCCAACATATTTATTTATTTATTATTTTTTATCCCGAGTAGCTCTTCCCCATTATTGAAAATAATAAATAAAAAAAACTCACAACGCCTGATATCTCTCCTTATCACAGGACACTAGAAAGTTCCTCAGGAACGAGTCTAGATGCTGTCCCTTCTCCTTTCTTAGCTTGTGGGCGACATTCTGGTATATGTTGGCCAGGTCTGGTCCCGAAGCCAGGGTAGAGGCTTGCACGAGGGCCGCGAAGTCGCCGGCCACCGTGAGGAACAGGTGCAGCAGCTCGCTGGTCTGCAGCAGCGAGATGAGGAGCAAGCGCTGGATAAAGTCCTCGTATTTGTACCGGAGGTTCTCTAACGGACTGTTGTCTCTGAAAATTGATATTATTATATTTGCAAGATTATAAGAAACAATGGGCGATCGCATCGCCTATAGAATTTTCAAAACATTATACATCTTTAGAGATGTATAATGCAGAGATTTAAGTTAATCAATGAAATCAGATAATTTTTCTTATGTACGAGTATATCTATGTGATGAACAAATGTGAATGAAGTTCGATGTTTTTCTTTACAATCATAAATCATGATACCCACTTTAAATATAGCACTGAGGCTTAGAATCTTTTATTAATTTACAGAACTTATTAAAATGAAATTTAACATATTATAAAATCAGACAAAGACAGACAACACAAAAGGTATCATTATATAATTACATATAATTTAAACGCGCAGCGCCTGACGTGAGAATTACTCTGTTTAAAGCTTTCTGCCAGTCGTTTTACACGTGTCAGCTCTGGACTAACTATACTAAGAAGTCGCATGATGGCATACGAGTAGCCTACAATAACGTTTCCGAATCCTCATGGGCCTGAAGCGTTATTGTAGCGCTTCAGAAATGTACGCGGAGGCGAGGGTCGATTCATTCAATGCCATACAACGTAAGAGGATTGCATCGTTCATGTCCAGGGTTGATAAGTGTAATAATGTCATTATTAGAAGTCTGTCTGCTAGGCTGATGCTGTCAGCAATGTACCGACGCTGGGTGGATATTGCCACCTAGTATCTATTTGTAATTTATATTGTTTATATTATTTTATTTTTATTGTATTATTGTATGTGTACTATGGATCAAGGGACTGAAATAAAGAATTATTATTATTATGTTTTCATTTTCATTCAATTCTCCCATTGCTGGGGCTTATTTTTCTCTAACGCGGACGTTAGTCAAACGTTAGAGAGGTGATATAAATTTTTTATCTATTATTGCATTGCTAAGAATTTTCTAACAATGCGACAAGTGTTGAGAATAACAGCTTTTTGTAGCTGAATATAAATGAGTGGGTGAAGATTGAGTTGTTTGAGACTGGTGTGTAGCGTGACTGGTATGACTCCAGTGGTTGAAAGAATGATTGGGATTGTTTTGACTGTGTTTATATGCCATTGTGTTTTGAGCTCTATTGATAAATCTCTATATTTTGTAATTTTATCAGTGTATGTGGTTGCCAGGTTATGTGTATTTGGTATCCCAATATCAATAAGGTAAACTATTTTATTTTTCTTATCAAGCAGTGTTATGTTTGGGCGATTATGATGAATTGTTCTATCTGTGATTATGGTTCTATCCCAGTAAAGTTTATGATCACCTGTATCTATTACTGCTAGTGGTTTATATTTATAATATGGTACGCTTTCATTAATAACAATGAGTGTGGAAAAATGATCTGAGTGAATATATCTGCTTATTATGAAGATTTTTAATATCTATTATTCCTCTTCCTCCTTCACATTTAGGTAGAGTGAGTCTTTGTATGCACGAGCGAGGATGGTGTTTCCTGTACTTTGTCATGAGTGTGTTGATAGTGCGCTGATGTTTGTGTAAATCTGTTTTCGACCACTTAATAATTCCAAAAGAGTAAGTTAGTATAGGGACTGCATATGTATTAATAGCTTTTATGATGTTGAGAGAGTTTAAATGCGTATTTAAAATTTTATGTAATCTTATCTTAAATTTTTCACATATCTGTAATTTAGTTTGTTTTTGATGTATTTGTTGGGTCTGTTGATATCCTAAATATTTATAACCATTTTCATCATCTACTGGATCAATAAGTTCTCCTGTCCGTAACTGGTAATTATTGTGTTCTATATGTCCACCTCGTACTGATTGTACCCTACATTTATCTATACCGAATCTCATTTGAATGTCAGTGGAAAACAATTCTGTAATATCTGTAAGTATTTTTAAGTTTATATGACTAGATGCGTAAAGTTTTATGTCGTCCATGTACATAAGATGTGATAGAGTATATTGGGTGTCTTTATGCGTGATTTTATATCCTTTGCCACTCTTGTTTGACATTAGTGATAAGGGATTTAGAGAAAGGCAAAACCAGAGGGGACTAAGCGAATCTCCCTGAAATATCCCTCTGCGTATATGTATTGGTTCTGTTTCAATTGAGTTTATTAGATTAGTGATTTTTAATTGGGTAGTCCAGTTTTGCATATTATTTTTTAAAAAATTTATAATAATTGGGTGTATTTTATGTATTTCTAAGGTTTGGATAAGCCATGTATGTGGGACTGAATCGAAAGCCTTCTGATAATCAATATACATAGTATATATATTTCTTTTCTTCTTGATTGCCTGTTTTGATATTACGGAATCAATTATAAGTTGCTCTTTACAGCCCTGACTATTGCGGCGACATCCTTTTTGCTGTTCAACTATTATATTATTGCTGTCAATATGTTTGTAAATTTGTTCTGTGATACAAGATGTTATGATTTTATATATGGTCTGTAAACAAGTGATTGGTCTATATTTACCTGGGTTACGTTTATCGGTGTGATCTTTAGGAAGCATGTATGTAATACCTTGTGTGACGAACAAAGGCAGCGTGTTTGGTGATTTTATAAAGTTATTTATGTGAAATAGTAGATATGTATGGATAGAAGTTAATTTTTTGTACCAATAATTGTGTATTCGATCAGTTCCAGTAGCTTTCCAGTTATGAGTTTTTGTAATAACATATTTTAATAGATCTATACTTACTTCTTCAAATTTCATTTCAGTTACATGTTCATGTAAATATTGTGTTTGCTCATCAACCCATTGGCTTTTCGTATGTTCAACCGGATTAGACCATATAGATGACCAATACTTATGTAAATCTTCTGGGGTAGGCGAATGAGCTGTGTTTAGATTATGTTGAGTATTATCGTTAAGATTTTTCTGTGATAAATTTCTATAGAATGTTTTTTCATTGGATTTAAATTTCTTATTTTGCGATTTTCTTAAGGTGGTTTGTTTGTATCTACGTAAACGACTTGCTAGAGCACTAAGTTTTTGTTTAAGTGTATCTAAAAATTCTGTGAGTGTAGAGTTTTCTATTTCATGGCGTGTGTGTATTTTATAATTCGACTTTATTTTATTGATATGTTTTTTAAGTATTTCACTACGATTACCTTGAATATAATCAGTGAGCCGGCCAATTTTTACTCTTAAATCATTTATTCTATTTTCTAATCGCTGTTGCCATTTCGGAGTATTTTGAGTTGATGTTTTTCTTTCCTTGGAATATGAGATTTTGGACCCATTAAACAAAGAAGCTGTCACTGCTGCGCAGTATATTTGAGTGTGTAGTGTTTGAAAATCATTATTATAATTAATATGTTTCGGTAATATTATAGAATTTATATATTCAACTATTGCCGTAAATTTTTTGGTACATTTTTGTTTTGGAATATAAGGTCTCTCAGTGCAAGGTGTATTTATAAATTCTGTGTAAGTATTAGAGAAAATAGAATTTAATAGAGTTTTATCTTCTTCCGAAAGTTTATATTTTACATTGTTTGGCCCAGTGTCGCTGAATGTTATGTCATCATTTATGATATTTGTATCATTAATCGTTAAGGATTGCGCCGATTCAGCAGTATTTAATGCTATGGTTGTATCTTCAGCTGCAGAAAGCATGATCGGTTCAGTAAAATTTTGAGTTTCTATTGTTGTACTATTGTTATCATTAATTATAAGCGCTATCTCATTTTTTATTTCTTCAAGCCTTTCTAAATTAATCAATTTATTTTTTACTATAACGTTTCGCTGGTCAGCTATTCTTTGGACTGAAACATCGGCTAAGTCTGGGAATATTTCTATAACTTCCCGGTGAAGTAGTGTTCTATATCCGGTCATATTTTTTTCGAGTTTAGTTATCCTATAGTAGCATTTCATTATTGTTTCATTAATATTATCTGTCCATCTCCTTCGTTGATTTTGTGTTTGAGAAGAATCTATTTGAATGGGTATGTCTAAATGATTTTGATTTCGAAGAAGTTTTTGGACTTCATCTCTAATTTCTTGTATTTTAGTGGTACTCAGTAGATTGTTTCTCATAATTGCTCTACGTTGGTCACCTACTCTTTGTTTGGAAGCTTGCATATGAGGAAATTGTTCAGTAAATTTTTCGTGTAATGGTGTAAGGTATGTATTTAATTCCGTTTCTAATAATGTGAGGATGAAATATGTGCGTACGATGAATATGTTCATTTCTATCGACCATTTCTTTCGCGTACGAGGAACTACCTTGGCGGGTGCAGGTATATCAGCCATATTAGCTATCTGCACAACGTCTTCGGTAGGATGAGGTGATCTGCAAGATGATGATGATGAAGGTGATAATTGAAGAATGGAAGATGATGAAGATTGAAAGAGTGATGATGATGGAGATGATTGTCCGGCTGTAACATATTCTTCGACAGGAGTCCGCCTGTTCAACTCCTCGTCGCCGATGGTTCGCATACTGAGACACCCAGCACCGGCTTCAGGTGCGCCCCGGCGACCCTCGGGCAGCGGCCGTAAATTATAAACTCTTTTTTCCATTGTGATATCATGTAAAAGGGTTGGGAATTATTGGTTAGAAAGAGTCAGCCTAGGTGTTATTGGCATTTATAGTATCTATTTATAAAGTAGATAGAGACCAGATGTTGTGGTCTAAGGATGTAGTTCCTTCTTTCTGTAAGCCCCCCCACCGCGACAAGGTCAATTCCCTTGGGGGGTTATTATTATTATTATTATATAAAAAGAAATGTTGGTTTAAGCTAAGCTGATAAACTGTTGAGCAACCTATCATCTATACTTATTGTGATATTATCTCTGTCAAGGCAAAAGAAGCTGTAAAGTTTAGCTAGCTTGGATTTAAAAATTAAAACACACTGTCTCCTAACAAACATGACGGATTATAACAAACATTGTACAGAGCAATTTTCGTTAAAAACAGGTACATACAATGAAAAAGGCTAAAATAGATTTATAAATCCATACTACTATCATACATGTGAAAGTTGTGAGAATGGATAGATGGATGTAGTGATTGATGTTTGTTACTAGTTCACGCCTGAACTGAACGGATTAAAATGAATGATTTATCCCGGAAAAATGTACGATTCCCGTGGGATAGATAAGTTTTTGTCGCGAAGCTCGGGTGAGTCGCTAGTAAGAACATATACAAATCAGTGTTTCATCTCACCTTCTAGAAGGCAGAGGCAGCTCAACCAGCAGGGTCTCCCCGTGGAACTCGAGCAGTTTGCTCCTCAGGAGGTGGAAGTCGTGCTCGCTCCTCTCCAGGCTCCACAGCGCTGGCGGCAGCGCGGCGCGCACGCGGTGCACCGCCAGCGTGAACACGCGCACCGGCCCGCGGCGAGGCGGCGCTTGCTGGAATGTTCCTTCCAATATATGATATATTCGAAATTCTTTTACCGGCGAGGGTTTTTAGGGTACCGTACCTCAAAAAATAAAAAAGGAACTCTTATAAGATCACTCTCTTGTGTCTTGTCTTGACTGTCTGTCCGTTTATCACCACCGACTTTCTCAGGAACGTGTGGACCTAGCAAGTTGAAATTTATACGAAATACGGATAAAAAGTGAAAAAGTTGACAATTAAAGTTAAACAGATTTCCTAGAAATTTGTACGGAACCCTCGGTGGGCGATTCCGATTCGTACTTGGTAATTTATTTCATTAATGGTCATACAGTTTATGTCATTTCTTATATAAATTAATAGTAAAGATAGTAAAATGCTTAAGATTTTAAGGTGCCACAACATGCTTTATAATGTAGCACAGGCTTAAAGAAAGCAAAGCACCTATGAATTCTATTGGTCTATATTAACATATCTAATAATATTTGTAACCTTATGTACGGAATGAATTTGAATTAAGCTTGGCGTAAAAAAGAGTACACTATATATTACATATATTATTTATTAGGTTCCAGATTTTGTTTATTTAACTGAAAGATACTGGTTCGATGATTGAGTTAATACATTTTATTTAACATGTGGTGATAATAGTGGTAGTTAGTAAATTAACGAACTTACAATTAGTGCCTAGCTTATTTAATTAGCCAATTATTTTGAAGGTAAAATGCGTAGCAAAAAAAGTATTATAAATTATGATACTACCATTGACACGGGCGCTTAAGCTTGGGGAGAAAAAAAAATTGTTATCTAGCTAGCAGTTGTTATCGACTAAGTTTATTTGTTTTTTCTAACTTTATATTATAATCATATAACAAATAATAGTAATCGTAAAGTTACTCGAAGTTTCCCATTGTTGAGAGTTATGTAGAAATAAAAGCTTATAAATTAATTAAAATTTAAAGTAGGTACCTAATAAATTAATATTAAAGTTATTTTTCATTTCTTTACATCAATAATGATGAATTTTAATTTTAATACAACTTAAAAAGATATTAAGCACTCTCATGGATGGCATTTTATTTAATTTTTCAAATTAAAATCTTAAATAAAAAAAATAACTCAGCAAAAAAAATTGAAACAGTCAATTAAAATATCGCAAATACGAATAAAGTATGGAATTAAGAACCCTCTCGTTTATAAGTCGGTCAAAAATAAACACTCACCAGTCTACACTCCACGTTGGTCAAAACCACTTTGTAAGTGCTCAAGTCCTGCGTAGAATCGTCAGCGGCTAAAGAGTCCAAGTATTTCAATATATCCATATTTTCCATAGACTCTCCCTCGTCCATATCCGTATCTATTGTTTCTAGTATTTGTCCGTCTGTCACTTGAGACTTGATGGCGTTTTTTAACTTGATCCCTAATCTTAACATGTTTAGTTTATCTTGTGGTCTGAAATAGGTAAAAATTCGTTTTAAATTAATCAATTGAATGTTATAACATATTATATCTTTACGCGTAATTTTCATTATCAAGCTTTTGTTTTAAAATGAAATGCTATAGTCTATTCTAATATTATAAAGAAGAAAAATTTGTTTTTTTGTTTGTATCGAATAGGCTCCGAAACTACAGAACCGATTTAGATGAATTTTGGTGAGAAGATAGTTTGAGACCCTGGGAAGGACATAGGATACTTTTGATCCCGGAAATAATCCCTTAAGGGGGTGAAAATGGGGATAAAAATTTGTATGAGATGAAGCGAGTTTAAAAAAAATATTTATTCAGATTATTATGCAGATTTATTTTGATTTTTGGTTCCCAACGTTTCGAATGCTATTGTAATCCTTTTTTGAAGTCGGTTAATAAATATTAATAAAGCCGTGCAAAAACATCAGATATTAATTTGACTTGACCGTTATTCGAAGCTTACGTATTGAGATAGGCATTACCGTTTCCGCCGTTTATATATCTATCCTTGTCTATCCGTCTACTGTCTCGCTCTCTATCGCACCACCTGGCAGCAGAGTGGGGATCGGTGTGAGCGATTCCCACTCCTAAAATTATTTCTTCATTGGCGTCTTGTTTTCCGCCGAGTGCAGTCGTGCTGGCTTGGGCTCGCACCGACTATACAAGTAACTCATAGCATTATAGGAAGACGTTTCTATGTAAGTTTTTGAAGTAATCGCCAACAAAAAATTTAAAAGGTAACGGTTCACACTATGTAAGTACATTTACCTTATTTATTATCATCATTTTTTCTAGACATTTGTTTAGCACAAAATAAAATCACACAAAATGAATGACTACATAGATTATGCAATGGTATAATTCCTACATTTTAATCAGTTCCCTTGCAGTGCTTTGCTGTTTACTTTTAGAATATAGGGGGTGCACTGTTAGTTAAAGCCAAAATTTGGCCTATTTAAGGAACATAACGGTAAAACGCAGGACACATATCAATATATAGGTAACTTTTACATAAAATATGCAGTGTTGCAAAAGAGAGGGAGCAACACGAAAAGGGCATGTGGGGTCATCCGATGATGCCGGTAACTCGCATTTGAAGCATGTTCCTACAGAAATATAATGAAACAATAGCTGTACGGTTCACGTGAGTATGCAATAATTATACATTGTTCAAATAGCGTAAGCAATTTGAGGGTATAAACAAGTACATTTTTAAAGTTTCGTCTTGAAACTCAATACATATTTAAATGTCATTTTCATATTAACTATGTAAGCTATATACCTACATATTTTTGTGGTTCATGGATAATTGACATAGATAGTGTAATGGAATATCTATTAGAATTGAGAAATCTTTTCAGCACTGTAATCTAAGTTATTACAGTTGTAATTTGTAAGTACGTGATATGAACTGTGAAAATGCTTTCGGAAAAATGAAGAACTTGCTGGTGTAGTCGACAATTTCATATAATATTTTATTTTCATATTCATTTTCAGCAAACTACGATATTTTATAAGCTTTATTTCAGTTCAGAGCATATATGCAGTGAAGATGTCAACACGAGTATCTATGTGACAAGATAAGGACATTAGTTATTTTTCATGCCATGGTACATGTGTATATTGATTATTATTAGACTAAATACAAATCTTAATTGCCTTGAAGAGGTCCTATGAGCTGTATTTTATAAATAAAACGTCTCCCCGCAGGAGTACGTAAAATGGTTAACCCTCGCAGGGTTAGTTATGTGGGTACCTAAGGAGTATCGAAGGTGACACTTATACATTTACGCATACTACCTACATGCACATACATACAGGTAGTTATGTGAGACTCATCGGAAAAGGCTGTATTACCCACTAAAATCCAACCGAACCTACCCCGTCTTAAAGGGGGTCGCAGGATTGCCGGACGTTAATTACTTCTCCACCACGACAAGGTAACACATAAGCACATTGGAGGAGGATCTATGGAGACCCTAACGCTGAGATTTTCATCTAGCTGTGATATTAATATCATAATCACAAATGTTGAATGTAAGCCCCGTTTAGTGAACTTAATATGAATATAAATCCTCGCGGGATTGACAATATACTTGTTCCACAAAACAATCTCTACAGATTGTTGATTCTTGTCCGAAGGTGAGTCACATATTAATTTTCTTCAAGAGAAAATGGCAGTGAGTTTTATATGAATATAAATCCTCGCGGGATTGACAACATACTTGTTCCATAAAACAAACTCTACAGATTGTTGATTCTTGTCAGAGTGTGAGTCACATGTTAATTTTCTTGAAGAGAAAATGGCAGTGAGTTTAATATGAATATAAATTCTCGCGGGATTGAGAATATACTTATTGCATGAAACAATCTCTACAGATTGTTGATTCTTGTCCGAATGTGAGTCACATATTAATTTTCTTCAGGAAAAAAATAGCAGTGAGCTTAATGTGCAGGTTTTGATATCGATTGAAGTTTGATATGTATAGCATAAAATTCGAGCCATGCGCTGAATGGTCACTTGCATATATAGTTTGGTTAAATCCACTGTATTAGGACAATTGCTATATTACTGAGCCTATAATTGTATGGGAAGGCATCGTCTCGATAAGATTGGTTCACTTTTATGAAGATACAAGTCGGATTCAAAAGATATAAGTTCTAGGTATGTATGAAATACATAAACTCCAAATCTGTGAATGGATTGGCTTTTGAGCATTATAAGAAATATTATACATTATTATTATTTTTGAACATATGGATATCGCATATCCATTTATCAAATTTCTAACCCGCACTGGGCAAGGGTACTGGCCAATAGCCTGATCCCCCTCTTATTGAAGGGAGACCTGTGTCCAGCAGCGAGTCGTTAAAAACTGCTGAATACGTTAAAAAGTATAATATTCTATTCCAGTAGTCGAACAGCCAAATCCAATTGGTTTTGGCCAAGGCAAATATAAGAAGAAACAACAGTGTACCTTTACAAAATGCATACGTTGATTAAATGTAACGTTTTGTATTTCATATTAAACTGATGTTCCCACTCGGGGCATCAGGGGCATTTGCTATTTTAGGCGTTCCTGCTGTGCTTGTAACGACAGGTCGCCTGTGTTACAAATTAAGCCTTAAAGAGCTTAGCAATCGTTCAAACGGTACATGTTGGTAAACTACGGCGTTGAAAATTTTCAATTATAGTAAGGTTATTGAAAGTTCTCAGTAAACGATAAGAGTCAATGTTAAGCATCGAATATAACTTAAAATATTGCATTGGCAAATGCATATATTAAGAAAATGACATTGTCTCAAAGAAGGCTTGAAATGTAGCACATTACAGTGAAAATTTATCTTTAATTTTGGATCACATATAAATGACGTATTATGATCATCGCTAAAATTGTAAGTTTTGACATATTATTATGAAACCCCAGTCTGACAGCTAGGGTAGTTCTGAAAAATATGAATTATACGCACAAATTGAGGAGGTACGTAATACATTATAAAAATTGTCCTTAATTCTGCGTAACATTGGCAAGTAATCTTTGCTTAAGTGACACGTTTTTGAAACCACTAACAAGATAATTTAATTGAATGAAATTGGTCCATTGCTTGGTTATGGATTTTACCAAATGTCAGACTACCTAATGACCGATCCATATTATATAAAAGCTATGGTGTATATTTGATGAGTCTTAGTGACATTGTTTAAAAATTTATGTTATAGTGCTCGTGCCTAATAATTGTTCTCGATTTATTGACATATGTGGAAATATCCTGTGATGTGCATCCGTGTACATCATACGTAGCTTCTTCTACGTAAATCATGAATTTGTCATCGAGGTAAACGTGCACATATGCGTATACGTATGTCATTGTTAAAAAATCATAAATTTTACACCAATGTGTATGCGAACATTTTTAACAGTATATTTCCGTTATGGTATTTTTGGCACACTTATGGAAAGGATGTACGTTAAGCGTTGTTATTATTCTAAGTTAAATATTTATCTTTTCGGATTGTCAAATATTCGTGTAAATCTAAGAAAGTATTATTCTAATTAAATAATATTATTAAAATTTTAATTTGAATGCGAGTCACTTTGGCGAAACAATGACTCTTTAAGCTGAGCTTTCTTTAAAGGAAAGTAGATCTGTCTTGTTATATTTTACAGCCTAGTATTATTACTAGCCTATAATTATTTATTTACCTACAACGTATGTTAGTATCGTGCGAAGTCAACCTTTTCCTACCATAGTTATCATCTCTATCTATAAATATAGGCACTTCCAAAGCCTTAATCAAGTCTTAAGCGTTGTTACATTTGATTTATTTATTTTTTATATACGTAAAGAGTTGGCTTTATTCAAACATCTAAAGGGACAAAAGTGCAAGATGAGGGCTTGAAGTTTGAACTCGCATCACTAAGTTTCCCAAACCAATGGGCTTCAGAGTTATTAAACTAATATTTATTATTAACTATTACTATTTATTATTAACTAAATTTGGAATTTTAAAACACATTAATTGTTAATGTTAGTTATTGAAATTAACATGTACGTCGAATCTATATGTCCAAAAGTTCTTGTTCGAGTATCGGGTCGCGCGTAGGAATGTTAGGTATTAGTTTTTCTGAAGCTCTAACAGTCTAGGGTCTCGTCTTCGGACCTGATAACTGGACTGTGAGAGTGGAAGTAAGAATGAACTTGGTCATGCTAAGTGAACACACTTTTAAACCATAACAGATGGTTTCTGAAACATTGGCGACCGAGGCCGTAATCGGTCAGGGAGATGTCTCGCACGTTATATTAATACCTTGTGAGTTGAGTTATCTACAATATAATTTATTTTTATTTGTAAAAGGACTTTGGAAAAGCACTGCATTAAGTGTTTATTTTGGTCTTAGTAAAAATCTCATGTCAGTGTTTCAGTTACATACAGCAGAGTTTATTTCATCACATTGGCGTCCGTTTCCTACGCTTGCACCACCAGGCGATAACAAACAAGTCTCAATACGTAAGCTTCGAATAACGGTCAAGTCAAATTAATAGCAGCGTTTTACCTACCAATAAAACGCATATTAATTTACTTACCTTATTCGAAGCGTAACTTTGAATAACTGCCTGGTGTATTTCGACTCAATGAAGAAATAATTTTAGGAGTGGGAATCGCTCACACCGATCCCCACTCTGCTGCCAGGTGGTGCGATAGAGAGCGAGACAGTAGACGGATAGACAAGGATAGATATATAAACGGCGGAAACGGTAATGCCTATCTCAATACGTAAGCTTCGAATAAGGTAAGTAAATTAATATGCGTTTTATTGGTAGGTAAAACGCTGCTATTAATATTTTAATGACGCATAAATTTCATTATTTTAAGATTAGTTACCTTTTAGTCATTTGCTTTTGATATCCAGTTGGTATTCTTGGTCCAATATACAATTTGTAAAACTGAAAATAACAATTACAATTAATGCACGAATTATATAAATTTTGAGAAATTAAAATTAAAATATTGAAGTAAAAGCAGTTTAACAAACCTCCTCACTATGTAAGAACTTTGGTAGCATAATTTTCTCTAAAGCAGCGTGAGACTGACGCGCCGCTTGGTACAGAGCTCTACTTGTTTGCAATCTGTGAAAAATAATAAAGTTATTATTATTTAATAGTACTACTCTTAATAATATAAACAAGTGTCTGTGTGTGTTTACATCCTGTTACGTACATATGTACTATGATGGCTAGGAGTAATATATACTGCTTTAGGTCACTGTTAGTTATGTAGGTAGCAGGGACGCATGCGAGCGAAGTGAGGTCATTTTTTTTAAGTGACCTTTGAAAACATTCAATTGACGAGTATAGTGATTTTCTACTCAATTTTCACTGTAATTTTTTTTATGGTATTCAGTGACAAACGAGCAGACAGCCCACCTGATGGAAAGCGTACCTGTCGCCCATAACACCTACGGTTCATGCACTTAGGTAACAAAAATGCAGAACCGCAGGTGCGTTGTCACTGTGAGGACTAAGATGATATGCCTCTTGCCTGTAATTGTGCTGGCTACCTTATCCTTCAAATCGGAACACAACAATGTAATAGAAAAAAAAGTAATGTTACTCGTATTTTTTCAACTTTTTCTAAAATTACAATAATATAATGCATTATTACACTAAAAGTTGGGTAGGAAATAACTATACTCGTCTATTCTTGAATGATTTGATGATCAGTTGAAAAAAATTTTTTCCATTGAAACCTAAAATTTAAATTAATTTTTTTTTAATTAGTTGACCAGAAAAATGTTGACCTTTTTTTTATTTCAAAAATTTTATTTTTTTATAAGCTACAAATTCTACCCCCAAGCTATGAAAAAAGATTTTTTTTTCGCTCCACCCTAGTGTTTAGGTGCGTCTGTACCAGGTCGGCTGAGGTGATGCGCAGGTAGACGCAGAGCAGTTACATGTGTGTATGTGTGTGTGCCTGCGGGTATATATGCGTGCGTCACTCACAGCTGCACACAGTGCGCGGCCTGCGCCAGGTCGGCGCGCAGCTCGCGCAGCAGCGCGGCGGGCACGAGGCGCGGCGCCTGCAAGCGGCCGAGCAGGGCGAGTGCCTCGTCACGCAGCGCGCTCTGCTCCTCGTCCGTTGGCTCTGGGTTCAGTACCCGGGTTTGGAATGATTCTGCACGATAATATTTCTGTTATGGGTTTGGAATGAGTCTGCATCATACGTATTTTATTGATTTTTTTCTTTTGAGTTTTGTTCACAGCAATGTTTATAAACAATAATACTATGCTGGCTTAGAACGCTAATTTATAATATGGCTAATTGAAGTTGGGAAGCATCCAATGATATTCCTCTCAAGATATATTTATGTCAATATTGATGCATATATGAAACATTAATTTAAGGCATATAAATTTGCAGAGATCTCTGACGATAGCAAAGTTAATAGTATAATGTACATATTTAATGTGCAAAATTACAGAATACATCCAGTATGTGGCATAAAAGAAACTCACTGATATCTTTATAAAACTGCAACAGATATATATCGGTTGTTGTTTTTAAGTGATGCAGAAGAGCGTAGAAGTGGTCCTGATTATTCAACAGTAGTTCCAAATCAATTCGTAGGAGTTTCGCTCTAGCGCAGTACAAGGACTCTGACTGCCGGACAAAGTTTTCAAGGAATTCCACCTGGAAAACGGCAGATAAAGATAACATAAGGCAGAGTTGAAGAGCAACATTCATCTATACTTATATTGTAAAGCGGAAAGATTTGTTTGTTTGTTCCGAATAGGCTCCGATATATCACAAATCAATGATTTATAATTTAAATGAAATTAAATTTAAATAAAATTAATACAACTACAATTGAATATGAAATAAAAATAAATTTTCTTTAATAACAAAATATATATATTAGTCCATTACATAAGCAACTAAAACCGACCTTATAATTAGGTGTAGCCGGCAAGTCCGCCATTTTCTCATCGCCGGTCGCTAACACAATCAACGTGTTCAGTATATGCGGGTCCGCTAGTAAGTCAGTTAGTGACAACAGCACCCACCCCGCGAATATCTCGCGAATTAACACACGAAATACACTATAACATAAAGAAATACACTAATATTATAAATGTTATTATGTATTATACATTACGGTTACTGTTTCGATGATGTAGTAGCTAGAATACAGCTAGCATGCAGCCGTATGCTACACATCCGGAGGTCCCGGTTTCGAATATTATTATTTATTATACCATCGAGCTCCACACTAAAACAATTTCTAATCCCATTATCTATCTAAACACCATAACATACCCATTATTCGCTTCAGTATTCCTCATGAGATGCGGGAGGATGGCCTCCGTCACACATCTCAAGTACTTCATCTCCGCCGCACGGTTGCTTGCGGCGACGTGTACGCTCTGACGGGCACCCGCCGTGCTCACTGTGTAATGCCTTAGTGCACATGGTATGAGACGATCAAATAATAATCTGTTGTAATCTATCTGAAATTAATATATTTTATTGTATCCAGCCCTTTAACGTCCCACAGCTGGGTGTGGGCCTCCCTTCAATACGAGGGGGATTAGGCCATAGTCCACTACGCTGGCCAAGTGCGGGTAAACTTCAAATCTTTCGAGCTTGCTACATTCTCTCAGACATGAAGGTTTCATCACGATGTTTTCCTTCACCGTAAGACAAGCGGTAATCATGTTGGAAATGATTCTCACATGACATTATCAAAGGTGCGTGACCGGGGACTTGAACACACTTCACTTGGTTTTCCAAGCAAACTCGTTACCACTGGGCTACCACTGTCTTCGTTAATATACTGTATTACTATTATAGAAGCGAAAATGTGTATGTGTGTTTGTTACTCCTTCACATTCAATAGGCTGGATAGATTTAGATAAAATTTAGTACATAGAATATAACTTGGAATAACACAGAGGCTACTGTTTCGCATCTCGATACGCACGAGAGTGATGCAAGGGTAAGTTGCTAGTTATGTCTATACTAATATTATAAACGTGAAAGTTTATGAGTATCGATGTATAGATGTATGGATGTATGTTTGTGACTCTTTCACGCAAAAACTATTAAATGGATTTTGATGAAACTTTACAATAATATAGCTCATACATAAGAATAACACATACACTACTTTTTATCCCGGAAAAATATGTTCCCGTGGGATAAATTTGTTTTTGGTTTTAAAGAGAGTAGAAAATAATTCAGCCCTTTTCGCGTCCCATGCTGGATATTGGCTTCACGTCAAGTGAGAAGTAAGACCATTGTCCACACGTTGCATAAATTTATTCACTAACTAACTCGCCCAGTCTACAACACTGGCTTAAGAAGCATAAAATTTTGTTTAAGATTTTACTTACAGACATATTATGTATATGTAAAATTCAAATCAAATTTCGCACAAACTACCTACAGCATAAATTATATTATTTGTTATAAATATTACAGTAATATTAATAGTTACCTTGAGAGCTCTTCTCAACAAAGATGCAGATGCATATCTGAGCTGGTGTCGCAGTTCATCCACAAAAAATGGCTGAAGTGTTATTTTGCTATACCATGTGTTAATAAATTGTTCTAAAATTGAATTATAAAACTGAAAAAAAAAATATACTTTATTAATAAATATACATTTAATTACTTGTTTCTTCAATTATAATATATTAGCGAGTCACCATTGCTCCGCTCAGATTCGTCCCTTGATATATTTTAACGTTTAGTATAGATTTCTTAGAGATGAGATACTTTCCCGCGGTAAAAAGTATCCTATATGTTGACCCGGATAACCAGCTATCATCATACCAAATTTCATTAAAAAACTGCCCAGTGGTTTTCTCGTGATGCGTTCCCAGACCGACAGACAAAAATTTTAAATAAAATCTTTTTAACAAAAAAATAAAAACCGACTTCAAAGAAAAGCACTAAAAAGTAAAAAATAACTGATTGGTAGTTTTCATTTACTATATATACCTAATCAAATATTTTCGAAGTCGGTGTGCTTTGATTTGTATGGGCTGGCACCGATTTAGAAAATATTTGATTAGGTATGTATTTAATAGATAGGCTTTAATTACTTAGCCAAAGCACACCGACTTCGAAAATATTTGATTAGGTATGTATAGTAAATGAAAACTACCAATCAGTTATTTTTTACTTTTTAGTGCTTTTGTTTGAAGTCGGTTTTTATTTTTTTGTTAAAAAGTTTTTATTTTTCCCTTTGTAGTGTAGACAGTAGTAGCAAAGTAAGGATTCTAACGTGTTAGGCTTGTCAAATCAAACAAAATAAGCCCAAACTCAAAGTATCTACTATTAGCCGTTGAAGAGTTCCACCTATCCACCTTCTGGCCTTGCCATCAGATCAGGTCAACAACACCGAACCACTGTACCATCAACGGAAATAGAAATACTTGCAAAGTTTTAAGTCAATATGACAATTAGAAGTAGGTTAAATTCATAATTAGTTGTTTTTCCACCCTTAGGGGTGGTATTTTTTTTTGAAATTTAAATGGGACCAATCTGGAAGTATACCCTTTCAAACAAAACAAAAATTGTCCAAATTGGTTAATAAATGAATGAGTTCTGAGGTAACAAACATACATACAGTCGAATTGAGAACCTCCTCCTTTTTGAAGTCGGTTGAAAACTATAGATTCGTCCTCTGTATCAAAAATAATGACTATTTCAATAAGATTTTCCATAAGTTATTTAATGAAAAGATTTGACTCAGAATTTTATTATATGTACAGATAAAAATCAACATGAACTATATATAATATTCAGTTTTCATCAATATAAGTATGCAATATTAAAAAATAATAGTATCTCTACAAACTACAAATAAATAAAATTGATGTGTTGGTAAGTATGTCATAATTAAAGCTTTTTACTAAATGTATATGAAAGAATACACAGTACTTATAAGAAAAACTTTATAATTTTTTTGTCTGTTTCTGTGTGTGTTTGTGTCTGTTTCTGAACAAATCAAATCGGCTGGACCGATTTTGATGGGACTTTCACTGACAGATAGCTGATGTTATAAGGAGTAATTTAGGCTACTTTTATTTTATGAAAAGAATTAGGGTTCCATGCAGAAAAATTGAAACACATGAAATTTTGACCCGAGTGAAGAGAGGGTAAGTCGCTATTCTAAAATATATTTATGATAAAGTAACTTACATCTTCTATAGCCTGATCTAGTTGTTTATGCACTTGTAAGTTAGCCCATGGCTCTGGTGATATTTCCGGATCATGGCGGTCGCAATTCTTTGACCCACATGTGTCACAACCCTGGAAATTATATATTCAATGGCATCAGTGATAAATTTAAATATTTGGTACCTAAATATATTATCTCGTAATCATCATTTGACTAAAACTTAAGCAACAAATGTTAATAATAATAATCAAGTTCTTATTGTAAAGGTTTTACTGGCTTTTATAATTATTAAACTAACAATAAGCTTAATATTAATATACTAGCATTTCCCGTGGCTCCGTCTGTGTTAAGATGACCAAAAACTGAATTCTTAGGTTTTACATATTAGTATACTCTTTCATTGCAGTTTTTGTATTTTTTCTCAGTAATGAGATATATTCCCGCAGTGAAAAGTATCCTGTATGTTGACCCGCATAACCAGCACCATACAAAATTTTATGAAAATCCCTCCAGTGGCTTTTCTGTGATGCGGTAACAGACAGACAGACAAAAATTCTAAAAGCTACAGATTCGGTCTCTGTATCAATAATAATGTTTATTTCAATAAGATTTTCCAACAAATATTTAATGTACAGATTAGGCTTAGTTACAATTTTTATTATAATAATATATAGATAATATCTACATAAGTATTCAGAAAAGTGAATCATTATAAAACATTTGCAAATCATGTATCATATTTAAATGGTTATTACTCATCACTTAATTCCTTATTATATAATTAAGGAACAGATTTTAAAATGTAAAAAGTTCAGTTTTATTTTAAAATACTTAGTGTTGGAAATACTAATTTTTATTTATACTTATTGTGAAGAATAGATGTAAAAATCTAAGAAACTAGATCATCATTTAAAAATGATTTCTAATTATATATATTAAAAACCAATAAATCAAAATCAATCACTGTATTTTGCAATTATTATGAGCAATCTGACATCATAGATGATTAATGTTTAGCTTACTTACTTTTATGAAGCTAACCTACACTTAAAACTAGTTTCATGTTTACAACAAATGTAGTGCAGTAAACTCACATTAATTGTGTCGAAAGAGTCATTGGTTTCTTCGTCTTCATTAGACAGCCTTTTAGCAAAATGACAAGTCAAGTGTTCAATAAACATTTGCAAATAATTTGAACTTAATCCATAATAACAAGCCACACATCCCAGCCCATAGCTTACTATGATTGTAATCAGATGAAATCTGTAAAAATGAACTTTTAAAATACTGAACACACCAATTAATTTTAAATTAAGTACACAAGTGTAGCACACCTGTAAGCTAATAATATCGCCAATAAAGCGACAACAATTCCTCCGTAAATAATATAAATTCTATTATCAAATTTTTCTATAAACTTCGTTTGACATCTTTCAGTCATGGTTATGGTTTCCAATATGTATAAATTCCTCTATGGTTACGGTATTATTACTCTATGGCACAAACTGAAATGACTCAAAAGTCAAATGCAAAGTCAACGAATCAGACGATTCAGACGGCGCACTCCCTAACAAAAAATGCAACCTTTTGATTATCTGTGGAATGATGCATACATAGGTACTTCACATAGAACAATTGACAGTACTATTATGTACATAACATGGATGAAAAATAAAAGTACCTATCTACTATTTGTCATCCATGCTATCTATACTTATAAATTTTAAATTAGGGATGTCATGTAAAAAAATATCGATATTTTTTTACATGAATATTCCTAATCGATATTTTTTTGATACAATACATCGTATTGTTGTATCGATACTTTGCGATATATCGTATAAATATATCGATATTTTCCATATATCGTCTACTAGTCTGTAACATTAAATAGTAGATAGGGATCAGGTTAATATCAGTAAAAAAACAAAACATTTTATTAATTTATTCATCTCAATATTTTTTCTCTAAACCTTGCAAAAACAAAATTTTAGTAACTTTTTTGGCTTGCAGTCTGATTCTCTGCCGAGTTAAAATAGCCGTTTTATACATCGTTGTACACACTTACTATATTTCAAATTCGTAAACTGTATTAAACAAAACAAACAACTTTTATTTATACTTTATAGGCTATTTTGTAATTTGTACTGGGAAGTTAAACAATGAACGAAGCAGAAGTTGGAACAGAGATTTCCGAAGCGAGTGAGACTCTCGAGGCACAGACAGTCTACGAGTTACGACTAGTCACAGATTATAAAATTTCTATTACTACTAGTCTGCCTTCACGGAGAGTAGGAGAATAGTTTACGATTTTTGTGCCTAATCGCGTTCCGTTATTGCGAAGGCTAGTTTTTTTATTTACATTTTATTCTTTCTCAAGTTGCCATCTATAAATAAAGGAATGAATATATAAAAGAAATGGAATGTGCTTTTAATTTCTTACGATATTTGATGTATCGGATGAAATATATGGATATATAATATTGATACTAGATGATTCGATAATATCGGGTTGAAGCGATATATTGCGACATATATCGATATTTTATGAAATATCGATATATATTGTGCACTCCTATATCGTATTTTAAATTGGCGTTCGCCGTTCAATAGTCAATACTCAATAGCGTTATGATTTAAGAATCATGTCAATTAATTTAATTTCTTTATTTAGCTATCTACTTGTACTTTTATAAGTACAAATATAAATCGGAAAAATATATAAATCATTATTTTTAAAAAAGGAACATAGTAACTATTAGGTATGTAAATATTGTTTAAAATTTCTAAACGCTTAGGTAAATGTAAACCTAAAATGAATAATTTATATTTAATTAAATATTAAATTATTGTATTTATTATCTTAATATAACTGCGAGAAGTATGTTTAACTGGTTAAATAACTTAGAAACAATACATTTAAAGAGAGTAAAATAATAATAGGCACAGTTTAACATTAAATAAGACTTTTAGGTTAGTGGCAAGTTACGAAAGAAAAAAATATTAATTAAGTTGTTTATTATATTCTGTTTCTCTTTACGATAATAAAACTATATAAAGAATTTCACTGTCATAAATCATAATAGTGTTGTATATAAAAATAAACATGTTACATTTGGCTATCTTTATTGTGTTTACATAGTTCAGAGTTCAAAATTTATCTTTCTTAGAGAATGATATCTTGTGTACACCATTTTGTTGTCTTTTTGTTATATTAATAGTTGTGTAAGTTATAAGTTCACCTTATTTTTTTTAATATGAAATGTTTTATCTTATTAAACTATAATTGTTGCTGTATTAATTGTTCATACATATATTGTGCGTTGTTTCAGATCATAATGGCTTTACAAAGGCATCTATTTCAAGTGTCAAAATATTGTTTAACCAGACAGTGCATACTTCAATACAATTTAAGACAAACATATTGTGAATTACATCATAAATATAGCACTGGAATCAATCGAAAATACACAGATAGACATGAATGGGTGGTTGTAGAAAACAATATTGGCACTGTTGGAATAAGTAATTATGCCCAAGAGTCTCTTGGTGATGTGGTTTTTGCACAGCTTCCTGAACCTGGTACAGATGTAAATGAAGGAGATGAATGTGGTGCTCTAGAAAGTGTCAAAGCAGCTAGTGAAATATATTCTCCTGTGAGTGGAAAAGTAACTGAAAAAAACATTAATGTTGAAAATAAACCTGGTTTAATTAATTCATCTTGCTATGATAAAGGATGGCTGTTCAAACTAACACTAACAAAGCCTGAACAGTTAAGTGAACTTATGTCAGAAGATCAGTATGAAAAGTTTTTGAAGACAGATGTAGAGAAAGACCATTAATCTCATTTTACATTAAATAGAAATAGCTGAAGCTTGTTAGAATGTTATAAATAAATTTTGTTGACTTTGTTTTTATTATTTGATTTTTTTAACATTATGTAACTCTGGAATCTTCAAAATACTTACCTATTATTTTAATAATATTTACAATTCTAAACTTATTTAACCTTACCCTTGACTAGAAATTAAAACTCTTTGACAATTACAAACAAAATATTTTTTTCTGATTTGATTTGATATATCAAATCAGAAAATTATATAAATGTAAAGTAGGAAAAGTAAATTATGAATAAAAAACTGATTTTCGTGCAATAAATTTTATTTATTTTAGTGCATATTTTTTCTAATTCTATATTTAATCTGCTACCTTTGTGTAAAATACCCATAACAACATATTGTTACCTACATAAAAACCATTTCCATCATTTCAATTTGAACTATCACCAATCAATTCCTGCTATATCAAGCAATTTTATAATAGCTTATAATAATCTCATACATTTGTAATATTTTTCAATAAAATGTCTTAATATGAAAAAGACATCTTTGTTTTCACAAGTATCTAATCACATACATGAAAAACATACATACAGATGAACATAGAAGCTCCTACTTTTTGGAAGTTGGTTAAAAACAAACAAGAATATCCCAAATAATTGTGCAAAGAATCGATAGGTATCCTATAGCACATATGTGTGTATAAAAACTCATATAACATGAAAAAAAACATAAAAACAATCTGTAATTTTTAGCTTTTTATAAGGTAATGTGTTAGAGAATATTTGTAACAAAATGTTTATTTTACTACCAAATATGAGCATCTAATTTTTATATACAGAATATTTAGTTGAATTGGTATTTTTAACCTACATAAAGGACTTTACTACAATGGCAGAAACAAATTAAAGAAATAATAAATTTCAAATCAATATACTAGAGAAAGTATTCCTACTTTTCAATTAACTTTTTAGTCAATAATAATTAATACAATAATCATATACAAAATCTAATTATCAATACGACTATATTATATTATTCAATATAATGATATATTTTATTATTGCTAAGCTTTATAGGTATTCTTAGATAATTATTTCGCTAGCAACTCAGGTACTATTTTCTATGGCCACTATTTGTAAAAGAGGAAGACACATAAGTAATATGAGTTTATAGTGTAGCGAATTTGAATTATAATAAAATATAAAAAAATATACTGAGCGTATCTATGCATACTAATATTATAGTGACAGAGTTTGTTTGTTTGAACGCGCTAATCTCAGGAACTACTAATTCTATTTTAAAAATTCTTTTTGCATTAGATAGCCCGTTTTTTATTGACTAAGGCTATTATAGATAGGCTATACCTATCAAATAATATATAGTCTATCTATTCCATACTAACCGTGAAAACGTATCTAGGGACGAACCCGGGCGAAGCGAGGGTGAGTCGCTAGTCTATACATCCATATAATAAAACTGTAGAGGTCGAATGTCTGTACATAGAAAAAAAAAAATGAAATCAGAGTCAGGAATATGTAAGAAGAGAAATAGAACAAATCCAGATTTTTTTCATTTTTTTTGTCTGTTTGTACGGGCTAATCTCCGAAACTGTTAGACCGATTTAAATGAAATTTTGCATGGTGGTACCTTATATCCCCGGTCAATATTTTAGATACTTTTCATCCCGGAAAATTAAAGAGTTCCCGTGGGATAGTTAAAAAACTATAGTAACTTATACAGCTTAGTACACAAAAACTACTGATAGGATTCTAATGAAACTGTACAATCATATAATCTAACGTCAGAATAACAAATAGGCTACTTTTTATCCCGGGAAAATGTGATTGTTGAAACGATTCCCGTGGGAAAGATTTGTTTTTGTTTGTCCGCTAGTAGAAAATAAAAGTGTATCCAAAATCCTTATCACGGCCGGTAACCCTATTGTTAGCACACACAGAATATAATTTCTGGCCTCAATCACCGTTATAAGGGAAAATTAATCAAATATAAATTTTCCATGACAAAGTCGGAGCAATAGATCAGTTAAATTAAAAAAAAACATAATTTTCACTTACCAATAAACACAAATCATTTTGTCCATCATCAAAAATATTTTTTACAAAGCACGAATAAATGATATCCTATAATTGTTATTTACAGTATTTGTATTAGAAGCATATTCAAAAATAAATTTAACTACTAACAAAATAACAATGACACTTTTCGTTTGTTTTAATCTTTACAGTTGACCTCATCGAGAGCCTTTTTAATGTGCTAAGTGCTATAAACGTTATACTAAAAATATTACTTACATACTTCTCATTCAACTTTAAAGTAGTAGCAGGTAATTTTACATTTAAATATTTAATATTTTCGTAGATTTAGGCGAATATTTGACATTTTCCATCTTTACGGATTACTGCTATCTGTAACAAGTATATAACGCCATTGAAATGTATAAAACCTTAGTCTCTCCCGTGACCATGATTGCTGTCAAGCATTCGAAACGTCGGTAACCAAAAATCAAAATAAATCTGCGAAATAATCCGAAAAGATAGTTTTATTTAAAATTTAAATATTTTTCAAAACAATTACTTACATTTATAGCATTTATGTAATATATTTCAGCACACCCAAAGCATTTTACAATATAAATAACTAGCATTGCCCGCGGCTCCGCCCGCGTTCAGATGACCAAAAACCAAATTCTTAGGTTTACATATTAGTATACTCTTACAATGCAGTTTTTGTATTTTTTCTGAGAAATGAGATAGTTTCCCGCGGTAAAATATATCCTATATGTTGACCCGGATAACCAGCTCAATATCACCATACCAAGTTTCATCAAAACTCCTCCAGTGGTTTTTCTGTGATGCGGTAACAGACAGACAGACAAAAATTCTAAGAACTATAGATTCGGCCTCTGTATCGATAATAATGTTTATTTAAATAAGATTTTCCAAAAAATATTTAATGTACAGATTCGGCTTAGTTACAATTTTATTATATGTATAGATAAAACACCACACAGCTGTGAGTCACATTGTGGACACACACTACACACACCCTAAAGTTTAATGTGAAGTTATAAATATGTACTTATGTACTATATTTAGGTATAAAGTAGATTATCATTTGGGACGATGTTCCATTTCTTTATACTTTTTTAAAAGCATAAAGAATAAAAACTAAATAAAAAACTATATTGAATACGCTTTTTATCATAAGTTATAATTGGCATAATGTCTCACTAACTTTAAAAAAGTTGTTAATTTTGAAGTATCAAAGTTTCTTTATGAAAGAATATTTTTAACAGGTTTATGAGTTATGACTTCTACAGATTGGTTAAAAATTGCTATAGGTACTTATATACGCACGTAAGAAATTATACTTCTTTGGTGTAACAGAACAAAAGTAGCTAAAGATTTCATCCCGTATGTCACAACTCTATGTTTGTAAAAGGAATGCAAGCTAACTTCATCATGTCGCTTTTTGGCTGTCGGTGTGCGCGCGCATCGTAAAAATTTTACTCATATCTTTTTCCAAACGTCCCAAAAGAAGTGTAACTTAATAAAGCTGATATAAGCATACAATTAATAACGAGCAAAGAAAATAAAACTAGTAAAACATCTAATCTAATTGTTATAACTTTCAAACTTGATTTAAAAATACTCTTTATCATTAACTAGCGAGCTGATGATTTTTTTAACTGGCAATTCCCGAAAATAGCGAAGTTTATATTATTTAATAAATTTACTCGTTTACAGTAAATTTGGGGTTCGATTAGGTTGGGATTTCACGCCTAAGTTCTACAATAAAAAAAAACGCTGAAATGTAAGCCACATTATTTATGTTTAATAGAGTATTAATACCAAATTTCAAATAAATTGGCCTAGGTGTGATGAATCAGTCAGTCAGTCTGTCAGTCACCCTATTGAAAAACTCCTATAGGATCTCATCAAAAGCGATAAATAATATGCAATAAAAGCCACATAGAAGCCAATAAATATTTATTGGTTCCAATGTGGCTTTTGATGAGATCCTATTGAAGTTTTTAAATAGGGCAGTCAGTCTGTCAGTCAATCTGTCAGTACCGTTATAGTTTACTAATCGATGCAGTCTAACGAAGGCAATCGTGCAGAAAGTGCGTCGTGAGGCGCTCCCGACTGTCATACTTACTTTTATACGACAGTCGGGAAACGGCTTTAGGGTTGACGGGTATTACTGTGCCACGAAATTACACTACAGTGCTACTTAATTACATAACCTTTGATCTTGAAAATCTGTATTTTTGACAACCCTTGAATATAAATCATAAAAATCATTGGACGATCGCCTACTGTATGAATTTTTATACGGTGTTTTTAGTGTATATGTATAGATAATTTACAGTACATATAAGATGCAATATTTAAATATTATAAACATGTTTAATATTAATTATCACGTCACGTCATCATTATAATTTTCAAATAGATTAATGTTAAATTGTACAGATAATATTTAACATTTAATATCTATTTTCTTACAAATCAAAATATAAACGGTATTATTATTTATAGATTTAATTATAAGTGGTTTTTTATGGCAGTTGCATATTATATTTGATAAAATATTTGGTAATGTAACAATTATTATAAAATATTTATTATTTAGTGTATTGGTAGGTACTTCTAAATACATTAATTAATTTACTATGACACGTTGTAGTATTTAGTATAAGACGTGCAGTTAAAGAATGGGATTATAAGTATGCCTTCATAAAAAAGAAGGCTGCAACTTCATTATAAATTTGATTTTGAGATATTTAAAGTTTTGTCTTACTACTACGCCAATATTACTACTAGTTTTGACGTAGTTACGATGAAAATGGTTTTGATATCTCCGGATTCATAAGACTTAGAGCTTTATAAGTAAGACTATCATGTATAAATTTTTTGTTGATTGCGAATGATGAAGGCAGGAATGGTGTAAACCTTTCCCCCCAACGTGCGTTCACCTTGTCGTGGTGGGGGGGCTTAGTAGTGTACTCGCGAAGCCAAGAAACGCACAGGGAGGTGGCCCGCTTCGGTGGGCGGTGGGAGGCGGCCTTCTTCGGAGGGCGGTGTACCATACGGGTTGCTCCTGATAGCAGAGTGGACTGTGGAGCAACCCCGTGGTTGTTGTGGTCTGCTTCGGCAGACCTGCCGTCGGGGCGTCGTAGTTGAATGCGTAAGCGATCCTGCGACACCCCACTAAGACGGGGGAAGGTTTTGTTGGGTTTTAGTGGGTAGTACTGGCTTCGCCGGTGAGTCCCACACTTCGTACGTAAATGCATTTCCCAACGTTAAAAAAAAAAGGAATGGTGTAAACCTGCATTTGGAAACTAACGCCGTCTATATATACACCTATATAATTAAAGTTTAAAATTGCATTGTATTTCATAAATTAAAATATATCAATCATCGATTATTAAAAAGAACTAGATACACAATCAGCTACAAAAACAAATCAAAATATTTTATAGATTTATCAAATATTATATAATAAAAAAAATCAAATTCGAAATATTTTATTCAGCATTAAATTATTACAATTTTTTACTGAACGTCGTCATCAGTCTACAACCAGTTCGGAAAGAAGAAGCCTCAGACCTGAGAAGAACTGGCGAAAGAAACTCAGCAAAAAATACAAAAAATGTCTTCACCGAATAAGCGTCCACTCGACCATTCACGTGCGCTTTTAATTAGTAGCATTCGAACACTCCGACGGTAAAAATGGCTCAGCGCTCGTTTAAAAATTTCAAGAATCACACATCATATAGGACGCTAAAAAAGGATATTTTCATATTTTCGGTAAGTATATTATCAATAAATAATTGTTAGTACTGTATTGTCAGTTTTTCAATTATGTTGTAATAAAGCGCAGTTATAAGACATCTCAATTATAAAGACTCTTACTAAACGTATTAATCATACTATTGCATGCCTGTCATACTGAAATAGGTTGGGTTATGTGCGTTGATTCTGTTCCATTAATTGATTTTTTTGTTATTTTTGATCACTTTGTAAATCTGACTTTAAGACATGCGTGTAAGGTTGAATTTATTTTGATGTATGTTGGCCAGCGAACTTCGGTCGTATAATTTTTTTGCTTTTTATAGACAGCTTTGTGAAAACAACTTACACACAATTGGTGACAGTTTTAAGAGAACTTTAGCATAGGATTGTGTATCTAATACTTTTTAATCGATGCCTTCAATATATACATACAAATCTGTAGAAATTTTGAAACTAGCTTTAATTAGTAAGTATATTTTTTATTTTATTTAAAAAAGAATAAAAAATATACTAATTTAAATTTCTTTGAATAAAATATACTGGCAGGGTAAATCAGGTGCCATATCTAATCCCACTCTTGTACGGGAAATAGGATAATTTTAATACTACCACCATACCAAAAGCAGAGTTACATTATTTCATTACAAAAATATTAATTAACATTTAATTTTACATACATATTTATATAAAATAAAAATAATGAAAAATATCACAAACAAAATTGAAACTTCACTTTTAACCTAATAATTTGTAAAATTCTAACAATTAAAAATACTCATACATTAATGTTATATAAAAAAACTCTAAATTACATTATAAAAAAACCATTATTTTAGTACATTTTCTATACTTAAAGAACATTTCTTCTTTATAGATAATAGAACATCAAAAAATAATTTTATTAATAGGTCCATTTCACACTGAACGGCTTATCTAGAGCTAGAGTAATATTGGGTATGAGTAATACCTGTGTCTCTGATATATATGTGAATTGTACTGTCGAATTGTTTATTGTGACGGTTTTAGTTGCGTTTGTTTGTCCCAGGACAGATATGGAGTTTATTGATGGCACACCGTAACCCCACCATTGAACACAACTTGTTAATTCATTATTTACAGCTGTGAATTCTATGTAGCTGTATTTCTTTTCTTCGTATGTGTCTGAAATTTTAAAAAATAAGCATTAATATTGTACATAAATTAATAAATTATTTGAATAATTTGGGTGAAACTCGACACTTGTCGTGTTTGTCATATTGAAAACTAACACATATGAATATATTCTGGTAATATTGTTTTAACAAATTTTTTTATTAATTCTTAACTTATCAATAGATGGCGCTGCTTGAGAACGTTAAAAGAAAAAAAAAACAATTACTCTATTCTCTTACTTCTATATTCCGATTGGAAGACAAATCGAACTTGAAGGATTAGTCTAAGTAGTGATGCGACACGTGCTGTGCCTCAGCAGGAGGGTATAACGTTACCAAATTCTAACAATTACATTTTCTCCGATCCGTGCCTCGAATGTGGGACCACCTCCTACACGCCAGCTACTATACCACCGAGGCAGTTACCATAGCAACCCTACCGACAACAGTACCAAGCGCACTCACTGACGCTATCCCCGTCGTCCCAGTAGAGGTCGCCGGCGGCGCGCGCGGCGGGTGCCACCAGCAGCTGCAGCGGCGCCGAGCGCGTGGTGGCCGTGCTCACCGGCCCGCGCCGCGGCGGCTCTTGTAGCGGGAGGATGGCGCCTGCCTGTGATAAATATTTACATATCTATACTAATATTATAGAGGTAAAGTTTGTGACGTAGGGTGCAATCTCTGGATCTACTGTACCGATTTAGATGAGATTTGGTGGGAAGATAGATTGAGACCCTGGGAAGGACATAGGATACTTTCATCCTAGAAATCATCCCTTAAAGGGGTGAAATTGGGGATGAAAGTTTCAAAGCGAGGGTGAGTCTATAGTATACTATATACAAAGAAATAAAATTGAACTGTCTGTTTGTAATGTTAAAAGAACAGCTTTTTACTAAATCCATATGGAATTATATACGGTATTTATAAGAAAAAAACAATAAAAAAAAAAGTCTGTTTGTTTGTTCCAGCTAATCTCTGAAATGGCTGGGCCGATTTTAACCGGACTTTCACTGGCAGATAGTTGACGTTATAAGGAATAACTTAGGCTACTTTTATTTTAGTAAAAGAATTAGGGTTCCGCTCAAAAAAAAAAGGTACCTAGGTACGAACCCAAGCAAAGAGAGGGTGAGTCGCTAGTATATAATAAATAAGGCTCACTCTCGCTTCACTCGGGTCGTCCCTAGGTACGTTTTAACGGTTATTATGGAATAGATAGACTATATAGTAGTGTGTACCGGCCAAATTAGATTTCAGACCAAACTAGTTTGTCCTAGGCTAAACCAACTCATTCTAAGTGTGTTACGATATACTAGTTTAGCCCGGTACAATCTAATTTGGCTTAAATACGCTAACTAGTTTGGCCTAAGCCGAACTGATTTTGAAGCATTATTCGGTCAACTCTCTACCTATTACGATTCATGAAACAGCCAGCCGCCCGCTGACAGAGGAGGCTTACTATATTATAAAACAGAGTCCCGTTAGCACCCTTCGCCCCAATACCTATTACTGTATTTGTACGGTGTAGCACTAACCCTGACAGCGACCATATCGTCCTCAGCGAGATCCCGCCACTGGTCAGCGGCGAGCAGGCGGCCGTCGCGCGCGCTGTACCAGGCGGCGGCGGGCAGCAGCGCGCGGGCGGCGCGCGCGCCGGCGCGCAGCAGCGGCGCCACCATCACGTGCGCGCCCAGCAGGAACTGCTGGTCGATGCCGCGCACCTCACTGTTCGCTGGGAACCTGCATCATGTCGTAGGGTTATCTTGATACTTTCTTATTAGATTGACACTACATAGTATAACACAAAGTCACTTCCCGCTGTCTGTCTGTCCCTATGTATACTTACATATTTAAAACTACGCAACGGATTGCGGATTCGGTTTTTTTAATAGATACGAGTGATTCAAGACGAAGGTTTATATGTGTTAATACATACATACTATAGTACAGAAAAGCCGAGAAATTCAAAGATTTGTATTTCATACTAACCGTGAAAACGTACCTAGGGATGCGAACCCGAGCGAATCGAGAGTGACTCGAGTTTCATATAAAACTATCTTTTCGCAGGTTTATTTTTATTTTTGGTGACCATACGACCTATGATTGCTCCATACAGGTGTTTTATTTGCATTGAACAGCAATTAAGTTATGTTAGAGAAAGAGACTTTTGTCTTGTTGACATGATAGAGTAAACACTTTACAATTTTTAAAATTCTAAGAATAATATGATTTAATGTGATAGGGTTAGTTACAAAAGTTAATAGAAACATATACCGTCAAACAACAGTCTACTTGTAAAAATGGCCTCTCCCTGAACAACATATAAATATAGTAGGGCAATGATCAATCTGTGTGTCAATGTTAACCTTTTGTGAAATCACATCATTGTTTATGCTAAAAAGTCATTATAAAATAGATATTATATTCATAATAATATAAGTTTCTTCACTCACTCAAAGAACAGAGGTCGAGCAACAGTCTCTCCGTACACGTGTGCTCTCCAGAACAACGTATAGTAGTAGGGCAGTAGGCGATACCTCATCAGAAGCGCTTGTCGACTCGCGCGGACCACTTCGGGACCTAAACTTACTGGGTCTTGAGGCTGAAAAATATGTTTTTAATACATATTTTTATTAAAAAAAAAACAATTTTAGAAAGTTTTTATAAATGTTTTTTAATAAATAGATTAATGAAAAATTATATTATAGTCGATGTACTATTTTAGTTAAAAATAAAAACGTGGTGTTTACTTATGTATGCACGACAGAATTTATACTTATTTGGCGTAACAGAACATGTCGCTTTTTGGCTGTCGAAACAAAAAAAAACTTTACTCTCATAATTTTTTACAAACGTACCAAAAGAAGTGTAATTTCAAAAATAATGAATGGTCAGTCTTTTTAATTTTTATATTAAATCATGAAAACTATTTACATTATTTTCTTTTAAAGCATCTGTCTAGAAAATAAATAATGTCTCACAGTTCGAAGACGTAGCTGTAAATTAGTTAACTTACAAATTCATAATAATATTGAGTGTGTATAAATGTGTGTATATATTTTCTTACTTTAGCATCATTAGTATTATGATTCCTGGAAAAGGGATAGAAAGCTCCAAGTTGCATCCATCTCTTGCACAGCTCTGGCGTGGTGTCGCCATTGAAACCACAGATATCTGTACCCATCATCGGAATACCAAACAGACTGAAGCTTAGAAGAGCTGCAAGAGATTATATTATATATTAAACTAGCGATATACCCTCGCTTTGCTCAGATGCGTCCTTAATTGTGCGTGCTTGTATGGTTTACAAACGTATAAAAGATAAACGTCCAAAGAAAAATCTTTTTTTTTCACGATATTGATATTATAAATTATAACCTGTGTGTTACTCTGATGTATAAGTTATATTACTGCAAAGTTTCATCCACATCCATTCAACAGTTTTTGCGCACATAAATCTATTCTCAGAAACTTTCTCTTTTTTGTTAGTAATAGTATGTATAAAGTATAATTAAGGAGTTTTTATATAATATCAGTAAGATATATAGGGTCATTTTTAATTTACTGAAGGCCTTTTGGAAATACGAGTATATTATTTACATAATAACAACAACATATGTAAGAAAAAAATACATTTAAATTTTTATTTTCATGCAAAAAATAAAAATATTTTTATTACACCTTTAAAAACGGTAATAATCCTAGCACCTGGTCAAGTTTAAATGAGTAAGCGCCGCCTCCTACACCCCTCCACCCCTCCCGCTCCACCGGCCACGCGCTTTCTTTTGCTAATGCTGGACCATTACCATTTAGAAGGTGTAATAAAAATATTTTTATTTTTGTAAAATTTTAAAATTTATTTTTTAATCTTACAGATGTTGTTGTTATGACGTATATAGTATATTCCCAAAAGGTTTTCAGTAAATTATAAAATGAGCGTGTACAATGGAGGGAGAGTGCGTTACCGGGTATAGACATGCGCATGTCGTGCCACTTGCTGAACACGTCGCCGCCCCAGTGCGCGGCGGCGCGGCCGAGCCCCGGCGACGACGCGCGCGACAACACGAACGGCCGCTTGCCGCGCGTCTCCTGCAGCGCGCTGTGGGCAGGGCGCGGTGGGCACCACGCTTTATATATTATACTAGCGACTTTATATCTTACCTCATACCAAATTTCATCAAAATCTGTCCAGTGGTTTTCTTGTGATGCGTTTCCAGACAGCAGACAGACAAACATTCTAAAAACTATAGATTCGGCCTCTATATCGATAATATGTCTATTTTAATAAGATTTTCTAAAAAATATTTAATGTACAGATTCCACTCAGTAATTTTTTTTATTATCTATGCTTTATTTTAATTGTCTCCTTTTGAACAAGATAAAGGTAGCACTGAGAATGCCACTTTTATTTGTTTTCTTTTATTTCATTAAACATTAATTGATATTCCGTTAAACTACAATAGTATATCTATAAAGGTGCCACTATGCTACCATGTAGCTAGATCTGATAATGAAACCTAAATGTATAAAAACCCCTTAATTACTGTATCATTTTATATGTAAAAGCTAATTTATTTTTTTGCTATTATATATAATCTATTTTAGACTGCAAGGTGGCATAATATGAAGTCAACAAAATAAAACTGGAACCAAACCCACTATAAGTAAACCCACAACTTACCTTTGAGTAACAATAGCTTCACTAATAGCATATACATTATGTAAATTATAATGTGTAGAAATATAATGGCGGGCGTCCATACACAGCGTTTTGTATTTCAATCCCTCTTGAGGTATCGCTACCGGTTTGTATGGAAGCTCCTCAGGCTCACATTCGCCATACATAGACCCAGATAAAAAGTTGGATGGCTCATTCATGTCCTGTTAAGAAATATTTTCAATGAAAATTAGTTTGAAAAATATAGTGCATGAAATTATTAGATTCGTCTTAATTGTAAAAGTTACAAAGAGTATATAATATTTAGATATGGCATGTGCAATAAATAAGATAAAATATGAAAATTTAAAAAAATCTGAGGTAGGTATCTGTTCTAAATGAAGTTAGTTATTTTTTACATTTTTTAAAGTTTTTTTTCCATTTTTAGTGTAGACGTAATAAGCAGGTAATTTGTAAGAAGAAAGTTTTTTAATAACATATTCGAATCAGCAATTTATTTAAAAAAAAATCGTTTATTGCTGATTTTTTTAAAAACCGCTCGATCGATTTCGATAAAATTTAAATGGGACTACCTTTTTTTTTTTTTTTAACGTTGGGAAATGCATTTACGCACGAGGTGTGGGACTCACCGGCAAAACCAGTACTACCCACTAAAACCCAACAAAACCTTCCCCCGTCTTAATGGGGCGTCGCAGGATCGCTTACGCATTCAACTACGACGCCCCGACGGCAGGTCTGCCGAAGCAGACCACAACAACCACGGGGTTGCTCCACAGTCCACTCTGCTATCAGAGAAGTACCAGGAGCAACCCGCATGGTACACTGCCCTCCGAAGAGGGCCACCTCCTACCGCCCACCGAAGTGGGCCTCCTCCCTGTGCGTTTCTTGGCTTCGCGCCCGGTTGGGTTGCCGGGCACTACTGAGCCCCCCCACCACAACAAGGTGAACGCACGTTGGGGGGGAAATGGGACTACCTGGGAAATATACCCTTTGAAACAAAAAAATTCAAATCGGTTCAGGCGTCTTCGAGTAATCAGGGAACATACATAAAAAAAGTTTCCGACGAATTGAGAACCTCCTCCTTTTGGAAGTTGGTTAAAAAAATAGTGTCTTATTGTTTCAATATGACTGCCAAATAAAATATAGTAAATAGTCAACATAAAAATACAAGTATAATGAAAACTTTAGTGCTATTATTTTTACACAAAGTACTAAAACTAAGGTAATATTTATACCACATCTGTTTTCGAAGTGAAACTTTGCGCGCATGAGAGTAAAATTTTAAGGCCGCGTCATGAGAAATCGTCATGCCCGTGGGGCTTGCATTAGGTTGCCATAGTAACCGTTGTTATTGTCTGACAAATCTATACATATAATAAAACTCTAACTAAGTCGAATCTGTACATTATATATTTTTTGGAAAATCTAATTGAAATAGACATTATTATCGATACAGAGCCCGAATTTATAGTTTTTAGAATTTTTATCTGTCTGTCTGTCTGTTTGTCTGTGTGGCGGACGTGAGGAGAAAATAACAAGGCTTTAATATTAAGCGTTAATTGAAGTGCGTATTGCACTTGCGAGACCAAGCGAGAGACTGTGCAATCGATACATATTCGATCTATTATAATCTAATGTAATATCTATACTTATATATTATGCCCGTTACAAATCATATTACCTCATGTTACATAGGTACAATATTCCCCCCTTTTAAAAAAAAAGTAAAAAATAATATATCAAGTTATTAAGAATATATAAAAATGAATACATTTTAACGCAAAAAAAAATGTAAAATGTATAAAATTAAATTCTAAACATAAAATATAGTTTGCAAAAAAAAAATATTATTAATACCTAAAAATATCATAATTACATGCTATTACAGTTTCCTTACATCTATCACAAATTATTTTTTCGAACATGATTTTTTTTTTTACCTATTCAGCATAATTATTCACTGCACTACTCGAAATTATGTGTTTAACATATACAGTATACAATTGCACTTTTTTAACTAAGACGTACACTGGCACTTAAAACATTATACTGCAGCAGTTAAATCTGGCATGCTCTGCATTTCCTTTCTTATAGTCTCTCTAAATTTCCTTCGGCAATATCTGTATATTCCAAACATGATTACAATAAGGATTATTAAAAATAATAAGCCGAAATATATATCAACTTTTAACTCAGAAATTTGCGAAGTATTATTTCCTCCCATTTGGGCGATTATCACTTCTTCCCTCTTTTCTTCTTTGCTCTGATTATAACCCATTATAATTATTGGCAATATAATTAGAGAATGTGAATGTGTATAGCTTCACCAAGATGCAGATTTTAAATAAATTGATCTCGGAATCTTACTACTGGCTTGCTGATTCGGCCGGATCGCGTTACTTTATTATTTACATGTGTCTCCTTGTTTGGAATTTCGATACTAGTGCTATCCCGCGTATCAAACTCTTCATTATTATTTAATAAAAATGCTGGCTTTAATCTATCAATAGAAACAGTAGATTCTTTGTCTGCCATTAATATTTTAAAATGTTTTTCTTTACGGTCTAATACTTTGTATGGTCCTGAATATGGTGGATTTAAGGACTTACATAATTTATCGCACCGTAAAAATACATGTGAGCATTTTTGCAATTCAGGGTGAACAAATATATTTTTCTGTGATTTCTCTCGTTTGGGTACTGAACAAATATTACTTATATGTTCTCTCAGTTGCTTTAAAAATGTCTCGCTATCGGAATTTAGTGGCGTTGTAGGCTCAAAAATCTCCGGGTAGCTTAATTGGACTGCCATAAACCATCTCCGCTGCACTGGTTTGCGTACAATCTTTTAGGCTTGCTCTTAAGCCTAGTAGCAAAGTTGGTAACTCCTGAACCCAATTATTGTTTCCTCTAGTCATTAACGATGCCTTAAGAGATCGATGCCAACGTTCGACAGCACCGTTTGCCTGTGGATGGTACGCAGTTGTTCGAGCTTTCATAATAACAAGGCGCTTAGATAATTGATTGATAAGATTCGACTCAAACTGTCTTCCTTGGTCAGTCGTAATTCGTAAAGGACAACCAAAACGTGAAATCCATCCTGAATATATTTTCTCTGCAACAGCCTCAGCTGTTATGTCTCTTAAGGGAAAAGCTTCCGGCCAACCCGTGGCTCGGTCTAACATCGTAATTAAATATCTGTATCCTTTGTAAAGTGGTAATGGACCAACAATATCAATATGTATATGTTCAAAACGATTGCTTGTGGGAAATTTACCAAAAGGTGATATTGTATGCCTATGTATTTTACATTTCTGACAATCTATACATGCTCGAGCCCAGTTAGCAACATCTTTGTTCATAGAATGCCAAAAGAATTTATCGCATATCATCTTTCTAGTTGATCTTATACTCGGATGACTCAATCCATGTACGGCGTTGAAAGCCTGCACTCGGAATTCTTTAGTCAAATATGGTCGTGCGAATTGTTTTGAAACTTCACAGTAAATTGATTCTTGACTGTTATGAAGTTGAAACTTTTTAAAACATAAATTTTTAGATTTTAATAAAACTTGTAATTCTTTATCTTTCTCCTGAGCTTCACTAAGAGCATTGTAGTCGATGTATGATGGCATATTAATTTCCGAAATTCGTGATAACGTGTCAGCAACAATATTTTGAGATCCACTAATATGTTCAATATTCGAACAAAATTGCATTATAAAATCGAAATGTCTTAATCGACGCGGTGTATCGCTGTCTGTATAAGAATTTTTTTTCAAAGCATAAACGAGTGGTTTATGATCTGTGTAGACTGTTAAGGGGCGTCCCTCAATCAAATATCTGAAATGCTTTATAGCCATATAGATAGCAAGTAATTCTCTATCGAAAGCACTATATCGCGTTTGCGCTTCGCTCAGCTTAGTGGAGAAAAATCCTAAAGGCTTCCATGTGTTGCCTTCACGTTGCTGTAATACTGCGCCAATGCAAGTCTTAGACGCATCCGTCATAAGAGCTATATTCGCGTCTGCAGCTGGGTGTGATAGTGTAACGGCGCTGATTAGGCTCTCCTTACACTGTTCAAATGCCGCTATTGACTCATCTGTCCACCTTACTTCTGTCTTGTCATTTTTTCTAGAGTTATGTAAAAATATATTTAATTTTGACTGAATCTCTGCTGCTTGAGGAAGATGTCTTCTGTAAAAATTAATCATACCTAAAAAACGTCTCAGTTCCTCGATTGTTTTAGGCCTAGGAAAATTAATTATAGAGCTCACTCGTTGTTCTAAGGGTTTAATACCATCTTTTGAAACGTGGTATCCCAGAAACTCTATTTCGTTCTGCCCAAAATTGCATTTTGAAGTGTTAATAGTTAAGCCATATTTATTAAATCGCTCAAATACTAGTCTGAGGTGTTCCTTATGTTCGGATTCAGATTTCGACGCTACTATTACATCGTCGATATATACAAAAATAAAATTAAGATTTTGAAGTACGACGTTATTTAAAAATCTCTGAAATGTTTGAGCTGCATTTCTTAGCCCAAACGTCATCCTTGGGAACTCAAAAAGACCGAATGGCGTAGTGATGGCTGTCTTCTCTATATCTTCATTATTGATGGGAATGAAATGATAGGCACGTGTTATATCGATCTTCGAAAATATCTTTTTACCCGACAGTAAATATGTAAAATCTTGTAAGCGTGGAATCGGATACCTGTCAGGCTTAGTGATGGCATTTAATTGCCTGTAATCACCACATGGTCTAATACCACCATCCTTTTTCGGGACTACGTGGAGTGGACTTGCCCAACAGCTCTTCGATGGTCTACATATGCCTACGTCTTGCATGATTTCAAATTCCGATTTTACCTTCTGATATTTGTCCGGAGCTAAAGGGTCCGGTCGCGCAAATACAGGAGGTCCTGTAGTCTCAATATAATGAACAACAGAGTGTCTTGGTGTATCTTTGAAACAAATAGGTTTCGTTATATCGGGATACTCTAACATTAAGTCGTAATATTTATTATTTATATCCAACGTAGTAATAGATGACTCATCGTGTTGCACTATCGATGTTATAGTATCTATATTTGTTATTTGATCAATAAGTCGACGACGATATAAATCTACTATAAGCTTATGATAGGTTAAAAAGTCTGCGCCTAATATTGGCTGTTTAACGTCCGCTAACACAAAAGTCCACCGAAAAGGTCGGCGTAAATTTAAATTTAACACTAACGATTTAACACCATATGTCTTTATTTCACTGCTGCATAAAGCTGCATAAAGTTTATATTTATCACTAACTACATTGTCATAGAGTCGTTTTTTGTACGGTAACACTGAAATATTTGCACCTGTGTCCACAAGAAAACGTAAACCACTTTTGCAGTCGGTTACGCATAAACGGTGGAACGGCGATATGGTGCAGACATCCACCCTTGGCTGCACCTTGTCTAGTTTTCCGGCTGCTCTTTCCAAGCACATGGCTCAACACATTTCTTTGCTTTAACGCCGAAACGGTGATGATAGAAACATAGCCATTTCGATGATTCGGATCTGCAGCGTCGTTGTTCGGATACTAAACGTCCGCGTGATGTAGTACGTCACCTCCAATTACATCGAGTACTTCGATACCTTGGTCTCGATCTCTCAAGTTCCATGACCTTCACACTTAACTTGGCTATTTGCGACATAAGAAATGATGTATCATACGATTTTTCAGCTTGACAATTTACTTCAGCAGCATGTAAAGGTCTCGAGGTCTCCATAATTTTGTCAGCGATAGCTGCAAGGTTGTCTAGATCCTTTACCTCGCTAACTGCCAACACAGCTCGAACTGACGTGGGTAAATGTCCTTGCCACATGATACACAGCGTTTCATCAGGTATCTTATTACGAGCCAAATCCCGCATTCGCCTAAGAAGCTGAGAAGGCTTCTGATCGCCAAGTTCCATTTCCCCCAGCAACTTCTGGAACTGTCGGTTCTCCGACTCTTCGTAAACAGCGAGCAAACGATTTTTCAAGGTCTCATATTTATGTGTTTCTGGTGGATTAAGGACAATATCGCTAACCTGCTCGATGACTTGCTTGCCCAATTTCGGAAGCAACAAGTTAAACTTCGCTTCATCGCCTAATTTTTGAGAAGCTAGCACCGCCTCACACTGAGCGAACCATAATCGCGGCTGGTCGCACCAAAATTCCGGTATTCGCGATGATACGCTGATTGTTGCCAGTTCTGAATCTTTACGTAAATTTTCCTTCGCTTGTACGACTGGTTTAGAATTGGTAGCCATCCTATATTTGTTCTTCAGTCAGGTGTTTTTTTTCAGTCGGGGTCACCAATATGTGGCGGACGTGAGGAGAAAATAACAAGGCTTTAATATTAAGCGTTAATTGAAGTGCGTATTGCACTTGCGAGACCAAGCGAGAGACTGTCTAATCAATACATAATCGATCTATAATCTAATGTAATATCTATACTTATAGCTGGAGAGCTAGTGAACCCTGGGAGTAACGGTCTCCCTGTAAGGTTAGAATTTTGTCTATTTACGATTTATGGCATGCTAAGAGCAATAGCCATGACCTGGCAGGCGTCAGCCCTGCACGTCATCAGCCCCTTTATTTTTTGAACTGTTTAGTAAATTGAGTTTTAAAACTTGTTTCTGTAAATTTGAAAATTTAATAGGATAAAGTTTATTTATTGTACATTCTAAAAAAAAATTGACAGGCGATTACAATAAGCAGAAGTATATGACAGATCAATTAGAAAACCCACAGTTGATGAGGTAAAATAAACTTTATCCTGTATACTTAAAATTTTTATATGTTTTCAAGTAAACGTCTCAGAGTAAATATGTACAATGCCAGGCGGTTTTGAACAGCATAAGACCTTGACAGGCGAGGGGACAGGGAGCTGCTAAGGGCGTGCAAATAAGAAATGTTACATGAACGCATACAGTAAATGCAATGTATTTTATTGGGTTTTATGCAGTCTACATTATTTTTAACATTCATTTTCTTCAGCATAATCCGAAATTTCGCTATCACTGTTTTCATCATCATCTGATTCTTCAACAATGTTTTCCTCATCTGAAAATAGTAAAAAAATATTTGAATGAATCAATAAGGTTGTTAAGAATTAAATATCAAGCTCAATTACGTAGGACTGCATATTAAATGTTACGGAATAAAATAGTTGTGTGTTACCTGAAATGCATTCCTCAGTTTCAGTCGATTGTGCTGTGGCAGTATCAGCAGGTCCTTGTAAAAGTATGTCGTATATAGAAGATGGAATCGTATTCCCCTCAAACCAATTAAAATTGTAACGACTATCAATTAAGTTCCAACCGTTATTTTCAGGTGTAAGAATTGTTGGTTCTTTTAAATTACAATTTCGCCATATTTTGTAACTAGCGGCTCACCCTCGCTTCGCTCGGGTTCGTCGCTAGGATTTAAATAGATATAAATAGTTATTAGCCAGTGTTAATCATATAAATCTTAATTTTTTTTTCGTGATTTTTCTGGCGTTTTAATACTTATTAACCTATTCCAGACTAAGAGAAATCCAAAAATTCAAATATCATAAAAATTGTTCCACCCATTCTTGAGTTTTATGTCACGTCAGACGGGAACGCGGTCGAACGGGATAAAAAGTATCCTATGTCCGTCTCCTGGTTCTAAGCTACCTCCCCACCAATTTTCAGCCAAATCGGTTCAGCCGTTCTTCAGTTATAAATAGTGTAACTAACACGACTTTCTTTTATATATATAAAGACTAGCGGCTCACCCTCGCTTCGCTCGGGTTCGTCGCTAGGTACGTTTTAAATAGATATAAAAAGTGATTAGCCAGCGTAAGCCATATAAATTTTTTTTTTCGTTAATTATTCTGATGTTTTAATACTTACCTATTCCGGACTAAGAGTAATCCAAAAATTAAAATATCATAAAAATTGGAACGCGGTCGAACGGGATAAAAAGTATCCTATGTCCGTCTCTGGGTTCTAAGCTACCTCCCCGCCAATTTTTAGCCGGTTTCAGCCGTTCTGGAGTTATAAATAGTGTAACTAACACGACCTTCTTTTATATATATAGAGATGTAGGCAGTTCTCAATAATTGTTGATATAGTTCACGTTGACAGGGTGGTAAATTTGATGAATCATAGCTTACTACTTTTTTTCATAAACACTTTAGGATTATTTGTGTTGTACGTAGCAAGGAACTTTTCATAACGTGCATTATTTAATTTTGAACATTTCAAACCATACATTTGGCATACAAATTTCTCTAGTATCAGGAAATTTTTTTCTTTCTTCTGTACTATTTCTGCGTTTCCTAATTCTTTGAATGCCTTCTGATATACACTCGATTTCTGCAATATTTGGAATGGTTTTTTTTACCTCTTCTTGAAAAGGACGGACTCACTCGCACTATAGGCATTCACGCAACATCTCTCACTCGCACGCCCTTAGCAGCTGTCCCCTCGCCTGTCAAGGTCTTATGCTGTTCAAAACCGCCTGGCATTGTACATATTTACTCTGAGACGTTTACTTGAAAACATATAAAAATTTTAAGTATACAGGATAAAGTTTATTTTACCTCATCAACTGTGGGTTTTCTAATTGATCTGTCATATACTTCTGCTTATTGTAATCGCCTGTCAATTTTTTTTTAGAATGTACAATAAATAAACTTTATCCTATTAAATTTTCAAATTTACAGAAACAAGTTTTAAAACTCAATTTACTAAACAGTTCAAAAAATAAAGGGGCTGATGACGTGCAGGGCTGACGCCTGCCAGGTCATGGCTATTGCTCTTAGCATGCCATAAACCGTAAATAGACAAATTTCTAACCTTACAGGGAGACCGTTACTCCCAGGGTTCACTAGCTCTTGGACTATTATATATTATGCCCGTTACAAATCATATTACCTCATGTTACATAGGTACAGTCTGTTACCGCATCACGAGAAAACCACTGGACAAATTTTGATGAAATTTGGTATGATGATAGCTGGTTATCTGGGTCAACAGATAGGATACTTTTTACCGCGGGAATATATCTCATTTCTCAGAAAAAATACAAAAACTGCATTGTAAGAGTATACTAATATGTAAACCTAAGAATTTGGTTTATGGTCATCTGAACGCGGGCGGAGCCGCGGGCAATGCTAGTGATATATATGATATTCTCTCTGTTTCTATCTTCAAAGATTACTATTTTTACTAATTTGTTTTCAAATATGCAAAATATACTATACTAGCGACAAACACTGGCTTCGGTTGGGTTAAGTCTGTCGCCCCTAAATACGTTTATATATGAACGGTTAGTATGGAATAGATATAGAATATAGATGTACAATGTACATAATATAAATAACCGATGAAGTGTCACTTCTAACATGTGTAGTGTGTACTCTGTACACGTTATTTTTTTTTAATTATTTTTATATAACTGCTTTAGTCAATAACATATAAAACACAAAAAATTACTCACAATCCAAGCGCCATCATATTTAACTTTTTTGTGAAGATCTGCCATCATCTCTTTCCAGTAGGCAGAAGCGTTCGGGTGAGTGAAGTCTGGCCATACTGTGGACTTGGGGTTCCAGACCTGTGAATATTAATATATATTATATTAATATTATAACTTATTTATACTTACTAATTATTATTATTATTTTTTTTTTATAAGTAGATTAAAAATCCTACACTGAATCAAACATATTTTAATAATGAATAGAATTCTACTTAATGATATTCTATCTAATATTTTTTCAATGTCCCTACCAATAACTAATATTTGAAGCCGCGAGCGAAAAGCTATGAAAAATAAAATAATAGGCTTAGCACTTTTGTGCGCGAGTATACCCATGCGCAAACATACCCTCTCCACTTTCTTCCAGCGTTCTTTTTAGATTACGCGAGTTATAATTATTAGGTACGTTTTAACAATTAGTATGGAATAGATAGACTATATATTATATGATATACCTATACCTTATAGCCTTCCTCAATGAACGAGCTATCTAATGCAAAAAGTTTTTTCAAATCGGTTTAGTAGTTCTTGAGATTAGCACTTTCAAACAAACAAACAAACTCTCTCCTTTATAATATTAGTATAGAATACAGATTATAATTTTAAATCAATTGGGTCTCAACACTTCATTTACCATGCTTTGTTGCTCAGCAATTAAAATCAAATAAATTGTTATTAGAATAAGGAACATATTTGTATCCACTTTGAAATCTCTAATTAAATAAAGAAATATAAATAAAACTTCAGTTGATACATACAGTGCTTTTTTAAATTTAAAATTATATGATTACCTTATATTTATAAGAATCTATACACATAAATAAAATTCAGGTGTCTGTCTGTGATTTCAAAATAACTATGTTTTCCATTACTTAAACAAACTTTTTAAAATTATTGTCTCTTTATTAGTCCGGGGTAATTTTTGGAACGACTTACACTGAAGGATAGAGGAGTTTGTAGGGCTACGTATATGGTATGTTTTAGGTTTTAGTTTTCAAAGGGAAAAATATAAATACTATAATTTCTATAATATCTCAAAGAGAACTACATTATTGACCATAAACAAATAAAAAAAGTATAGAATCTTACTTTCCCAACAAACGGCTGATCTGTTGAGTTTTTTATGAAAACATCCATATCAAGCCCTCGATCGAAAGGCGGGTACTCCCCGGGTTTCTCTGAAGCACTCACGCCTGGGTCTAAAATAAAATTCATTTATAGTTTATACATATAATAAAAAAGTAATAAAGCGAAATCTGTACATGAAATAGTTTTATAAATAAATATGAAATATATTTATAGTTATTGAAATTGTTGTATGTTTGTCTGTATATCTGTTTACTTTTTACGCAAAAAGTACTGAACAGATTTTAACTAAATTTTGTGTTATGATAACTTATTACTCGCGTCAACATTTAAGATACCTTTTTTTTATCCCACCGGGATATGGGATTTATTGCAATTAATTAATTATATAATTAATATAATTATTTATTAATTAATTGTATATTAATTAAGTAGCGATTTACTCTCGATTTGCTCGGGTGCGTCTCAGAGATATAGTAGCCTACGTGTCACTCTATGCCATCTATCCGTGTACAAAACTTCATCCATAACGTTCATTAATTAAAAACAAACATACACACAGACATAAACTTTAGAACATACTTTGGCCGTTGCATCAATATTAAATTATTTTAATCTATTTTATTAAAAAATAAAAATCATGCTTAAAATTCAACACCTTGCAATGTCACTATTTTTCTAGTTTTCTACAAATTTGTTACAAATGTAATTTTTAAAAAATGTTTTAATAAAAATAGAAACAATATTAAAAGGATGTGTGTGTATATTTGTGTATGCCTACACATACCAATAAGTACAACGTAGTGCATGCCCATCTCGTGCAGGCGGTCGACGAACTGCGGCAGGCCGGCGAACTTGTCCGTGTCGTACGTGAAGTCGTTGCTGTTCCGCATATAGTCTAGATCGTTCCATTGCACGTCCTGAGGAATTATTTAGTTAATCATCTATACTAATATTATAAAGAGAAGAAACCTTTTTTGTATGTTTGTTTGTAATGCATAAACTAAAAATATGCTGAATCAATTTAGATGAAATTTGGTATGAAGATAGTTTGAGACTCTGGGAAGGACATAGGATCGTTTTTATCCCAAAAATCATCCCTTAATAGAGTGAAAAAGGGAATGAAACTATGTATGGGGAATGAATCGTTTCTCAAGTAAGGGATTTAAAACTCATCATACCAATAAATATATATATATATATATATATATTTATATATATATATATATATATATATATATATATATATAGTCTATTTCATAGAAACCGTTTACACGTACAAAGTGACGAAACGTACGAGCGAAGCGAGGGTGAGTCGTTAGTTATTATTGAAGTTGCTATTCTATTATTGTATTTTATCAATTTTATTTTAAAGGAGTGTCTTTATTTGTCAAATAAAAATATTAAAAACATCAAAATGTAAAGTTAATTATATATTCTTCTAAATATTAATATACTAGCGGCTCACCCTCGCTTCGCTCGGGTTCGTCGCTAGGTACGTTTTAAATAGATATAAAAAGAAAAAATCTTTCTTTCTCACATTTTAATTATATGTTTTAATACTTACCTATTCCGGACTAAGAGAAATCCAAAAATTAAAATATCATAAAAATTGGAACGCGGTCGAACGGGATAAAAAGTATCCTATGTCCTTCTCCTGGCTCTAAACTACCTCCCTGCCAATTTTCAGCTAAATCGGTTCAGCCGTTCTTGAGTTATAAGCGAAGTAACTAACACGACTTTCTTTTATATATATAGATGAAACTTTCTGTAATATATTGTGTTTCTCCCTAAAACGTTTTTGGTCAGTAAGCCATATCTTCCTTAATATTTCATCAAAATTAATGATTTACACATCATTATAAAGATAATGTTCTATTGGTTAAATTTGCCATATGTGACTAGTTGTTGAATACTTTAACTGGTATTATATAATAATGGTATAATATTTTAAATAAAACTACCTTTTCGGTTTTTTTTGCATATCTATTTTCAGTTTTAGTTTCAGTTTCGAATGCTTTACAGTAAACATGGTCACGGGAAAGAAAAAATCCGAAGAGTTTTATTTAAAATGTCAAATATTCGCGTAAATCTTAGAAAATATTACTGGTATGATGTCTCACCAAAGGTATGCCCGCGTCTATGTTCCTTTGCATCACATCTTTAGTGACATTCAAGCTGCCGTAGTTAAATCTACAAATACATATATAGTTAAATTTCAATACATTTTAGGTAAAAGACCAATATGTGTATATTGTTTGGCCTTTAGTTATTTTCTTATAATGTAATAAAATTATAGAAGCGATGCAGTCGGAAGATTCAAGTATTAATACAGGATTTAGGTTTTTTTTATAATAAGTACATTAATAATTATTTTTTCAAAAAACTTAATAACGTGTAATTTAAATATGTATGTATGTGCAATGTAGTTCTAATAGCCTTAGAGTAAAATGACTGTAACATACAACATAGAAATCATAAGGGTTTCATTTAAACAATTTGGTTACAGAACCCCAAAATACGTGTAGATAGACACTTACTTGCACAAATGAAAGCCTAGTGACCAATATGGAGGCATGAAGGGTCGTCCGATGATTTCAGTGTACTGAGACACTACGTCTTTGGGAGTCGGGCCCAAAAACACATAGAAATTCAAAATACCACCAATCGCTCTGTAAGTTATGGCTGGAGTTGGTTGTAGCACAATATCTGAAATTATGATAATAACTTTATTACTCGACTTTACAAAAGAGCTGTACTAATATTAAAAAGAGGTAAAGTCTCAGACTAGGTGATAATGTAGATAGATTGACATACAACTAAACAATATATAATGTTTTAGAACAGAATACAAATATTATTAGAATATTCATTACTTTGATAAATAAATAAATGTTAATAAATAAAAATGACTAACGGATTTTATTATAATAAATATGAAAAAAAAGCTATTAAATGCAATAAAATATAGTATTCCTTTATAATTCATATTTCCTTCACAAAACCAAAACATGTAAATTAATGACTAAAACCTATGTCAAATTAATCTTATTCTTTCAAGAAAGTAAATAAACTGTAAGGCAGATCGAGAATAGTAGCATAAGCATCAAAACACGCTAATTTGACTTACACATTTTTTTTGGCGGACTCCGTCTATATAAGTCTGAGGATAAATATAAGGGGTAATCTATGAAACTACTGATTCGATTCAGAAAATTCCTTCACTAATAAAAAGCTACATTACCGCCGATTGGTCTTTTTGTTTGGGACAGACACGCTTTACAGGAAACATGCTTATGGGAAAGACTAATGTTTTTAACGTCTCTTGCTCATGGTTATTAAGAATTTAAAACGTCAAATATTCGCATAAATCTAAATTATATTTGGATTATGGTAAGGCAAGTGGTAATAATGATGATAAATGTAAACTTAGAAGTGCAAAACACTGGGTTCGAATCCGCTATACTTGGATTTCCAAGCCTTCCTTTGGGCTACCACTAGCTAATATTAAATTAAATTAAAAAAATACTCACCCATAGCATTGGAATTAAGCAGAAACATTCCATGACTGTTGCCGTCGCTTTCTAGTGCCAAATAGAAAGGGTGAGACCCATATAAGTTCACCTGAAAAATATTAAGAAAATTATATAAAGTTATAAGAATTAAAACCTATCAAATTTCTTATTTAACATCAAAAATTATTCATATTGTTTTAAGAATAAAAAGCGAATCGATTTAGTATCGATATATAGATATTATCATAAAAATTATAATATTATAAAAAGGTTGTATTAATATTCTAAAATGCCTTCAATAATATTAAAAAAAACCTGTGTGTGTACTTATGTACGCACGTAAGAAGTTATACTTCTTTGACGTAACAGGACAAAAATAGCTAAATATTTCATCCCGTATGTCACAACTCTCTGTTTGTAAAAGGAATACAGCTAATTTTATCATGTCGCTTTTTGGCTGTCGGTGTGTGCGCGCATCTTAAAGTCAAATCTTGAACTTCAATTTATCCTAAGTGATCTACTCTGTGTAAATAATTTGACTGTTCAAATTTAAGAAGTTCTATTTTTAAATGGCAAACACGTTTGTTGCAGAAAAAATCAAAATATTGTGTTTCAAATTTATTTTAGAATGTTGTATGTTCTTATGAAAAAAAAATCAGGATTATCTACAGAACTTGGCAAACATTTAGATTTCAATTCTTTTGTCGGTGAAGTTGACAACCACGCATATTCTTAATATTGAACTTGGCTCCCATTTCACATTTATGTTTTTGATGGGATAGTTAATAAAATGCCGCATAATATCAATTTAATGCATATTTACAATATGCATATTTACAATTTATATACAAAAACCTTCCTCGTTTATCGCTCTTTCTATGAGTGAATACCGTTCAATCAAAATCCGTTGTGATTTAGAAGAAATAAGCGGAGAAACATACAGACGCAGACGGCGACTTTGTTTCATACTATGTATATACATATATAGATAAAATAAAAAATCAAATAAATATAACTCACATTCTCGGTAGGCGCTACATCTCTGTTGAACAAAGTGAACGTGTTCCAGTTGAAATCGTTCATGAAGGCCGCCTGCTTCTCTCCCAAACCGTACACGTGGCTAGTTGGCAGGATAGACGATATTTGCGAGAACTTGTCCGACAAGATGATACCACCGACATTTTGAGTATTTACACTGTAAAAAGAATAATAATAAGACACAAGACCGACCGACTCATCATCGAGCACGAGGAGAAATTATTCCGCTACCTTACATATAGCTTTTTATTTAAAACAAAAATCATTACTCAGTTCATAAGTGAATGGAGGAAATATAGTATTTCATATATAATATTTTATCATATATGTCATGTGATTTATTTCTGTATAATTCCACCGCTTTTATTCATCCTCAATAAATATGCTTCAGATTAAAGAAAAATCAAATCTACAACGAATTGAAGAAATCTGTGAATTAATTCAAACCAAAAACAATAGTTTTTATACCTGTAGTGTAAGTAAAATAATAATATTTAATAATAATACTTATACTATGTCTTCATAACATACAGATGACTATAATTTTTGTGTCTCGTAATATACTCACGTAACATTACCAAATATAATCTATACTTATATTACGAATCACCATCACTGTCATGGTAGCCCAGTGATAACGCGCTCGCTTGGGAAATAAAACAAATTCAAATCCCAGTCCTCTCACCTTTGTTATTTATTGTGTGAATCATTTCTAATATAATTATCACTTGTCTTACGGTAAAGGAAAAGATCCTGCTCATCTGAGAGAAACTAGCAAGTTTTCAAAAGTGAACTCAGTCCACCCGCACATGACCAGCGTGATGGACTATGTCGTGATACTTCTCTTATTGAAGGGAGGCTCGTGCCCAGCAGTGGGACTTTAAAATGAGCTAAATACAATACCTATGCAACCGTTATTATTATTTCTATCAAGATATACACTCACATAGTAACATTATCAGAGTTCCGCACAACTTTGAAGCCGACCGAGCTGCTCTCGACCACGACGCGGTACTTCACGCCCACGAGCGGTCCCGACACTACCGGCACTTCGGGAAATGGCGACTCGAACCGACGGTGCTCTGCGTCTGTTATCTGTTGGTATGTGGATAGTTGTTCTTATTTGTTAGACCACCAACAAAGTACAAACTAAACACATTATGTATAGCATACACAGAAAATAGAACATTTAGAGTAGTAGTTAAAAAAGTACCATAAAGATTCACAATGTTACAGTTTACAAATAAAAATTAGTTTAATATAATATGACGCTATGAGTACACCAATCTTTTTAGTGGTAAGTGACATCACAGTCAACTATTATCATCATAGTGAGAGAATATTATGACTAGTAAAGTAAATTTTAATCCACTGTAAAATATAGATCATTAGCAACTTATCCTCGATTCGCTCGAGTGCCATTAGCCTATGTCTTACATCAAAGTCAACCCAATCATTTCATTTTGAAGGAAAAACAAACATACACACGTAACACAAGTATGCACAACTGTTTTTCTTTCTAAAATTATACTTGTAAATGTCATAATATGTTCGGGAAAGAAACCAGTATATTCGCATCCCGATGTCCCCCAAAAACTCTTTATCGTACAAATTTAACTAACCGACTACTCCACAAGTATAACAACTTACCTTAATTTGCAGGATATCATCAGACAAATAATAAAAGTCCATCCTGGCCGTATTGAACTGTCCGGGATACATTGCGTCCCTGCCCCGCGCGTAGTACACACTCATACCGTGTTTGTTCTCTGTGCTATTCACAAAGTGGTATGTATCGTATTGGGGTGGATAGAAGCAGAATGGGGCTCCTTTCATGCTTGTTGACTTCCAACAGCAACCTTTAAAATGTGCAATACCATTATGATTATGTATCACTACATATTATAAAACAAAGTCTTCCGCCGCGTCTGTCTGTCTGTTCGCGATAAACTCAAAAACTACTGCACCGATTTTCATGCTGTTTTCACCAAAGGATAGAATGGTTCTCGAGGAAGGTTTTAGTATATTATTTGTTAAGTTTTTGTATACATAGGCTAAAATATAACGATACTTGTTGGAGGTGTCGAAAAAAATAAGCCGTCTGGGAGCTTTCAACGAAAATAACCCCTAAAAACCCTTTAAAACTAAACCCTTTGAGATATAACAAAATAATGTATGATGGAATTGTGTATTTTATATAGGTCTACAGAAAAGTCTGCGATGGCATATGTCTATCTCTTAAGGATAACATACTACATATATCCATTTTAATTTAAAACGTGCCTAAAGACGAACCCGAGCGAAGCGAGGGTGAGTCGCTACGTTATGTATAAAAAAGAATGAGAACGCGTTTGTATGTTTGAGTTCCCCACTCGTTAATATGGACAGATAGTGCATAAATGTGTAGTTAGGACTTCGGTAAAAGTAATTACAACAAATAGCTCTTAATTTCGGTGCTTTATTTGTGTGTACTATTGTATTAAACACTGTGTGTTAATCGATTTCTAAAAGAGCAACTGTCGAGTTTCTCATCGGTTTTTCTCAGAAGAAGTACCTTCCAAGCCGATGGTAGCTTCCTCGAGAACCGACTACACTGAATTGTTGCAAAATTGTACAACTATAATGTAATAATGTACATATTTTCATTTAATTTCATTTATTCCTAGTAACCGGTCAACCAATTTTGCGTTTTTCGGCAAAGATACAAAAATTGAGTTTTATCAAAAAGGACACCAATAGTATACAGATAAACTTAAAAAGCAAAACTTTATGTAAATACAAAATTTAATCCAAATCGTTATAGCCTATTTTACAAATTATATAATTTATTGCTAGTTTAAATAATATTTTAAGATATTTGCCTCGTTTAAGACATTCCTCCTCACTCGCGCCGGTCTGTGAATGACAATCGAACCGCATTGTATCAGGTACTTGCGAACACATCTCCCTTAACACTTCTATGGGCCTTTCGGTGTACGTGCTCTTTTTATTGAAGTCCTTCTTACGAGTCACATCAGTTAGGTTTATTTTGTTCTTTGTGGACAGGTTGTTGTGATCATGGTAGCGGTTTTCTGTTGGGACAACCTGAAAAGTAAATTATATTATGGTTCTATAAGTATTAGGCCGGTTTATACTAAGACATTATACATACACGATATACTCACTGTACATACACTGAGTTTCTCTATGTTAACAAGAGTGTGTTAGACACACTCGTGTTCACACAGAGACACTCGGTGTACACACTTAAGTGTACCGTGTATAGTGTCTTAGTCTAAACCGGCCTTTATAAATGTTAAAACAAATCCATTTGTAATATATTATGTAGTGATATATGTATATACCTATACAACCTAGGGTGCAGGAATCCGAATAGTATTTATAAGTCTTTCAGAATGGATGACTCTCTTTCATCTTACTAAGACACACAAATTATTATGTCAGAAAATCGACTGTCAATTGGACAATTTAGATAAGTGCAATCATCCCCAATGTGCGTTCACCTTGTCGTGGCTGGGCTGTCCTGGGGGCTAGTTAGCGTCCGGTAATCCAGCCACGCGCGAGGCCGAGTGGTTGAGTGCGTAATAGATCATGCGACGCCCCATTATGACGGTGGAGGTTCTGTTAGGTTTTAGTGAGTAGTGCTGGCTTTGACTGAGAGTCTCACACATCCACTTGTATATATGCAGGTGGTATGCGTATATGCATTTCCCAACGACCAAAATAAAAAAAAACAAGTACAACCATAAAATAATGAGAAAACTAAAAGTATATAAGATTAATTTTTCGAATCTCAATGTTAAAAACAAAAAATGTCTAAAAACTTATTAATTGAATAAATATGACCAAACCTTTTCTATGATAGGTGATAATGGTTTCTTTACATCATCAGGGTGTGCGCGTTCCCATAACCTCCTAAAAATACATTGGTTACATTGAGCAATAATAACGAAAAAAAATTATCTATAGGTACTTTTGGGAAACCGAGTGAAGCGGGTTCAAATCCCGGGTCTCGCACCTCTGATATTTTCATGCGCGAATCATTTCTAACATGATTACCACTTGCCTTACGGTGAAGGAAAAATATCGTGAGGAAACCTGCATGTCTGAGAGAACTTAGCAAGTTTTCGAAAGACATGTGAAGTCCTCCAACCCGCACTTTTCCAGCGTGGCGGATTATGGCCTGAATCCCCTCGTATTGAAGGGAGGCCCGTGCCCAGCAGTGGGACGATAAAAAGGGCTGAATACAATAGCTATATATGAAAACTTATTTAGAAATGGGAAAGTGCAGTGTAGATTTTCATAAACTGGGTAGGTGTCATAGTTATAAATACCTGTGGTACCCTTTTTCCAAAAAAATAATCACTTTCCGGAGGATAGTAGGTAACGATTTATTATTAATATTGTGTACTAGCGACTCATCCTCGCTTCGCTCGAGTTCGTCCCTGCTTGCGTTTAGTATAGATTTCTTAGAGATGATATATTTACCGAAGTAAAAATTATCCTATATATTGACCCGGATAACCAGCTATCATCATACCAAATTTCATCAAAATCCCTCCAGTGGTTTTTCCGTAATATGGTCACAGACAGACAGGCTAAAAACTATAGATTCGGCACCTGTATTGATAATAATGACTATTTCAATAAGATTTTCCAAAATAATATTTAATATACAGATTCGACACAGAGTTTTATTAGTGCATGGGCTAAGTTCGGGTTAGCGGACTTCAAATATAGCTCGGCTTCGCCTCTAGAAAGGCAAAAACAGATCTATCCCACGTCACAAGTCTTTAATTTTCCGAGACGAAAAGTATCTAAAATGTTGACCGGGGATAAAGGTACCACCATGCAAAATTTTATTTAAATCGGTCAAACAATTTTGGAGATTAGCTTGTACAAACAGACAGAGAAACAAAAAAATTGAAAAAATCTGGATTTGGACCCCCTGACTCGGTTTTTAGCATTTTTTTCTATGTACAGACTTTCGACCTCTACAGTTTTATTGTATGTATAGACTATAGATACATCTAGGTGTCTTACAGATAAGTAAGGACAAAATAAATGTCATAGCTTTTTTTATAACAGCTTATTATATGAGCTCCCTACAAATTGTCTCTTTTGTAGAACTTGTTAACGTACCTATAATGATCGTCACCCCATCCCCCGCCCAGAGCGCCGCCCACCGCCCACCACGCGCCAACACACAGTGCTATTAGTAACCCGGTGGCCACCATTCCCGGGAACAAATTGCCTAAATATTCCCAAATACGACTTGCAAGACCACGGCGATTAGAGAACCTCTCGTACCTGAAGATGAAAACACATGCTATATATTGTATTAAATATGATGAATCTTCATGCCACGCTGTGATTATTATTTTGGCATACAGTAAATACAGTTTATTAAAGCCTATATACCTCAACATGCTATTAGAACCATCTCATCTACTCATAGTCTGAAAGACTGATCGCAATATTTAATAAAAAAACAAGCCTATACCTCAGAATATTATCGTAACCAAACTAATATGAAAAATCTGGCTGGGAAAAGTATATCCATACTAAAAAAAACATGTAAATGCGAAAGAACCAATGGTTATCAAGATAAAGATGCAAATAGGTTGTTATATTTTATAATAAGTAGGCTAGAAATTCAACTGTCGCATAAATTCCTTATTTGGAAATATTTTATGTATATATTAAATTGTTTATGTAGTTTAATATATCTTGAATTCGAAATTTAATTTCATGCTTTACTTTGCAATCTTTCTGTCATACATTACTTGCGCTTACTTGACCTTACTTACCTTTTACTTAAGATATTACCTTGGAACACTTTTTTTAACAATAAAAAGAAAATCATAGGAATACCAAAAAATTGATCGAAATGCATAAATATTAAGTCACATTGAAATAATTGTGTACAAAGAATTGTAAAATCTATACCTGTACTGTAAACATAGACTTTTTTTTACTAACAATCAGTTAAAGTTTTATTAAATCTGCAATAATTTTTAGTAAATGATTTAGATGCTAATAGTCTAAACTCTAAAGACTGACTGATCTTGAAAGTAATAATAAATATCTATTTAAAGAAAACAAATAATAGAATTTTATTATTTGTATTATTTGTTTTCTTTAAATATACACAAAATAGGTACCTACCTCCTAATGCTTACTCTCTTGTAAAAGTGACTAACAATAAGTAAACTATAAATATGATATTCCAAGTATATTTAACAAGAATATTAATCGCATTCTTTATATCTAAGTGGCCCTTTGACGTCGCAAAGGGTAAACATGGAAAAATAGTACTAATACTGCATACTTTTATTTATAACTTATTAAATTTATCTAAAGTGTGGGTAACTATCATGTTTCCACTGTTTTAATTTATATTATTTAAAATATTTAAAAATACATGTAAGTTTAAAACACATATGATGTATAATGTTTGTTTGTATCAATCAATTACATATGTTAATAAGTCACTCAGATATGGTTTAAAAATATGAAGCAACTGTACTGAAGATACTTTATTTGCGGAGAAAGGTAATGCATACATTGCTGCCGACTGCTGAGTAATACACTGACCCTTTCTTTTCCTGTTGAATAAAACTTGTTTACTGATCTTGTGAGCCGTTATCTATGAGATCTTTTATATTTAAGAGTCTAGAGAAAATCTGAGCATTCTAATAAATACTGTGTCTATTTTAGATTGTTGATAAAAAAATCTTTTGTTATATATAAAACTTTGTTTCTAAAGATTTTTATTTATATAGAATAATTGTGTCTTTTGAAATTTTGAGAGGAATGTATGAAACAACAGTTCATTTAATTTCTTTTTACTGAAGTGTAAAAAATATATAAATTAAAGTCCTTTATCATGATTTAATATTTTTTTCATATATAACTTCAACATATATTTTTTGGTCAAAACCATGTTTATTCAATATTTATAAGAATGTGAAAATTCTCACATAAATTTACTCATTTATTTTTAACCTTAATCAATCAAGTATATTAAAATTGATTTTGCAAATGAATTCAAAGAAATTTTATTGAAAACCAAACGAAATAAAGATTACAATATAACTATTTTTACTTGCAATTCTGATTGTGTGATGGCTTTGTTCCTTAGTAAATGTAAGCAACAAAGTTCATTGTTCTCATTACTCACAAAGGTAATATTATTGCAGAGCAAACATTATTTTATTTGAACTTTATATATCATATTAGTGTAGGTGAATATTTTATTATTGCCTTTATCCATGAAAAATGGATCATTTGATATCTATTTTTATTTTTATTATAAGGAAAATTGTTAGTTTTATTAGAATATATATATGAAATCTTACCGATGTTCCCTAGAAGATTCACCTTCATTTTTTGATTTTGGAATAACGCCGCTAAAAAGAGAACCTCTGCTAGATTTGTCAGACCTTCCAAATGGGGCAAAAGATAACTTTCTCTTATAAGAGGCATTCTTTGGGCCACTAAGAGATGTTTCTGTGTGCATGCCTACATCTCGTGAAGATGGTTCGCCGCATTCAGCAAAATTGGAACCTTTATCGCTTTCATAGTAAAGCCGATAGTTAATATTGTCATTTAGTGTTAATAAATCTGTTTTCGCTCCCGGTGACTTGTCGCAAAAATCCTCAAATGAAACTATTTCGTAGTCTTCATCATCTTCTTGGCACTTTTCCGCTTTGTAAGGTATTTTTGGCATATTTTTAAGCGCTAACAGCGATGCGCAATGAATCTATATATGTTAGGAATATTCAATTACCGCTTAATTCACTTTTTATTACATATTTCTATTAAAACTCTCTACAACAATGTTTATTATAATATAGTCAATAATTTCATCCGTTTAGTTACAATATATAACTCACAGAATAATATAAATAAATAAACGCAATTCAAATCACTATCAATATTTTCAATAAAGATTATTTACGCAAACATTAAATATTCAATACAATTACACACACATACATAAAATGTCAGTCGTCGCATACTTTAGAGTAACAGATAAGTAAGTAGGTAGTAGTAATGTTGCAACAGATTCATTCATTCACTAATAAACTAAATATTAAAATAGTATACAGTATTATTCATGATTATATTCAAATAATAATAAATTATTGTTTATAATAAAAAAATATGAAAAATAAACATAGTTTAATTGTTATTGAAAATAAACATTAGCTTAAATCATAAGGAAATAATTAATTTTCTTAAAGAGGGTAGATTGAATTACTTTGGCCTTCTTTAAAAATATAATTATCAAATGCGTGAACGTCATGGTGGAATCCTGAAATTATATAAAGAAGTTATTTATAAGTGACCTGTAGATAATACATCATGGACTGGAAAAGTGCAAAATTGATTTTAGCGTCCACTGCTACAATTGTTGTTGCTTCCCAGGTGGCAAAAAAGTTATGTAAATACTTTTTTAACTCTAAAAGTAATCAACCCGAGGTTGCAAGCGACGACGCGTGTAGTGAACTAATAAATATCAAAAATCGTGAGATAAACGATGTAATTTTATTCTCGGATGATGTTGTTCGTCACACTATAAAAGTCCCACCTAATAAAGATGTTACAATATGCGAAAGCAGAGAATTAAATTGTTTTAAGTTAATAAAATATATTAAATCAGCGCGTGAAACATTAGACGTATGTATGTACTTAATAACAAGCAATGAAATTGCAGAACAAATAATAAGATTAGGACAAAGACATGTCTTAGTAAGAATAGTTGTAGATAGTGACATGGCCAACACTCCTCCATCACAAATAAGAAAGCTAAAAGAGTACAGTAAGTTTAAATATTCATTTTTGATTTTATGATAATAGTATTTTCGGATTATATTCAATGTTATATTTCTTTATAATTTTAAATGCTAATTGTAAATGTTATGGCTTTAGGTTTTATACAGGTACAAACAAATAAAAAGTCAATTTTGATGCATCACAAATTTTGCATCATTGATGGACCTAAAGCTGTTAAAAGAAAAAATATATTAAAAGCGTATGCAGAAAAGCTCAATATCCATGCGCAGTTCTTGAAACATAATGTAAAACAACCAAAACTGAAACAATATAAAGGCTTTGTCATGTCAGGTTCTTTAAACTGGTCTACCCAAGCAATGGTGTCTAACCACGAAAGTGTTATAGTTACCTCACATCCAAATATCGTTAATAAATTTGAAAAAGAGTTTGAAAGCCTGTGGGTAGAGGATGAACCGGTATGTTAATTATTGTAATATTCTTGTAAATATATATACACACATATATATATATATATTGCTTAGTACCAAAACTGCATTATATGTTTTATTTTTTTCCAGGCTATACTTTCATCACTATGACAAATAATCATCTAGCAACTAGAAATAAGGACTCTAATTTTTTATTTTATTATTCGTCTATATAGTAAGTATCACTTTTATCAACATTATCATCATTATAATTTTTGTTATACTCAAAGCCTAGAAAACTATTTAATTTTAAACGATAAGAAAAAATACATAAAAAATAATTTCTATTTGCTTATGTTCAGTTTATGGTACGCTCAATTAACTTCTTTCAAATTCATTCATAATTTTGACAGCAATCCAATCCCACCATAGACAATTCCATGTGCACTTCAATTCAATTTCGATCGATCATATGTTTTCTTTGTGTAGTTTTTTCAGCCGCTGATATTCGAATTGGTTATTATGTTTTTACTTAATAAGCCCTTTAATAATTCTACTTAGCGAGTACAGTGTGAAATAGACTGTAAATACACGTGTTTTCAATTTAAAAAATATTTTTTCGTACGTTCATAAAAGTGCATTTCGAAGTGCACGTGCTTGCATTTTCAGTCAGTTTCTGAAATTTCAGTCTTGAAAGTGAACTTATAAGCTTAAACGAAGTTGAAGAAATAGAATCCCTTTTATGTAATGTAATGGTAATGTGATTTTTCGTGGTTTAAAACTTAAAAACACGCTTTTAACCGAACTGTTAGGTTGAATATAAACCTGCACTTTGGTTATTTTATTCTTTAATTTTTCTCCTTAAATATAATTGAATAGATTATATCGCAGCAGGATAAAGTGATTGTGGTAAGTAATAAGAACTTTTTACTGTAAATATCTAACAAAAACTAACTGTAGCAACTCTCAAAGATGATCTAAAAAATCAACATGCTGTTTTAATTGATGCAAAAGTATAATAAATAGTGCAGTGTCGAATATAATAAAATCATTTAGCCCTGAAATAGTAAAAGTTCTTTGTTTGCTTAGATCTGTTAAAAAAATGTGGTCACTTATTTTTTGATGACATGTGACATTATTAATTAGTAATAGGTTGATAATTTTTATTATACATATAAATATTTAGGAAGCTGTGTGTATCTTTTATCTATATTAATCAATAAAATATTTGAAATATTTTATGGACATAGATTGGCTTACATTAAGAAGCATGGTTATTTTTATATAATATTGGTGGTGTTTATTGTATGGCAATTACTTAAATATAAATAAATTATTTCATTAACCTTTGTATAAATTAAACTATCATTATTAAAGTATAATACTAAACTGATTTTTTTATTTCCTACCCAAGAATACAATTTTTTACCAAAATATTTTTAATTCTAACTCGCCGAGAAGCAAATTCATTTTTTATGTATACACTTGTTAACTATAACAAAATTTTAATAAAGTTATTATTTGCCTTTTAATTAAAAATAAGTTACAATTGTATTTATTTAAAAATAATTGTAATAAAAATAAATATATTTTATAGAGAGCATGCTAGGTAATTTACTTGCAATTTTCAGATATAAGTTTTTTAAATATATTCAATAAGAGTTTCTTAGTTAATATACAACCTTTTTAGTTAATATACAATGTAGATTTTAAAAATGATTAATATTTATTTTCTTTGTTACAGATAAATGCATTGATGATGCAACACCACAAGTGCAAGTGTAAATTAAATGGTGTAAAAAATATCCATACAGTGAATTATAAAGTTATAGGTGAAAACAATAATTTTAAAACGTGAAACAAATTGTGTTTAGTTGCTAGCAGATTATTTAAAAAAAAAATTGTGATTTGAAAAGTGCGCTTTGGATGCAGTGATAATAGATGGCGTTTTTGTAATCATTGCTGAGCAGTGAGAAACGAGTTCCGCTATCCACCGCTAGGTGGCACTAGTAAGTATTTCCATGTTTAATCTACCACGACATCTAGCGTCAAACAGAAACAATAAGTTAAATTTATGGTTATGTTCGAAGTACACTAACAGATGGCGCTACGAGGTTCAACTTTTCCAAAGTACGCATTACACAATATTTTTTGTATATTTTAAAATAACGATTATGTTTTATGTCATAATTATATAGGCATATATATATCTTTAGTTTCTAATATTCTATCATTTTTTAAATGTTATCTTTTTCTATTGAATCGTAATTTATTATTAATAAATAAACACACGATAATAATCGAAATAATCAGAACTGTTTTGCTTTATTCCTCATATAAACAGAATTTCATCATTTTGACCCCCTTAAGGGATTTTTTCTGGAATAAAAAGTATCCTATGTTCTTCCCAGGGTATCAAACTATCTTTTTACCAAATTTTATATTAATCGGTTCAGTAGATCCAGAGGTTACCCCCTACAACGTTACAAACTCACTAACTTTACCTCTTTATAATATTAGTATAGATATAATGTGTACAATAATTTAGTAGGAATGTCCCATATACAATGGACTTACAGTTAGCAAAATATCTATATCAAATACTCGATCGTTTCTGTTATTATTAATTGAATTTGTCTGTTTACTGCAGTGCAGGCTTGGCGGGTAGCCATATTATCTTAAAAGTTTAAGAACGTACCTGCAAGCTTTTCAATACTTTCAAGTAGTCTGAATTTGTACTACCGCGCTTCGCGTAGTCATCTAAAATTCACAAATTAAATGTGCAAACAATAATAAATTATATTATGTTGATGTTCTTGAATGAACCATAAATTTTTCCGGGATAAAAGTAACCTTTGTGCTATTCCAGACTATAATCTATCTCTGTGCCAAATTTCATCCAGATCAGTTCAGAGGTTCTGGCGTGAAAGGTTAACAAACATCCATCCATCCTCAAAACTTTTACATTTATAATATTACTAGCGATTTATTCTCGCTTCGCTCGGGTTCGTCCCTAGCTTGATTCGCCATACAAACTTTCATCCCCATTTTCACCCCCTTAAGGGATGATTTCCGGAATAAAAAGTATCATTTGTTCTTCCCAGGGTCTCAAACTATCTATTTACCAAATTTCAACTAAATCGCTTTAGTAGATCTAGTGATTACCCCCTATAACGTCACAAACTTATAAACTCACAAACTTTACCACTTTATAATAGGTATTATATAATATATATATTAATACTATGGATAAAATGAATCCCATCTGTAGATTATATATAACCATTTTCTTTTATGTAACAACAATAATTCCTAAACAGAAACTGATTTATGATAATAAAAACAATATACAATAGCCACCACTGACTATCTATGATTCACAAGAATGTAGTTTTTATTACAATACCAACTTCTAAGAATGTGTGTTGAAAAAGCTTTAAAAACATCGCAAGAGCATACAAACTACAATGATTAACTTGTACATACACGAAAAATCCTACTTTCCAAGTGAACACGGGAAGCAGGTGTCGTAAAGATTGTTATCGGTTTTAAGAGCCTTGTGTTACACCTTATTCTAGTTTTAACTGCTTTTGAATTTTATTAAAAGAAAAGCGCCGAAATGGACATTTTGTAGGCATTTTAATTTCAATTTCTTTTTTTTCAAAATAATAAACGTTACATAATGTTGGGTAGTTATTTATTAATTTTTTGACATAACTTATATAAGACTAGCATTGCCTGCGGCTCCGCCCGCGTTCAGATGACCAAAAACCAAATTCTTAGGTTTTACATATTAGTATATTCTTAGGTTTTTGTATTTTTCTCAGAAATGAAATATTTTCCCGCAGTAAAAAGTATCCTATATGTTGACCCGGATAACTAGCTATTACCATACCAAATTTTGATCCATATCCCTCCAGTAGTTTTTCTGTGATGTGGTAACAGACAGACAGACAAAAATTCTAAAAACTATAGATTCGGTATCTGTATCGATAATAATGTCTATTTCAATAAGATTTTCCAAAAAATATTCAATGTACAGATTCGGCTTCGTTACAATTTTATTACATGTATAGATTTAATGATATTAGATTAATAAATAGCAAAGGCTTATATGAAAATTATATATCTAATAACATCCACAAATGCCTCTTTTTGCTTTGTGTTATTTTGGGGTAAAGTGCAAAAACAACTATATATTATGTTTTATCATCATAGCAATTGTGATTTGCTTGGTTTTCTTATATCTTTTGGATTTAAATTTTTTTTAGTAGAATGGATAGCGAAAACAAACAGTAACTAGGCTATAAATAAACCCCATAATCTAAAAATATTTACAATATAAAAACATCCTATTGGTTTTAAGAAAATGTAAAGTTTCAATTGAAAGAACTTTTAAAGTTCTTTACTTGAAATATATTAGGTACTTAGTTCTAAAATATCATAATATCGACACTGTTTGCGATCAGTCTAGACAAAATCTTCTACGTTTAAAGCGGTCCTTTCTGAAATAATTGAAGTAAACCAAACTCTCTTTAAACTTATCTAATTTTATTGCAAGATTGAAAATAATATTGTACAAAGATTTTCAAATTTTACCTTCACTAGCAGAACCCGCGGCTTCGCTCGCGAAAAACTACAAAAAAATATCTAAAAAGGTAGGTTACCTACTTAGGTTTATACAAACTTTCATCCCCTATTTTACCCCCTTATAGGATGAATTTCTAATAATGCTAAAACACATTTATTTACTTGTATTGAAGAGCATTAATACCAAGTTTCAAGTAATTCTGATCAGAAATACATTTTTTGATTGTATTTCGTCTTTTCCCGTGGAAATGAGATGATCTCCCGCAATAAAAAGTACCCTATGTCTCTATCCAGCTCTCCAACTATCTTCACGCTAAAAATCTCGCCAATCCGTCACTCTGTTTCAACGTGAAAGAAAGACAAACAAACACACAAACAAATACACTTTCACTATTATAATATGAGTATGGATAGAACTCCCTAAATATATACATGTATTACGGACGTTGATAGCAAAACTATTGTCAGAGAATGTAACTTAATATTTAAAGCTATTATATTAGCGGCCCACTCCTATTTCATAGGGAATACTATTTTAATTGGATCCATTTTCAATTAAAATTATTTCATTTTATGTTCAATTCAATTCTCTTGTGGCTTGTGGCTTAAAAGCGACACGTTTAGCTCAGTTTGTAGTGACTGTATTTGCTGTGCCCTCGGTCGCGGGTTCGAGTCCCGAAAGGGGCATTCATTTGTGTGATGAACGCGAATGTTTGTAGTCCAGTCATGGGTATTTATATATGGCTATTTATAATACGTATGTATTTAAAGTTATATATGTGTAGTGTATCAACTATTTGGTATCCATGACACAAGCCTCGTAGCTCACCATCGAACTAGATGGCGCTGTGTGTTAAGGTCCCAACATATTTATTTTATTTATTACACCTACAAAGCTTTATATCCAATTTCAACTTCTTAGCGGATAATTTCAAAATAAACATATAGACAGAACTTTCTTTAATTTAATTGTTATTCTTATAGCCGTTTATCTGAGAAAACCAAGGAGACGAGCAGACAGTTACTTTCGCATTTGTGATATTATTACGTGCAATATAATTCTTAATAAATATAACGATAAAAACAAAAGACGGTAATAACATACAAAATTAAAGTACGTGTACCAGTAAAGGGTAGTAAATTTCATATATAGCATGGCGCAGCTGTTCCTCGCCGCAACATAACACGGTGACTCACGTACAGTTTAACATATTAAAGTGTTTTTATTTACAAACAAAGCCCTAAGGGTTAACTGCCCCGGATGTTCAGATATGGAGTTGGAAGGAAGTCGAATTGCCGCATATATTGTAACGATTAAGATTATTCCAAAGATCGCCTTTGTATTATACTTAGTCGAACAACAAAAGACTGATAGAGACACTTGTGTTTTACGTTTCGTTCAAATTAACTACTTCTTATATTGTTTTGTAATTTTAGTCTATTTTTTAATCGTTAATGTACTTAAAAACTGTCACGGATATCATGAATTTGATTCCTGCACATCCATACTACACTGCAACCTCCATATGACAAATCGAAAGGGAACAAGTAAATATTCGTTGTATCAAGTAATTCGTTAAATTGAGGTTTGTTATGTTGAGGTTAGGTTGGTCTAAAATTTGTTATAAAAAGGTAAAAAATAGTTTTATTCACCTCAACTTTAGGTAGGTATTGTACTCATCTTGTTATAGCGAACAACTTCTACTAATAAATGATAACACCTTTTTATCAAATTACTGTATTTACTTTCTATTTACAAACAATTAAGTAGGTAACAAAATTTTTCCATAAGAAATCAAAATTAAATGCAGTAAAATCCGTAAAAGTACGTACATATCTAGGCGGGTACATACATACATTATGTAGATAATTTAATGTTAATTTCGGGCAATTTAAGGTTAATGGGAACGTTACATAAAGGTTTTAGGTTGACAAAATTCGTTATTTAGAGGTATTTACATTTCTTGATATGTAGTTGAAAATTCGTTATAAAGAGCTTATTCGCAAAAAATGTTCACAATATAAAGGTATATTTTACATTGACTCTTATGGACAATTCAAGGGGATTACGAAGAATTTGTTAAATCGAGGAAGTCGTTATAATGAGGTACGTTATATAAAGGTTGCACTGTAATATGATAAATGTGAAAGTGTGTTTATTTGTTTGTTTGTCTTTCTTTTGGCTTGGTGGATTGGCGTGATTTTTTGTGCGGAGATAGTTGGAGGGCTGGAGAGTTACATAGTCTACTTTTTACCGGGGGAGAT